CAAGTTCATTACCTTACTATATATATATAAATAAACTTTTTAATCTTTAATAATTATTCAGTTTTGTGTTATCAAATTATTTCTATCTTTAGTATTTAATTGTTTAAATAAATTTATCTATTAGGGAAACTTTATTATTTCCACCACACTTTCACTGCGCAACTATTTAAAAAAAAAAAAATAAATTCCAATTTGATAGGGAATACATGCAAAAATATACACATGGTTCAACTATTTCATAAAAAAGATAACGAAACGAGAGAGAACAGTAAAATTTATTTTATTAGGGATACTAACAAGTAACGGATGTTTCTTCTACCACTGTAAATAATGTTTCATACAAGTATAACAAGAACATTCAGTTCAAGATATCATTCATTCACAAGACTTCCAACCATTAATCAATTATTTAACAATATTGCAAATAAAACAATCAAAGATAAGGATATTATCCCTGAATTAAACTGTCACATACAAGGTATCAAGATATTGAAAAATGTTACTTTTTTAGATCTATTCGATGGTACGTCTTCACAACCTTTAAAATTAGTCATTGATAATAATGTACCAAATCCTATCCTTAATAAATTAAAGATGGGTCAAGCTATATCTCTTTCAAAGTGGATTATAGTAGAAACACCAGACAGAACTCAATCGTTTGAATTATCACAAAATTCTGATTCAAAGATAGAAATCTTGGGGGATGTACAGGATGGCTATCCTTTACAATCTAAACAAAAGCTTACAGTCCCTTATTTACGTTCAATTCCATTATTGAAATATAAGACAAATTATTTTGCCTCCTTGATTAGATTTAGATCATTACTCCAATCTCAATTGATTAAAATATTAACCAATCAAGATTTCATAATGTGTAACCCGCCGATTTTAACTTCAAATGATACCGAAGGAAATAACGAAACATTTAAAACAATTCCAAAGAATTTAAATCTTACGGTATCAACACAATTACATCTAGAAATACTAGCTCAAAGTTTAAAAAATGTTTTTACCATTTCTCCATGTTTCAGAGCAGAAATGAGTGATACTGGAAGGCATCTGGCTGAGTTTTGGATGCTTGAGTTAGAATCAACAAATCTTTACAAATTGGATGATTTATTAAATTGTGTCAAATATCTAATGATTAACACTGCAGAATCTTTATTAGAATACAAGGATATCGACAGTATATTACCAAATAATAACCTCCTACCGTTAAATACCTTGAATAAGGATCAAATAAAGGAAAGATGGCTTCACGTAGCAAACCCTAACAACTGGAAACATATTACATATACTGAAGCAGTAGATATATTAAAAGAACATCATCCAGGTCCACCAATTTGGGGAGAATCATTATCATCTGAGCATGAAAAATTTCTCGCTGAATCTTATTTTGATAAAGATAAAGGTGCTTTCGTTTTAATTTCTCAATATCCAACAAACATTAAACCGTTTTATATGAAACATTGCTCCACTAATGATAAAGTTGTGGATTGTTTTGATATGATATTCCCCGGAGGGATGGGTGAAGTTGCAGGTGGTTCTATTCGTGAAGTTGATATAGATATTTTACAAAAGTCAATTGGTACAGATAAAGCAACAGATTTAGACTGGTATGTTGATTTAAGAAGATTAGGTTCTATGCCAAGAGGTGGATTTGGTATTGGAATGGAACGCCTCATTTCTTACTTATTTGGTTTGCAAAACGTTAAAGACGCAATACCTTTCTTTAGAGTAATGAAAGATAAAATATCTTTTTAATTATTCAAACTATAACATGTAAATAATGCAAATATTTTGATATCATACATAGAGAAATAACGACTATGCTCTTTATATTATTTTGGCGATGGCCTTACAGTGTAAACATTTTTTTCCTTTTTCCTTTCGTTATGTAAAGTTAAAAATTTCTGCGATGAATAAAACATAATACCTAGTACTTAAATAGTTACTTCAATAAAGCATAAAATGTATACAGAATAAGGCTGAACCGACACCCATTAATAAATAGAGTTAACCATGTCTGAAATTGAACAGGTATTTTTTGATATCAGTATTGAAGAACAGAAGATAGGTCGTATTGTTTTCGAGCTTTTTAAATCGGAAGCACCACTCGCAACTGATAACTTCCTTCACCTATGTAAAGGTGACTTTACCAAGACAATAAATGGCCAGGTTAAACAATTAACATACAAAAACAATTTCTTTCATCGTATAGTGAAAACTTTTATGATTCAAGCTGGTGACATCATATACGGTTCAGAAAAGTTTGAGAAATCGGATGAAATTGGTAAAGGTGGTTGTTCTATATACGCAACAGACGATGAGATAGCAAAACCTGTTGATTTACCATGTTACGGTAAATTCAAGGACGAAAATCTAGGTGAATTTACCGACCCCTTCTATCTTGCAATGGTTACTACTGGGGAATCTGATTCTAATACATCTCAATTTTTCATTATGACAGGTACCGCTCCACATCTAAATAACAAGCATACGATCTTCGGGAAAGTCATCCATGGTAAGTCTGTTGTTCGTACTGTTGAACATGCTAATGTGGATTCAGATGGGTTCCCTGAAAAATGTGTAAGAATAACTGACTGTGGTGAATGGAATAGTACTATGCCAATTCCTCTTTATAACGCCTCAAACAACCAAATTGGCGGTGACATATATGAAGAATACCCAGACGATGACAAAACTTTTGACCCAGAAGACTTCAATAAGGCATATGAAGCTGCATTTACTATTAAAGAATCAGGATCTCAACTATTCAGATTGAAAGACTTCCAAAATTCATTTTTCAAGTATAAAAAGTCTTTGAACTATATAAATATGTTCATTCCTGAAAAAGATGTCGATGAAGAAAATAACTCCAAATTTTTGGAATTGAAAATTAAAGTGTACTTAAACCTATCACTTTTATCTTTCAATTTAAAAAATGTCGATGATTGCATAACATACAGCAAATACGCTCTTGAGTCTCCAGGGATCGTCAATAAGGACAAAGCCAAAGCATACTATAGAATGGGTAATGCTTATTTAAACAAAAAAGCTTATGACGATGCCCTGATAAATTACAATCTTTGTAAGGAAAACAATCCTGATGACAAAGTGATCGATGCCAAAATCGAAAATGTTGAAAATATAATTGAGCAGAATAAAGAAAGAACAAAAAAGAACATTGCAAAATTCTTTAGTTAAAAATAAGTCTTATAATAAAATAATTAGACATTGTCATTACTGCAATATATATAGAAATATCTAAACAAGATAATTATTAATTACATAAAATCATCCAACAAACTTCTAGGTTTCTGGGATGCTATAGGTGTGTGATTATTCGATGGAGTGGTAGCTGTACCATTTCTGGATAACTTTGTCTCAGACTGCGTCGTAAAACTGTCACTCATACTAGAGAGAGTGTTTTGCGAGCTTTCTGCAACAGGAGAAGGTGTCATAAAATCAGCCAACATACTCTTTTGCTGAGGAGAAGAAACAAAACTATCCAGTATACTTTTTGGCTTGGAAGAGACTGGGGTGTTGAAAGAATCCAGGATATTTCTTCCAGATACCTTGGAGTCATTTTCGATCTTTGGACTGTCTGACGATGAAGTCTGCTTATCAAACATGTCAAACAAGCTTGGCCTTACCCTTTCAGTCGTTACTGGCTCAACTATAGTTTTATTTGTAGATAAAGTCTCACTGGTGGATGGTGTATTCCCAAAAAATTCAGGTTTATTCTTAATATATTTTGGTCTTTTGATAAAGTTCCATTCTCGCACTAATGAGGCAGACAAATAGTCACATCCCATCCTATTTAATATATCAACAACTCTAAGTATTAACTTGTATTCGTTTTGTGTACCCATTTCTAAAGATGCCGTAAAATATTTAATATTTCTTTCTCTCAAAACAATATACAGGTGTAACAATGCCGGATCCTCTACTAGAAATGATTTATTTACTAATGCATCATGTTTCACCAATTGTGAATTATTTTCCAACTCTATGGGTGGTGTAACCAGTGCTTTAATGGAAATATCTTGCTTTCTCAATTTCCAGTAAACATAGCTACTCATCCATCTATCGTTTTCTTGAATAGCCTTGGGTAAGACTTTGCTGGTTAAAAAATCACCCAATACAGGACCATTATCACCCTCATAGACTCTGCACACACCAATAGCTAGATCAATATCATTCAATTGCTTGTATAATACATTTGCACAATCTTTTAATGCACCTGCCAGTAGGAAAAACGTTGCTGCATCCAAGTAACGATGCTTACTTAATAACACAAATGCATTCTTTAATGCTGCTGTTTTCCATCTTGGTTCATTGAAATCGTTGTTTAGAAATTTGATCATTTTTTGTTGTTCAGGATTTCCATAGCTCATTTTCCAAAGGGCAAGAATAACTTGTTTCTTTTTTAGGGCAAGGTAGAAAATGGAACATAGAGATGGATCCTTTATCTCAGTTTTATTAAATTCGTATTTTGCAATTTCCTCCATTTTATTGACCAGGTCTGGTCCCTTAACCCATAATGCAATTTTATATTCACATGCCCTCTCCCAAGAGGTTGTATTCCAATCCAATTGAGAGAGTAGCAACTCCTTATTATCTGAATGTAACGCCCAAGAGACATCTCTCATTACCAGGTGAGTTTGTTGAGGCCTGTGTGACATAAATAATTTAACACCTAATAGAAATCTAACTCCATTAATATCAATCACTTCATTATGCTTCATAATATCTTTTGCTGCTTCAACTACTGTCATTAAAGTAACCTGTTGATGTCTTGTTATATAGGGTAGCACCATTTTTATCAATTGCTGCGATAAACCTGAAGCTACTAAATCATTGAAGATGGGATATGGATCTGGAAAGATCTCTACAGGATAGTCCTTATCCCGTTTAATAAAAAATTTTTGTGAGTCGAGATCCAGGTCAGATGGTAGATTAACTGTGATGTCCTTTGAATTCAGATCAATGTCCCTTAACTTTAAGAAAAGCCTTAATAAAATTTCTTTAACAAGCTCGATCTTGTTTGCATAAATAGCCTGAATGAGGAACTGAGGATGGTAAACAGGAAGGGGACCATTTAAGACACTATTAAGATGTAAAATATCGTTTGATAATATTGTTCTTGATCCTATTGACTTGTGCGTAAAGGGATCGTTTAAGTCAAGTGATTTATCTTTTATGTAAAGCTGATTTCCCGACGCAACAACAAATGTAGCATCTTTTAACCACACTGAGTCACCTATTTTATGAGCAGTGTGAGCCGTAATGTCTATTTTTTCAATAGGTAAATAACTCGGAGAATTATTCGTGTAATCATATCTTAATTGGGTGTAAAGTAATGCATAGCCGGCAAATCCAATAGACATAATACTCTGTTCGAAAGCCGTACTGGTCCAATCAATATCTTGTATTTGTTCCGTGAATATTTCTTCGTACTCAAGAACACCACCATCGACATCCCAGAATGAAACAATCTTCCCGTCTTCACTAACGACACATAACTTACCTGTAGATGAACCGCTTATAAAAAGTGGATTTTTCACCCCTGTCACTACTTCTTTCCATTTTGACCATTCTACCACCTTATTTTCGTAATCAACCGTTGCTTTATATTCGGTGACAAGACCATTTTCGGTTGCGAGCGATATTAACGGCCTATTACATATAAATGTTGGATGAACAGGATCTATTTTAGAAATCTTATATATCGATGATTGACCATTTAGATCTAAGGATTCTGATCTAAATGGAGCTATTCCTCTTACTAAGGAAACTTCATATGAACAAGTTGAACCATCGGAATATACTATCGCAACAAAATGGCGTTCATGATTATGAACTAATTCAGGTGTATTCAGCATCAGCAACGGCTTAATCCCATCTGGTGGTGATGGCACAATGTATTCAGACTTTAATACTGCTGTTTTAAAATTAGGGTTTTCATTTCTTGGACAATCCCATGCCTGAAGTTTTAAATTTTCTAACAGACATATCAAGAGATTACCCCTTTCATGTAGAACTGCCAGCCTAATTGGTGCCTCTGTATGAACGACATTTTTTAAAAATAACGTCATTTCATCCTTGGAGATTCGTTGTGGTGTCCAAATGCTATTCTCGGAAAATCTTGATTGGGTCAATAATGCTTCACCATCACTACTTCTGACTAATTCTTGAATAGATTTATTATGACCTGCTAAAACATGATGGAGAACAAATTCATTAGTTTGGTTTTGCTTTTGTGCTAACAGATTCGGTAGATTTACTGTCGCATGTCTGATCATCCCACCCAATGAATGAGCCATCAGCGAAATTTCAGGGGATTGATCATTGTATGGTTGAATTTCAGCAAAGTATAAAAAACTTGGGTTTTTAGGGAAAAATGATCTGGAAAGTTCTCCAGAAAATAATGTCTTCAATAATAATGGTTTAGGAGGATCGGTCGAAAGATTCTCTAGAGCATGCACAGTATAATCTCCTGAATTTGTAACTGTGATAGCTAAATCTGGTGAATTGGAATTAAAATATTCAAGTTCATTACCAGTAGGGGGTAGCACGTTTTTTAGTATCCAATTGTCAACAATAATACAAAACCTTTCCTGATTACCCAATTGTAATGAACCCCAATTTTGAACTGTCTTGCGTCCACTGGCGATCTCATAACATGTCCATATTCTTAATTTTTTATCACTACATAATGTGTACAATACTTGTGATCTATGATTTGTTCGGGAGCTTTTCCATCTAATCGCTGTCACATAATCGGGATGAGGGAGAAGTGTTAAATTAAATATATCTTGCTCGCCACTTATAGAAATTCTTTTCCATAATTTTACAGTAATATCATATTTACTGAAACTTGCAATTAATTGAGAGTCTTGTGATATTGTAACGCTATAAACAGGTTTTGGCTGCCTCTTGTTCCAAAGTAATATAGGCTCATATTCGCCAAAGTTATCTTTTATCTTCCAAAAAGAAAGAAACTCAGATCCCACTACCAATTCGTTATCGAGCCCCCATCTTACAGAATTTACAATCGATGGATCATGAAAGATTTCACAACAGGATATCCATTTAGGATCTTTCATAACTTGGTACAGAGGTTTATAGATACCAACTCTATTTCCATAACCAATAGCAATAAAACCATTATTTAAATTAATATCCACAGCATTACAGTCCTGTTCTAGATATAAGGTTTGTAATCTTGAGAAATCATTAGTCATTATAATTACATTATTTCCTGAACAGTATGCAAATATAGTATGCTTCTGCCATGTGGCCTGGCACATTGTCTGGGGAGTTTCATTGGGGCGCCCCGGTAGGTAACTCAAAGACATTCCTAGAATTTAGTAAGTTTATGTTGTATGAGTCTATTAGAGGTTAAAACAATAGCAAATAATTAAATATGTTTCTTGTTTTATTTGTATCTGAAGTTAGATGTCTGTTTCTTTTATAAGAATACTTTCCTAAACTCGCGGCGATGTTTAAGAGCCTCTTGAACAATAAAAACCATCTCGGTACATCTAATTTAAAGCATATACCCTTATTCTGTTCATCAAAGCTATTGCAATAAAGAAAGGGAAGAAAACCAAGAATTTATTATATAAGAGGAGAATTAAACTAAGTCAGAAGAATCGACCTTTTTTAAAGAGAACGGCAAATTCATTAAAATAATAAGTCAAGTTATCGTATTATCAAATTCAATTATGGGTGCCAGTTGTAAAGACCAAAAGAAAGCAGTTGCAATCTGCCTACAGAGATCACCTTGTGTGATGATTGACAGAAATAGTCCGCAGAAATGCATAGATGATCCAAATTTAAGTAAAGATTTGCCTGAATTGTGTATAGCTCAGATGAAGGCCTTTTTAGATTGTAAAAGAGGGATGGTAGATATGACCAAAAGAATGAGAGGTAACGCACCCTTATCAACAGGAAAATATGACGAACAATATGAGAATTTATGTAAAGGAAAGTTTGATCCTAGGGAGGAGATGCATAAACTGGAGATATTGAATTCTCAAGAGAAGGAGTGATATCTTACATGAAAGAAGCTTGACGACAGAATGTTACCAATTTTACAATGACGGGTACTGGTTAACTCTATAGCCCATCCAAACTGTAAGGCCATATTTTTCAAAATTATTAGACTCCATATATCATTATAACTGTAAATAAAATAATAATAAGATTTTTACATCACATTTTGTTTACTTCTTTTACCACCTTGTAATTTTATAGTAATATCTAGCTTAGAATATCCCATATAAGATATTTTAATAGTTCACGATTTCCAAAAAAAAGAGTAAAAACAGTCTTTTATTGACAACAATAACCACATATATATTATTAATAAAACATAACTCTTATGTTTTTTCTCTAAATATAAAAACTTTGGAATTTTGAAGAATGCCCTGAACCGTTGCTTATGCAATGAAAAATTATTAAGATTTATATATTTAACATATCCTTCTTTACATAAAGTACATTCCGATATTGACAACCTACAAGACCAAAGGGTAAGACTAATACAACTTTTGGACCCAACATGGATGATAATGATTTACAAAATAACCTAAACGTGGTGAACATTGTCTCTCAACAGAGTCTTGAACAAAAGATCGGGGATAATGTTGATACGCTTACCAAAAGAAAGCTCATCGAACAGGAAACAAATAGATTAGATAGAACTAAAAATTTATATGAAAAGCTTAGGGGTCAGTTGGGATCTCTGAGGAGGAGGTTAAACCAGTCAAATAGAATATCGATAAAGGCAAAACTTCGAAAAGAGATACAGCAGTTACAAGAGAATGAAATAGAGGATACACTGAAAGATATCAAGGAAATCAGGACGAGAATAAAGGAACTTAAAGAGTCAACTACTTTAAAAAGAAATGATACTGACAAGGATGGAAGAAAGGATGGCGAATCTGAGAGGGATTTTCTTGTAAGAACAGGTCAGTTAACAGCATTCGGATCCACATCAGGATTTGTGATAGATACTGAATATGATAATACCAATACTCATGATAACCATGAGGACACTGTAAAGTCAGAAACAGATGCCGAGAGTGAATTATTAAAGAATGACTACGAAATGGCAAACGAACAAATGGTAGAAAATTTATCAAGTACCTCTTCAGAGAGTGATTATATACCCGAGGAAGACTTCGATATTGAAACAAATTCAAAAAATGATCATTCTTTGGATGATGAACTTAGTGATACCGACTTAGTTATAGATAAAGGGAAAATAAAAGTAAGCGAAGCTAACGATGATGGTGATGAGCTATCATATCAGAAAAGACTGAGGAAATGGGTAGTACAAAGATCAGCAAACCGTCAAAATGATCCTTATAAATCTCTTCCAGAATGGCAAAAACCTCATCCTGAAATACCAGATGCTAGACTAAACGATATCTTTAAAATACCGGGTGATATATATCCCTTATTGTTCAATTACCAAAAAACATGTGTACAATGGCTCTACGAATTATACCAACAGGGTGCTGGTGGAATTGTAGGAGATGAAATGGGATTAGGGAAGACTATTCAGGTAATTGCTTTCCTAGCAGCTCTGCATCACTCTGGATTATTACATGGCCCTATTTTAATTGTCTGTCCAGCCACGGTGATGAAACAATGGGTTAATGAACTGCACCATTGGTGGCCTCCATTTCGTTCTGTGATATTACATTCCATTGGATCCGGCATGTCAGATAAAATGAATATGAATGAGGATGAGTTTGAGGAATTGATGATGTCATCTAATCCAGATCAATTTTCATACAATGATTTTGAGAATTCCAAAAAGGCTAAATCGTCACTTGAATCATCTATGCATATAGAGAATCTAATCAAGAGAGTAGTTGACAACGGTCATATATTGATTACCACATATGTGGGTTTGAGAATTCATTCAGACAAACTTTTAAAGATAAATTGGGCTTATGCAGTACTTGATGAAGGCCACAAAATTAGAAACCCTGACTCTGAAATTTCATTGACATCAAAAAAACTGAAAACTCCGAATAGAATCATTTTGTCAGGTACGCCAATCCAAAATAATCTTAATGAACTATGGTCACTTTTCGATTTTATATACCCCGGGAAATTAGGTACACTACCTATATTCCAACAACAATTCGTTATTCCTATCAATACTGGTGGTTATGCAAATGCGACAAATATTCAGGTCCAAACAGGATACAAATGTGCTGTTGCATTAAGGGACTTAATTGCACCGTATTTACTTAGAAGAGTGAAAAGTGATGTTGCAAAAGATCTCCCTCAAAAGAAAGAAATGGTTTTATTTTGTAAGTTAACGCAACTTCAAAGAAGCAGATATCTTGAATTTTTGAATTCTAATGAACTGACCCAAATTAAGGGTGGTAGAAGGCATGTCTTGTATGGTATTGATATTCTGAGAAAAATATGTAATCATCCAGATTTACTAGACAGGGAACAAAGACAGCATGAATTGGACTATGGAAACTCCAAGAGATCCGGTAAGATGCAAGTGGTGAAACAGCTACTGTTACTATGGAAAAAAGATGGTAATAAAACTCTACTTTTTACCCAGTCTAAACAAATGCTTGATATTCTGGAGAAATTTGTATCAGGTGCAGATCCTGAGTTAGCTAATATGAGCTATCTTAGAATGGATGGATCTACAAATATTTCCAAAAGACAAGCTTTAGTTGATCGTTTTAATAATGAAAATATTGATGTATTTTTGTTGACAACAAAAGTTGGTGGTTTAGGTATCAATCTGACAGGCGCGAATAGGATCATTATTTTCGATCCTGATTGGAATCCCTCCACAGACTTACAGGCTCGTGAGCGTGCTTGGAGAATTGGTCAGAAGAGAGAGGTTTCAATCTATAGATTAATGGTATCTGGTTCGATCGAAGAAAAGATATACCACCGTCAAATTTTCAAACAATTTTTGACTAATAAAATTTTAACCGACCCAAAACAAAAAAGGTTCTTCAAGATGAATGAACTTCAGGATTTGTTCAGTTTAGGTGGAGATGATGGTTTAGCATCTGAGGAGCTCGCTAATGAAGTGGAAAGGCACACTCAAACGCTTAAAGAATCTAAATCAAAGCAGAGTGATGATTTCGAACAAGTAGCAAGTATTTCGGGTGTTTCAAAATTAGAAGGTTTCTTTTCTAAAGAAGTTAACGATGAGAAGAAATCCGAAGATGATCGATTGATAGAGGGTCTACTTGGGGAACAAGGTAACCTAGAAAATGCTAGTACACATGATCAAGTGGTGGGGTCCCATATGGCTTCGAAAGTTTCTACGAATATGATTAGCAAAGAAGCTGATAGAATTGCTGGTCAAGCTGTCAGTGCCATTCGTGAATCAAGAAAGAAGACTCAGAAATACAATATTGGTACACCAACTTGGACAGGAAAGTTTGGGGAAGCCGGAAAAATTGTGAAAAAGAAACCAAAGGCGCTAGGAAAGAATGCAATAGGTTCAACAGATATTTTAAAAAACATTAGACAAAGACAGTCGGAATCATTGCATACTTCAACCGATAATCTTATCGATGATCCAAATCGTAAAATAATGATGAATATCGTTGAACTATTGAATAGCGTAGAGGAAAATATGCTATCATCTTCTTCAATTATTAATCATTTGGGAGTTAATATGAAGGAAAAAAAAGATATCATCAATATTAGAGCTTTACTTAGGGCTGTTGCCACATTTGATAAGAATAAAAAAGTCTGGAAACTAAATAGCGAGTTCCGTACCAGTATAAATACGTAATAATATAATAATGTAATAATAAACGGACTATTATGCAATGGATGTTATCTTTGTATGTATATATAAGTGTTATAGAATTAGCGGAAACCAAATCCCTCCGATTCAGTCACAGCTACCTTTAATTTTTGTTCTAACTTCAATTTAGAACTGTATTCCCATAGACAGAGCTCATTAAAACAAGTATGGGCTATTGGTAAATCCTCACTGTCTTTAGCACCTAATCTACTTATCTTGAATGTTAGCGTTGAAATCCCTGTTGCCGGTACTCTGTTGGAGCTCGTAATAAATTGTAATACTCTGCCCTGTAATTTATAATCCCAGTTTTCGAGTATCTCCCAAAACCATCCAACAACGGGAGTATAATTTGTAAACCCACCTTGATACCTTGTTACTGAACGTAACATCTGGAAATCATATTTTGTGTGCTCTTCATCTCCACACAACAAACGTTCTAATTCTTCTGAATTAAATAATCCTATAGATTTGCAATTGGAAAATACTCTATTAAACCCATCCATAAAGCGATCAAAAGATGTAGCGACAGATTTAGTTAAATAAAAATCAATCCACGTTTTCACATAATTAACTTTGTTTTCTTGAGTTACAGGAATATTTGAACCATTTTCACAAAGTTCAACAGTGACTATGTTAGATTTCTTTGATTTTTTACTTTTTTCATTGACCTCTACATTAGAATTATAGGAGACTTCGAAGGACAAACAGAATATGTTGCTAAAATCATCCCCTGTATATTGTAACATTTTTATTAAATTTGATGCAGTTTCAGGATACAATTCTGCATAGTCAGCAAATGTTAGTGTTTCTTTGCACATCTTTCTATAAAGTGCTTTTGGGAATTTTAAGTCCAATATGTTCCCGTTAAACATTGCCAACCCAATGACAACACCTAAGAGATAGTAATATTCTTCCTGCGAGTGATTCTTGTCGTCTGTCTTTGACGAAGAGTTTATTGGAAACCAGCATAATCGACTGTCTTTAATGTGATCAAACAAACCAGTTGCTGGATTGAACAATGATTTTGTCAGTAAAATAAACCATTCTTTCCTTAAACCACCTGCGTCAATGCCAGGTTCATTAATAAATTCAATTCTCAATGACTTCAAAAGATCACCCTGATGTTCTTTAATGGCTTTCAAGGAATCATGCGTTATATGGTCTCTCCTTATTTTAATTTTAAAGTAAACTTCTATTGTCTTACCCTTATCCAAAGAACTCAAAAATGCCTTTTCAGCCTGATATTCCATTATTCGTTTAGTTTCATATTCCATAATGGATATTTTAACACCAAGGGATAACAAGAAAGGATAATTACAGAAAGAGAATCTGGTACTGTTGTTTTGATTTTGTGGTGCACTCCATTCGGTTAATAACAATGATAACCTATTACCGACATCCAAACCTCTCCATACTTCAAAATCTTGCTTATTATCAAGGAAATCGAGCATAGTGTTGTAAAATTTACTAGCATTCATTGAGATATTATTATAGTTTTCAATCGGGTTTCCACCTCTCTTTGAATTTGCGAGATCCATAATCAACATTAATTTACATGCAGATTGTATATGCCAATTATGCTCGTATTGAGAGGTCTTAAACTTAAATCCTTTAGGTCTAAGTGTTTTTCCACCTCTATCTATTTCAATAGTCTTTATATCCTCTGGAGTTATATTCCATAAATCTTCTATCAATGGATCTGATGCCGGTGATAAATCTGTCGGATCATTATTTGGATTATTATTATTACCGAACTCTGAATTTCTTATTATATCATTACTTGTTTCGAAATTATTATTATTATTATTACTATTACTATTATTACTGCTGCTATTGTTTAAGAGATTATCATTTTTCTTATCCTTCACTATGTTTTTATTAATTGCTCGGTACATTATTCTGGTCAATTGATAAGTAATGTATAAATTGATCTTTTCGATATTTGATAAGAAAATATCAGAATCCATATATTTTAAACAGTAAATATATTCCGCATATTTATCAGTTTTCGAAATATTTGATAAGTAACAAATACATCGTTTAGTTAATTCATATGCAACTGCTCTAATCTCCGGTGAATCAAATTTTGAATATACTTTTGATGTTAAACAATATCTTACAAATGGAATTTCCCATATTATTAATAACCATCTAATATGTTTAAGCGCATTACCAGGTTTCTTCAATAAATCATTACAAGCACATAGCATTCTATAAAATGGTCTTCTAGTTGGTAATTTCATTAATAATTTATAAAAATTTTCTAATTCTTGATAATCAATCAATGTATGGCTTTGTGATTTAGATTTAGGTAAGAAAGAACGTTCTAATACTTCATAACTGTGGAAACAATCACTTACATATCTCGATATTGGTTCTAATGCTTTATATTTTTCATTTTTATCATTTGAATTTTGCGTTTTCACTTTTGATAAACATCCTTTTATAATACTATCTAAATAACTAACTGAGCAAACGAGATCTTTATCAATAATATTGGTATCTATTGTTTCAATTTGTTTTAGAATTGTAGTGACATGACAAACACCACATTTAAATTTAGAAAGGTCAGGTTTCATTGGAATATTTGTACCACAACAACAACATTTAGAATATATAACATCAATGGGGCTCTCTAAACTTTTTCTCCGTTGTTTTAAACCCTTATTAGGTTTAACGATTACCTTTAAGTTATTAACGTTTTTATTTTTTTTACTCTTCCCAAATAATATATCCATTTGTAAAATACTTCTTTATAAAGGTTAAAATAGTCATGCAATCACAACGATTCCACAAATTTATTAACTAATACTGTTATTTTGGAATAATATGTGCGTTTTTCTTCTATAAACTTCAAAACACACACGAGAATACTTCTTCTAAATATGGGCTATATCCTTAGAAAGTGCAATATGCCTTGAATATTTCAATGGGGAGAAAAAATATGCGTCTAAAATTGTATTAAGTAATTTGGGGTTGGACCCTTATATTTTGAATATGAACAAACCAACGAGTACTTTTTGGACACAACAAAACCGAAATCCGTCACAAATCTACGCAGTTCCTTAAAGCTTTTCAAATAAAAAGGGGAATTTCAATATATAAATAATACGATTGAAACCTTCTAAATGGCAAGATTGATGATTGTGAATCTCTATTATTCTCGAAATCCCATCATCCACAAACAAACTGTAAAAACAAAAACAAAAAACATTGGAAATTTCACGGATTTCTGTTTTTGTTAATCAATTTCAATTAGAAGGAATATTATGGAATACATAGCAAACAAACAAAAAAATGATTGACGCACCCACTATAACGTCCGTACAAAAGGAACGAGAAAGCACAAAATTACATCTAAATACAATTGTCCAGATGAGATTCAACTATGCGTACGACAAGAGCGCGAACGAAGAACGAAATGATTTTTTGTATGTTTGTTTACGACATAGAGGAGAGAGAACCCTTTTGGATCTGTGAAGGGATGATGATGATCTACCCCGGAGGAGAGTATGGGGACGTTGTGGGACAATGCAACTCCATTATCTGACAGAGACAAAAATAGAAACAGAAAACTTGTTAAGATGTTCAGGTACTTGTTTGTAATTTAGAAATACTGTAGTATTGTTAATGTTTTCCTTCCTTTTCTTTTGGGCAAGATAAAAGAGGTCATCACTTACCTATCGATGGAATTGGGTGAATAAACTTTCATACTATGGGTGCGATGAGAGGTAGGAAAGTTGTGTTGGACAAGATACCTAACAACAGTAATAAAATTATAAATTGTTTTGTTACTATCAATAACCTATTATTAATTGTTGAGACAGAACAGATCAGATACGGTCCCCATAATAGCAATAACAAGGAACTTAATTTAAAAAATTTGCAATGTAAAAAACTTATAGGATATGCAAGTTACGCAACATTATATCTGGAACCATTGACAAGGAAACAATACTTGTTTCTTATCATGCAGAATGGTAGAATTGATATAAGAGATTTACAATTAGATATTATAGATTCCATTGAAACTAGTATACCGTTATACGATGCTACACATTCCATACAAACTTTATTTGAACCACAAGTTCGTATATTATACGTTAACTTATTAAAGGATTGTGTTCACATGATTCGTCTTCAATTGAAAAATGATGTTTTACGGTTTTTACATTCAGATAGATCTATTGTTTTAATTCAAACTTTATCTTCAACTATAATGTCAATGGATATTTTGTTAGAATACGATATATACACAAATGAAGAATTTACTTCAATTGGTATTCTATCTAAATCCGAATTGACCAACGAATATTATTTTCAAGCAATATTCAGGAAAAATGGTACCTTAATTAGAAATAAATTGAAATGGGAAACTTTAATCCAGCAAAGAAAACTTCCAACGATAAATGATGAAAATAATGAATTAAAAAACAAAAATATCAAAGTAGAATTGAAAGCCATAGAGAATGTTGGATTTTTCTTTTTCACTTTAACTGCTATTATGTTCATAACGTTACCTAATGGATTTGAAAATATCATTGCAGGTCAATCTATTGCAACACAGGATATTTATTATGTACAGGGTCCTTATTTGATAGATATCTTAAACCTTGAAGAAAATAGAAATCTTGAACTTAAAGGCATGATTGATATTAATTTAGAGACAGCGTCTATTGAATTTGTTATGTTTACAAATACATTACAATTAATAAGGATTAAGATTATTAAAATAATGGAGGATGATGAAAAATATATTAAACATTGGGGTAAGTTTAATATTACGAACCAGAAAATGCTAAATCAACCAAGGGGTTTAAATGATTATATAATTGAACTTTATTATTTTAAAGAGCTACATCAGTACTTTGTGGAGCTTAAATCTGATCAGTTGATCCTGGCAGAACTTAATAAACTCGATCCATTATGCATTACCAAATATGAGGAAGAATCATTCGTCTGTTCTTCTATCATCGGAGGTCACACTAAAAGGATTATAAGGACGGGGTTTACTAATGGTCGTCGTTACTTTATTGATCAAGAATCAACTGGCTTCGAACATATGTATCATTTTGAAAATTTGTTTGACATTGAAAGTGCAATTGAAAAAATATGGACTACAAATAATGGTGATATCTATTGGTTATTAAGTTCTTCCGAAAAATTATACTTTAACGGCAAAATATTGCATACTGAGAGCGATGTGAAACATATCACTCATAACAATAAAATTATATCAAATATTTCTATCGTTAATGCCGTAGATATTTGGAATGCAAAATCAGACTGTTATTGTTATGTAACTAGTTCTGGGAAAATTAAATGGGATATGGATTATGACTTATTATCAGCCCAATTACCTAAAATTGGCGCTCCACAACTTCCTAACATTAAACTTTATTCTTCAATGAAAAGGGATTTAACTAACATAACTCTATGTGCCACCGAAAATAAGATTCTCATGACTTCAGATTATGGTAAAACGTTCAAAACAATAAATTGTAATGAAACTCTTGGGACTATTTCTTCAATCTTTTATCATGAAGTTGACCAGTTTTGCAATATATTTGTTTCGGATATTCAAGGGAAAATATGGGTTCTTGATGGTGAATCATTCAAAAGTGTAGGAGTTCTTAATATCAACTCGCATGCGTTGACTATTATTGGGCTTCACAATTCTGATAATTTGATCGTTTACTCTAACGATGCATTTATCATATTATACCCAAGTATTGAAAATAAATTACGATACGAATACTTTGCCCTAGAAATTCCTTACAATATAGCACATGTTATTAGTAATGCAACTAAAGAACAAAGTACTTCTCTGATTATTGTTACATACGATAGCCTCGTTCTGAAAATGAATCTTGACTTAAATCGTAATGAAAATATGAAATCCATTGATAGAACTTATAGTGATATTCTGATCAATAAGTTCGTAAAATTACCTTCTTCTAATAGATTTTTGGTTGCTTTATATATAACAATAGGAAGAGAAAAGGATAACAGGGAAATTATTGATAAAAGTGGTGTTTGCATTTATGATACATACAAGAACGAAATAGTAACAAGTTATGATATGAGTAAAGACTTTCCACATGTAGTTACTACGGATGTTTCAAGTGTCGCTTATCAATTGAATAGTAACGCATCTTCGGATGGTGAAACCAAAATATCATTTGCTAAACAACTAATATTTGATCAATGTTTTGTTGTTTCTTTGAATTATGAAATAGCAGAAACGGATAAAGGTCCAAAGTTGTTGTTGTTCATGTTAAATTCTGAGAATGGAGACATAGAATTACAAACAACGTCGGATACTTTTTACAATGTTAATTGTCTTTATAATTATGACAAGAATATGTTTGTTGCTTGTGGAGATTGTATTCAATTATTCAAACTAGATTATTCTGTTCAAGAGAATATTTTCCATGTGATGCCATATTCAAATAAGATTTATGTGAATGGTTATTTAAAACAGATCTCTGTTATTCCAGATATTATAAACATCGATGAAACTTCTGATGAATTACGACACGATAAGAAAAGATTGAAAATGGATATTCATAAAAGAACAAAATTTATTGGTACTGATATACTTCGAGGATTTTATGAATGTATTCTTGATACAGAAAATATTCCCATGATGGAAAATTCAACAAAGTACACATTTAGGCCAATTAAAATGACAGAAATACATCCTATTATTACAGATATATTCAGAGACAAAATAATTACAGACTTTCATTTTACAGAATATGATGGATTGTTTTTCTTTCTTGTATGTTCTGGTTTAAATAAGATCAAAATATATATGACACCTGCAACTGAAGAAGAATACGATATGATAGAATTTTATTTACCATATCAAGTTACCAGTGTTTGTTTGATCAACAAAGATGGATGTCAAGTTGATCCTAGTAAGAATATATTGATCGAAGAGAATAAAATAGAAGAATTATTTGGTATCACTAGTATAAATGGGGGTCATTACATATTAGGTGTTTTAAAAGGGGGAAATACTCTTTCACTTCAGGATGAAACTGATAAAAAAAATATGACACTTCAGTTAAGAAGTATCGGTTTAACTGATGATAATGAAGAAGACGGTGGGATATCTCAATCTGAACCTCAGTTTATAGATAACAGGATATTGTCCGACGATACATTATGCCACATATATAGTCCATGATTTATTTATATGTGTATGTCTTTATTTTAACTGAAATAAAAAATAATGAATTTTTATATTAATTAATTATACAGAAGGTAATATATATATATATATATTAAAGAAAAAATCTTAACCGACAAATTTGTTAAACTTAGATTAACAAAGTTTCAATCTTATCCTTGACGGCGTAAATTTGGTTCTTGATAGCAGAGGCATCGTTAGTGGTAATAGAAGCAGCAATAACTGGTCTAGAAACACCACAAGCTCTACCTAGAGCAGCTCTAGATGGAACAAAGACGTATGGAACGTTCTTATCTTCACATAGTAATGGTAAATGTAGTAAGATTTCGATTGGTTCACAGTCAGCAGCCATGATGATGAACTCAGAGATACCACGGTTCAAAGTCTTGGTAGCTTCGTTAGCACCCTTCTTTAGTTGTCTCAAGTTAGTAGCTTGTTGAACAACATCTAGAATTTGTTGGGTTAATTCAGCATCAGCTAGAGGGAAGGCCTTTGGATTTGGAGCAGACATTTTAATTTCTTTAGTTTTTTTTTAGATTTGTATCAAACGGGAGGTGTGTTTCAAGTTCCTTGCAACTGGATAAGTAAGAGCTCGCTTGAATGGGGAGTTTTTAAGAATACAAAAAGAAAATAGAACAAAAATTAGTTATTACCAAGAAAGGAATCAAATTGGAAAGTTTGTACTCAATGCTTATACTTTATATAATCCCAGAAAGCAAAAAAAAATTTTTCATTTTCCGCGATGAGCTCAAAAACTTTTTTTTTTCAAAGAGGGCGAAAAAGAAAAGAGAAATATTATCGATTAGAAAATCGTGTTGAACGACCGCTGTGACGATACTAGCAGTACTAGTACTAGAATGAAGGGATTGACCTTTGAATTGTTATATATGTGTGCAAACTAATAGCATCTATGAAGATTCTGTTGTCACAAACGGGCTGCATGAATTTGATGTGTTTTTTTTTGTGAAATCTTCCTTAGGAGTGGTCCAGTATTCGCAAAGATCAATGCACAACCATGAGATTATCACCTCTTCACGTTGAGCATATCATATTAATAACTGAACTTATATATTGCTTAGGTAGATCTTCACTTTCACAACCTGATGCAGAACTATCTGGACATATATAGGCTTATTTTTGCTGTCTGTGTAGTTGAAAATATTTACAGTGCAAAGGACACGAGCGGAACTAAATGCGCCAAAAACGTAAAGCGATTTATATTTTTTTTTTGTAATTAGTATATATTTTTAGTAGGTAGTGAAGGTATTAGGTAACAACGCTGTAGAGTTTCATAAAATATTTTTCAGTTAAAGTTTTTAAGAGTTTCAATTCATTACTTACTCAACAGAACACATTGGTTTAGCTCTTCCATTCTATTTTAAGCTACAAAGTGTAAACATTGTCTAGATGTCATATAGTTACAATCCGTTAGATGAAGATGATACGAATGAACCATATGATAAAAATCTAGCCCTTATTCCTGAGACAGAATCTTTCGCTAAATTCATCACAATTGACAAACTAGTGGAAGCTGACAGACCAATTTCAGATATAAAACAATCACGAGAGGTGTTTGCTTCAACATTTCAAGCTTATAGGGGTACATTATGGGAAAAGAGTAAAACATTTGTTACTTTAACTTGCATAGCAATATTGATTGGTTGTTTCGCAGGGTTTATCCAGATCTTTACAGAAACATTAGGTAATTGGAAGACTGGACACTGTGCCAGGAACTGGTTTCTTAATAAATCATTTTGTTGTACTGATGTAGTACTTGAAGAAATGTCAAAGAGAAGTCCATTATTAAAACGTCAGGAAATGGAATGCATAGAGCAAGGTATATGGGTCGAAAGAACAGGTATATTTTTCCCATTTATAACATTTTTTATATTTTCATTATGTTTTGCTTTAGCAAGTACTCTATTGGTCAAATATATCGCTCCGATGGCAACTGGTTCTGGTATATCAGAGATTAAAGTTTGGGTGTCTGGATTCATATATGAATCAGAATTTTTAAATGGTATAACACTTTTGGTTAAGAGTATATCGTTACCTTTAGCCATCTCATCCGGACTAAGTATAGGTAAAGAAGGTCCATCAGTTCATTATGCGACATGTTGTGGGTTTATTGTAACAAGATGGTTATTAAAGGACTCTTTAACCTATTCTGATCAATTCGAGTATTTAACAGCTGCAAGTGGTGCGGGTGTGGCTGTTGCATTTGGTGCACCGATTGGTGGTGTATTATTTGGTTTAGAAGAAATATCATCAGCTACTGACTTTAATGCCTCTACACTCTGGAAATCTTATTATGTAGCATTAATTGCTGTCACAACATTGAAATGTATTGATCCATTTAGAAATGGTAAAATTATTTTATTCAATGTTACATATGATAAAAATTGGAAAGTAATGGAATTGCCAATATTTATCGTTTTAGGTATATTTGGTGGTCTTTATGGGAAATATATTAGTAGATGGAATATTCGTTATGTGCATTTCAGAAAACAATATTTAAAGAATTGGCCTATACAGGAAGTTATGGTCTTAGCTTTAGTAACCGCATTTATTTCATACTTTAATGAATTTTTAAAACTAGATATGACTGAAAGTATGGGTGTTTTATTTCATGAATGTTCAAAGAATGATAATAGTTCAATCTTCGCTCATAGGCTATGTCAATTAGATGAAAATACACATTTTTGGGAGTTTTCTAAAGCGTTATGTTCATTGTTATTCGCCACTTTAATTAGATCACTTTTTGTTATTATATCATATGGCGCAAAGGTTCCAGCTGGTATATTTGTACCGTCTATGGCGATAGGTGCAACATTTGGTCGTGCAGTGAGTTTAATCGTTGAAAGATTCGTTACAGGTGCGAATGTAATTACACCCGGTGCATACGCTTTTTTAGGTGCTGCTGCTGCTTTAACAGGTATTACTAACTTAACGTTAACAGTGGTGGTTATTATGTTGGAATTGACAGGTGCATTTATTTATATTATTCCAACTATGATTGTCGTTGCAATTTCGAGGATTATCTTAACATCTTCGGGGACTGCTGGCGGTATTGCAGATCAGATGATTTTGGTGAATGGTTTCCCATTATTAGAATATGAAAGTGAGGATAAAGAGGATGATTTTATGACATCTTACACTACAGGAGAAATAATGTCTACTGACTTATATACTCTAAGTGAAACGATGTATTTATCTGATTTGGAAGTTTTATTAAATGATCCAAATAAAGAAAAATTGGTTAACGGGTTCCCAATTATCTCTAATGACTATAAAGTTAAATCTGAGATGAGATGTGTTGGTTATGTCCTTAAGAGACATTTAATAGCTAAAGTGTTACAATATCACATCGATAGTTCAGAGTCTTCAAACATAACGATAAATTTCACCACTAGTGAAGAAGCATTGACGGGCGATAATGAGATCAGTTTTAAGGACATTGTTAATTTGCAACCAACTACTGTGAAACCAAATGTAACAACAGCAATGTTGTTTAAGACGTTCAAACATATGGGCTGTAAAGCAATTATGGTTGAACAAGATGGATTACTAAAGGGTTTAATTACATCAAAAGATATTCAAAGATTCGAAAGAGCAAAATCCAGAGAGAAATTCGGTCCAACATATATCTACAATGAAGATCTAAATCGTAAATTCTGGTCATTGTTGAATAAAGTCATTAATATATTTTCTCAAAACGATGTTGAAGCTGCCATGTAACAAGACATTAATTTCAAATAAAATTGTAAATAAAAGGGTTTGTATCACTATAACTTTAACAAAAAATTTAAAAGAAACGACGTAATGCATTATGTAAATTAATATATAGAGATTATATGGTTTCTTGAAAGTCCAATTTAATTTAAATCGTAGTATATGATGATGTTTATTTCAATATAAAGATGTATAAAATATATATATGTAAAAGGAACGACATTTTATGACTTGTATTGTGAACTAATGTACAATTCAATGTTGTATACTTAAACATAAGATTTGTGTGATGTGGAATTTAAAATGTGGAAGGTTAAGAAAGAGAGAAAGAGAGAAACAGGATGTAATCAGATTAACAGACAACATCTTGAGTAGCTCTAGAGTTCAATAGTAGAGCAACAATCAAACCATATAGACCCAAAACTTCTGCGAAAATTAGAATCAAAATCATACCGACGAATAATCTTGGTTGTTGGGAGGTACCTCTAACACCTGCATCACCAACAATACCAATGGCGAAACCTGCAGCCAAACCACTTAAACCAACGGACAAACCTGCACCTAATTGGATGAAACCGGTGTATAGAGCTTGTTTTTGACCAAGGGAGTAACAAACCAGGACAGAGACAACTAAACCATAAATGGCAATAATACCAGCCATAATAACTGGAACAATGTTCTTAAATAAAAGATCTGGTCTTAAAACACATGTGGCACAGATACCAACACCAGATTTAGCAGTACCGTAAGCAGCACCAAAGGATGTGAAAATGATGGCTGCGGCACAACCCATGGCACCAAAGAATGGAGCGTAAACTGGACATAGATCACTCATAATTGTTGTTATTGTTGTTGTTATTGTAAGAATACTCTTTTTAAAGATGAAACTTTATGGGAAATCTAAAATAGAAAGAATGCTTAATATTATAGTTCTTATATAATCAATACTTCTGTAATTAGAAAAAGGTAGTAAATTTTTAATAAGAAATGATAAAAGTTATATAATCTTTCTGTTATGTAGTAAACTGTTTGATAAATACAAACGGTTGCAAAATTGTTAATTCAAGATGAGTTGTTGCTGCTGCTAATTTGATGTTGCAGCACTTTCGAATTTTTTTTTTCCTTTTTTTTTTAACTGATTTTCGGGTAATGGCAATTCCTAGATTGTTATGCCATAAAATAGAAGAAAGGTAACTTCAATACCTTTCAGAGAGTTGTACATATATTCAAGATTGAATAATGGTAGTGCTTTTCATTGATCAAACGTCCAAATTATTTATGTATATATGTTTATTTATTCTTTTTGAAGAAGAAATCAAGGGACCCTTGTTTTTTCTTCGTTGGGGCTGCCTTTACCTTCTTAACTGATGACTTCAAGGAGGGTGCAATAGGTGATCTTTTTCTAGATTCTGTCTTCGTTGCAGGTTCAGGTTTGTTTGCGGATTTTTTAGTGACCATGTAACCATCTTCATCCAAGTATGTCGTTACCTCTTCTTCTTCTTCTTCTGCATCTTTCTTTACCTCCTGGTTTGGTTTGTCCTTTGACGGTACTGATTGTTTGTTTTCAGCATTCTGGGAAAGCATTAATAAAGATTCCTCCCCTGTGGTATCCAATATTTCTTCGAGGTCAGAAGGATTTATCGTAGAAGCTTGTTTCTTTTGTGGTGATGATTGTGTTATCGTTTTGTCATCAATTTTAATCTCTGTTCTTTTTGAGTGGTCTTCTTCGACATAATCTGACATATCATCATTTGCAAAAATATCATTTAATTCTTTCATCTGGGCAGCAGTCTTTGGATCATTCTTAATCTTTTGTTGTACATGTTCATCTTTTCTTTTCTTCAGTTCTTCTTGTCTGTCTTTCTCCTTCTGTTGTCTCTCCAGTCTCATCTTGGCCAATAATTCGGTAGGTCTTAGTTTACCTTCTGGTTTCTGCTCCTTTGTGGATTCCTCTTTCATTGTTTGATTATTCTTTTTACTTGTTTGAGGTTCAGTCTTTGATCTTTTGACCTCAGTTGTAAGTTTCTTTGGCTTTGTATCGTTATCTAAAGTCCTAGGTCTTGTCAATTCTGTCGCCTTAATTTCATTACTTGATTCTATACTTATTTTATTTGGATTCTTGATTAATAGATCATCCATTCTAACTACAGTTTCGTTGATAGGATTAAATACATCCATGGGATTAAATGCATATATGAAACAGTCGGTTAGCTTATCTGGATTCTCTATATTATTAATATCATTAATGATCTTAATTTTATCGTTTGAATAACACGCAACGAGAACACATTGGAATTTAACATTACTAGTGTTCTTGTAGTAAGAATACATCTGACTCTTTGCTTTACTTGGACCACATTTAAATTGATTGATCAAATCTGTGAAAATTACAGGTTTAACCTTAGTGAAAAGTTTATCAGAAATAAATTTAGAATAATCTTCATCTGACATTATTGAATGTATAAAAATTCTTCCCCGAGATTATAATTTTCGGTTTTGCTTCTAATCTTTCAAAAAATTGATAACTTTTAGCACATTCAACTTCTGATCTATCAAAGATACCTGGAGCTATTAGGTTATAATTGATCTCTTCCTATTTATTTCCTTATATAAACACATGACATTTCACAGTTTAGTTTCACTTTCATTTAACGCGTTCGAGTTAAAACTGAAAATAGTTTGTTAAAAAGCGCGTACACATGGTAACGAAACAAATCTTCTCATCTCTCTCATTGAAAATAAAAAGTTTGAACTGAATTGAAAAAAGGGTGTTTCTCTACAACGTTCAATATAAGTTTATATCTAGTCTCTTTAGTTACCTCTATTTCATATTATATATATCATTTCAACTGATATAAACAAATATACTTAAAATGAAATCGAATTTATGAATTTTCTTAACTGAATGAACTATGTTTTATATTTAAAACTTTTCGGGATGGCGAGGGTAGTTACAAGACTCTTCTCAAACCGTTTAGGGTGAACACTAACTGCGATACAATAATTTCTCTTGTATTAATTGTGGTGGTGGAGGCTGCCAACTAAGAAAAAACAATAACTCTTGTTTATTATATATAATATTTCAACTCGTCCCGTTTATATATATCCATGAATATAACTTGCAATAGTGATGGCTGAAAGCAGGAAAAAAAGAGAGAGACAGACAGCGAAATAACTAAATATGAAATTAGGTGTTTCCTTTCGATGTTATGGGACCATTCGAATGTATTCTAATATGAGACGATTCTAATAGCTCCTTTATTCCTAAGGATTTAATATAAAACGAAAACAGAAGGTGTAAAAAAAATGTCGAAAATATCAAAACATTTAAAATAATCTACAAGACCTTTAATTAAAATCATCGATTATTTCCAGAATAGGAAATCCATTCCCTATTTGATAACAAAAGAGATCTCCGCGGCTAATTTCAGTAAAAATTTGAAAAAAAATAATGGGGCATACTGGGAATTGAACCCAGGGCCTCTCACATATTCGAGTAAATAACCCAAAGCGAGAATCATACCACTAGACCACACGCCCTATTAATTTATGGAAGTGTGTATTCATAGATACAATAAGTGAAAGTCGAAATCTATAATATTTTGTATTGTTTGGTCTATATAGAATGCTTAATAGTGATTATTATTATGTATATTAACTACAACAATATGGTGGTCGTTCTGTTCGTTAATAAGTAAATGTATTAATAGTAAGTACTATGTTAATTATCTATATTTCGTATCTTCTATTATTTATGTTACAAGGTATATTATATAGTTATATGTTACATGTGTTATCTTTGACTTAATTTCATCTTATATTTGTTGTTCTCGCATCGACCTTTGTTGATGTCCGTACACGATGATAATTATTATAATCGTGCGGCTGAACCTTAAAGTCTCAATTAATACATAGAATACTTATCACAAGAATGTTTATCTTAAGTTTATCCCAGTTGGACTTTGATCCATCATATATAAAAGCATGATTATTTCAGTGGATACCATTTTATCTGTCATTTGTCTCTATACTTTATATAGTGCATAAAATAGGACAATTATAATAATTTACACATTTTTTTTCTAACGAAATCCTAGTATCGAAATACCATAGAAAGGTAAAGGTATTTATCATTTTTTCACTATAACGTAGATTTTCAAAAAAATGTTTTTGGCTTAACTATTAACTTTTCATTAGTAGTTATTATTTGATTCATTCATTGAAAGGATATATATTTTCTTTCTAAGCTTTTGTATAGCAAAGTTTAATAAAAAGTTTTGAAATTATTCACTGTATCATTGCCTGTATACTTTTAATTCATGTTACAAACTATATTATAAGTTGTATGGTATATGTGTTGTTGTAAGCACTACTTTATCTTATTGTTGTGTAGAGAACCAGAGGTCGACCGTCATACTTAGTTTTTCGATCAATATTAGTTTCTGTTTTCTTCAATTATGTATACAATTAAGATATTTAGAAGCACATATATTCTACATCGCCACACTATCATAGTCTTCCTTATTAAGAAGAGAGAGATAATATTACCATGATTAACGGACATATAGTAATAACACAATAAATGTTTACCAACCCAGAACTTTATTCTCTTATATTTTAGTTTTTTAAGATAATAATTACATTACCAAGTCCAGTAATGTGAATGCCATAAGAGATATTGTGCGAATTTTATGGTTCGATAATAAGTTGATTACTGAGTTATGTAAGATGAAAATGAACCCATAATATTAGTACGTTTCTATTGTGTGTATAGTTCGGGCCATTATTCATTTCGTGAAATAGGTTATCAATAGTGCATTCTGTGAAAATCTATAGTATCAATCTTTATATAATTTGGTATTTTAAATTGATATTTTTCTAATTACAAGAAGTGAATGATGGTAGAGACTCTTTCTTGTATTATAAAACCTTAGTAGTCGTCATTTTAATATTCATACAAGGATTGAGTGGAATAGTTGTAAAAGAAAAAAGTAAACAAATATCGACACTACATCCTACATTTATAGTACCATTTCGGTATATATTTTAAATGTTACAGTCCTAATTCTGAATTTTAATTAGATAGACTTTAACATTACATGATATATGTCATGTGATATTCCATTGTAATAATCTTTAAGTATTTTGTTAATATAGATGATGGTAAAGTATAGTTCGTTATAATAAAAATAAAAAAAAAGAAAAGTTATTCTATTGACCTACACCTACCACCTATTCTAAATAAGTCTAAGAAAATATGTATATATATGTAATAGTGTAGGTATGCATATGTTTGTTATGTGTTTCTTGTTAGTGTGCCCATCTGGTGACATTACATCTAAAACGCACACATTCAATTGAACAAAATATTATACTAAACAGTTGAGGAGAAAAGTCAAAAGTATTAAACTATGTTTAGTTAATGCACTAGAATGTAATAGAAATATCGCTATTAAAATATGTTGTTGGTAAATAACTATGTATATATTATATTTTTTCTATATATGTGGGGCGAAAATGTTCATATTTCAACTATTTCAATAAGGTGGTCTATTTAACCAAAATGTGTTTATTGGGGTAACAAATATTTAGGTAAATAATGTATCTTCCTCATTATCCCAATTACTGTGGAAAAACCACGAAAAGATTACCACACTGGAATATATGATCAAACCACCCATCATACTCATTGTGCAACTTAAGGAACCGATCAGATTGCAATGGTAAAAAACCAATGGGAGTGCTATCCCACTCGTTACTAACATACCAGTTAAAAAGTGACCTAAGTCACTGCCACTTCCTGAAGACTCGGACATAAAATCAGAGGAACTATATGATGCTTTGCTGAATAGAGAATTTGGAATAGGTGCTAGTAAGAAAATGAGAATGTCATACAATGGGTAGTAATTATGGAACAATGCACAACTTAAAATGACTAGAAGGAAGCCTAAAGCAAGGAAACCTGATAACGATATGATTTTTGTAAGTGGAGAAACCTTAAATTCCATTTTGTGTATATGTGTATGGTTTATGTTAATGGGGTGTGTTATTATCTAATTTCTCAACGATTGCTTCCACAAAATAAAGTCGAAAACTTTGGTATTCTGGACAGTCTTAGCTTTAAACTTGGTCTAACTTTCGATCCTACTACGATTATCTTTATAAGTTCTGTAGTTGCAAAACAGGGTCTTTTAGAGGGGGGCAGTTGTCATTTTTTTTATCTCTTAATAGTCGGCGCTGTCTGAGAAACGAAAAAATGAAACAAGGCAAATAAATTCTTGTATTTGCATCCAGCCTCCAGACAATAATTATTTACTTCAAGGCCTCATATTACAAACATATACAATAATAAGTTTCACCCTTTAAATGACTAATACGTATTGTTATTGTTTTAATAAGTACAACTATAAATTTTGAACTAAATACAAGAGATATATAATATATGGGTCATACTTGTGAGTGTATAATTATGTACACAACAATAGGGGAAATGTGTGTTACATTAATGCTTAACATGAAACGATAAAGATCATATGTAGTGATGTGTAAGATAGAAAAAAGATCGGTGTATCAATAACACTATTATTTCTTTTCACCTTCACCTGGGTTGGCGTTAGATTCACCACCTTGGTTATTCTTGTACATTTGTTCAAATAATTTCATGGAAGCATTTTGTAGATCATCAGTCTTTGTCTTTAGATCTTCAGCAGAGACTTCTTCACCAGCTTGGACTCTAGCGACAAGTTCCTTTAGAGAAGCAACTTGGTCCTTTACCTTTTGAGCTTCAGCCTTGTCTAATTTACCTTCGAATTCCTTTAGAGAGTTTTCGGTATCGTTAGCCAATTGATCGGCCTTGTTGGCAGTTTCAATAGATTGCTTTCTAGCTTCATCTTGAGACTTGAACTTTTCAGCATCGTTAACCATCTTTTCGATTTCAGAGTCAGATAGACCAGAAGAGCCAGCGACGGTAATGGAAGCGTCCTTGTTGGAAGCTTTGTCTCTAGCAGAGACATTGATAATACCATCGGCATCAATGTCGAAACTGACTTCGATTTGTGGAACACCCTTTGGAGCAGGTGGAATACCAGCTAAGTTAAAGTTACCAATTAACTTGTTATCTCTAACTAATTCTCTTTCACCTTGGAAGACTCTGATTTCGACAGAAGTTTGACCAGCAGCGGCAGTAGAGAAAATTTGAGATTTCTTAGTTGGGATAGTAGTATTTCTTGGAATCAATCTAGTGAAGACACCACCTAGAGTTTCAATACCTAAAGATAATGGAGTAACGTCTAATAATAAGACATCAGTAACTTCACCGGATAAGACAGCACCTTGAATAGCAGCACCAATAGCGACAGCTTCATCTGGATTAACGGCCTTGGATGGATCTTTACCGAATAATTGTTTAACGGTTTCAACGACCTTTGGCATTCTAGACATACCACCAACTAGAAGAACATCGGAAATATCAGAAGTAGACATGTTAGCATCCTTTAGAGCCTTCTTAACTGGGTCAACGGTTCTCTTGATTAAAGGTTCGGTTAAAGTTTCGAATTGAGCTCTAGAGAATTTCATGTTAATATGTTTTGGACCGGAAGCATCGGCAGTAATGAAAGGTAAGTTAATTTCAGTAGAGACAGTAGAAGAAAGTTCGATCTTAGCCTTTTCAGCGGCTTCTCTAATTCTTTGAATAGCCATACGATCATTTTCTAAATCAATACCACTTTCAGTCTTGAAACGAGAAACAATTTCTCTTAATAAATAGATATCGAAATCTTCACCACCTAAATGAGTATCACCATTAGTAGATTTAACTTCAAAGACACCATTATCGATATCTAAGATGGAAATATCAAAAGTACCACCACCTAAATCGAAGACAGCAACGACTTTAGAATCAGATTTTTCAAGACCATAAGCTAAAGCAGCAGCAGTAGGTTCGTTAACGACTCTTAGAACATTTAGACCAACAATTTGACCTGCATCCTTAGTAGCTTGTCTTTGAGAATCATTGAAATATGCTGGAACGGTAACAACAGCATTCTTAACAGTCTTACCTAGATAAGCTTCGGCAGTTTCTTTCATCTTATTTAAGACAAACCCACCAATTTGGGCAGGAGAATAAGTTTGGCCTCTAGCTTCAACCCAAGCATCACCATTAGTGTGCTTAACAATCTTATATGGAACTTGTTTAATATCTCTTTGGACTTCAATATCTTCAAAACGACGACCAATTAAACGTTTGGTAGCGAATAAAGTATTTTCTGGGTTAACAACAGCTTGACGTTTAGCTGGAATACCAACTAAACGTTCACCTTCTTTAGTAAAAGCAACAACAGATGGTGTAGTTCTTGAACCTTCGGCATTTTCAATAATTTTTGGAACTTTACCTTCCATTAAAGCAACGGCAGAGTTAGTAGTACCTAAATCGATACCAATAACAGAACCTTGAACTTTGGTAGATTGAAAACGAGTAGCAATTCTAGTAGTGGAAGTAGAAGGCAAAGCAAATTTGCGCATAACGTTCTTAGCAGCCAACATATTTATAAATTTTTTATAGGTTTATATTATTATTATTTCAAAAAATAAAAAAAAATAAGTGCAGACTCACGAAGCAAAAAAATGATTTATTTATAAGTTATTATTAAATAGGAATTTCTTGTTTCCTAAATATTGATCTAATTTATATTTTCTTTTTATAATTTCTTTATTCTCACGAATTTAAAGAAAGATTATTTTAACAGGGATAAGTGCTTTATATATAAAAAAAAGGATATGATCGGATAAAGGTTTTCTTTGTCTTGTATTCGAGTTGGGTTTTTTCAAATACAAAATACATAAAACAAAGAAAGAGTTTGTAAATAATCTTCAAGAACTAAAAGTGTAAAAGTTGTTAAACTTCCAAAAAATAATATATATATAAAAAGAGACTCTTCCACCCCCTCAACGCTCTCTCTCTAATTTCTTCCAATCCTTCGAACCCACCACCTATTTTGCATACATTATAGATAATATCATAATAATAACGTGGTGAAAGAGAGAGAGAGAGAGTAAAAATTGTGAGTCTTTCTTTGTTTTCTCGTGCGTTTCTTTTCTGTGCGATACAAGCGTCATCAATCAATTACTCACACACACAAATAGATATTCGTTGGCCTTGCCGTTGCCGCTCAAGGGGTCACTAAGTATATCCGTAGAAACCTTGTCGAATTTCATGGAAGCGGAAAGAACAAAAATGAGAAAATATATTGCTTTTTGACCGCACCACCTCTTGTCATTGGATACGGCCGTCGTGTCTGTCCCCCTTCAGTTTTGGCCGAACTCGGCTTTCCCATTGGCTGCACACAAAACAAAACAAAACCCGATTTCTTGTTTTTCGTAACAAGTGAGCTTATCTTAAATATCATCCTGCACGAATTAGCTGACTGAAAAATATAATAGATCTACTACACCTATATATATATATATATGCATCTTTAACAAATTTCATCATTCCAATAGGTAACTATCTAGTGATTTTTCACATCAACAAGGGTGATTTCGATAGATATATAATGGGACCTAGAGTGCTCAATCTGCATCATATACATATATAAACACAATTAATAAGTGAAGCAGATCCAAACACACACACATACACATACACAAAAAAAAGAGTATTGGTTCAAATATGAGTAATGCGGATAGGAAATATATTGTACCAGCGATTGATTTAAATAAAATTAGTAATGAAGAACAATTATTACCTGTGATTAAAGCAATACTATTAAATCATGATACTTTTTTATTGAAAAATTATGCAAATAAAGAATCCTTAGATAATTTACTATTTGATCTTAAAGATTGTCCACCAGATTTAAATCAAGGATTTGATGCAAATTTTACAGGTACTTTACCATTAGATCAAGAAAATAATATTTATTTAGAACAATATATTTCTAATCCAGGGAATGCATTACAATTCGATAGACCGTGTAATAATGTATGTTTATCTAAATTACAATCAAGGCTTAATAAAGTTGCTCATTATTTCGCAACTTTGTCGATTAAAGCCATAAATCAAATAGAACCTAACCTTTTAAAAACTTTAACAGAGAATGAAGCTTTAAAATTAACACGTTACTATAATGGAACTGCCAATAACAATAACAATACTGGATTACTATCTGATCCGCTGGCGGATGTATTGGGATTAACTGCAAGTTTCAGCAATAATAACGATGGAAATGAAAATAATGAAGTAATTAGTGGTCACTATACAAAACATGATTGTGCTGGTTTATTGTCTGTTTTCCCAACAACAAATGGTATTCGCTATAAACCAACATCTGTTGCATCTGACGATAATATATGGGTTCCAATTCAAAATGATCCTACAGCTTTAGTGATTCATGTAGGAAAATTATTATCAATTGTCTCAGATGGGTTATTTACAAGTTCACCTTTACAAGTCGACACTGCAGCTAATATAGTAGAATTGACAATCTTCCCAAATTTAACTACTTCATTTGAAGATAATGGTAACATAACGATGGCTTCTACATTATTAGAACAACAGATTAAAGAATTTCCATTGGTTGCACAGAAATTTTATTATAAACAATGGTCAAAACAACAATTATTAGAGAAAATTAATTTCTATAAGAAATTATTTACGACAAGTGAAACCGTTCTATCCTTATATGCAATGTCTAGAGGTTCTACTGTAGCACCTAGATTAGATAATTTATTACCACAAATGACTAATTTATTGAAACGTAAAATTTCAGAACAAGATTTCTTAAAGATGATTACATTATGGCCGCAAGTCTATATTTTAGGTTCAGATTCAAACCATGAATTGACTGTTCAATTACCTAGAAGAGATATACTTGCATCATTGACTAATAATTCAAGAAAATTGGATTTTATACAATTTGCGGAAGAATGGTACATGAATCAAAGTCAATTGGAGAGCATTCCTTTGGATGTACCTATCTTTAAAATTAACAAGAGACGTGGTAGTGATAATTACGAATTACATGGTGATTTACATAAAAAGGATAATCACCGTGTTGATAATGACAATTACTCAAGTATGTCTCGTTCAAGAAATTATTTATCTAACAATCGGGATCCATCTAATCTATTAACAAAGGATAAGTCTAGAAATAATTCACAATCTGATTTGTTGAAAAGACTACAAGAGAAAGAAAGAAGGTCTGCAACATTATTACAAGAGAGACAACAAAAATATCAACAATTCTTAACCATTAAAATGAAACAAGTTTTTAATATTATCTTTTCTTTACAACCAAATGTTCCATATACGATGACGCACTTAAAGGCAATTATTGTGGATTCTTTACAAGATAGTAATAATCCTATAGGACCAGAAGAAGCGGAAGAGGTCCTATTGAGATTACATAGTTTACTCATTGATAATATAAGCGTCAAGACTGTAGATGGCGGTTTGAAAGTCTTGAGATGGAATAATCTCAACCAGGAGCAATTCGACATCGCATTAGCATCATTTAACCCTAATTCAAACTAGGTTACATAGCAAATATTGTTCATCAGTGCTTTAGAATTTTAATTTTATTCAAATATATAGAATTCTAATATAATAAAACACCATTGTAACTATTCATTTTGTCCTTCTTTTAAAAAAAAATACTCAGGATATTTAAGAGAAATTGGCACTTCCTTAATTATTAATAACTGTTGTCATGTCAACCACAGGCACGACGCGCGCGCCATAGAGATGGACTCAACCAAATTTTCTTTTTCTTTTTTGCCTTCACCTTTAGACTTGTCGACGACGTCGACGTCGAAACCAATGTCATCGATGAAATATTTCAATGGTAAGCAACAAAATAAAAAAGATGAAAAAATTAGGTCATTAAACATATATATTAAAGAAAACTATTAAATGATTATTCAAAACCTTTAGAAAAGGGTCAAACATATATAAATATTAAGTATGTAAGTCATTCTCTTTTTTTCTTGGTTTTAGTTTAGAAGTTATTTATTAAATTGAATATAATTTATTTATTTTTAAATTGAGTAATTATAACAATTCAACTATTTTTCTTGTATGTAATAATGCACAATAAATTAAGTAGTAAGTCTTTATATCTATGAAAAGAAAGAAAGATTTCTAAAAACTAGTTAGAGTTTGGAGCATCCTTGAAAGAAATAGCAGCTTCTTCACCCATAGCGGCGATGATAGTGACGTTCAAGTCTCTACCTTCATCGAAAGCATCTTGGATTTGAGTACCTAATTCACCTTCTGGGGCTCTAACATCATCCTTGGTTTCACCATCTGGGGTCATTAAGGATAAGAAACCATCATCAATATCCAATAATTGGAATTCAGTTCTCTTGACGAATGGGACTTCCAAGTTGTGAGTGGATGGAGATAAATCTTCTAGCTTCTTACCGGTGAAGATATCTAAAGCGACCAAATGGACTTTAGCGTGACCGTGCTTACCAGTCTTGGAAGTAGACATATCAACAATCTTACATGGTCTACCCTTGATGACAACGAAACCGTTCTTTCTTAGAGCAGAACATTGCATTGGGTAGGTAGCAGAAGAACCAGCATCGGCAACTTCAAAAGTTTGTTGTTCAGAATCAGACATTGTGAATTGAATGTATATATATGTGTATGGTGATCTGTTCTATAAAAGAAAGGAATTATTAAAATAATATAGAACAAAATAATAGGGATTATGAAAAATAATTCAAGAATTAAATTAAAATAAGATAAGATGTGGCAAAAAATAAAATATAAAAGAAGCTTTGTTAGAATGTCTCCTTTTTATGTAAAGAATAGAACAACCTCAAAGAATTGAAATCGTCCACAAGTATTAAAATTTAAATACAAAATTTTTTTCAGTTTTTTTTTTGTGTTTTTTTGCTCTTCATTCTTTAATTGATGCTAGTGGACAACAACAGTATCATTAATAACTAACCACTTCCATGTACGTTGTACTCAATTGAATTCACCCTTTCTTTTTCTCCCATTATAATTGAACACGGCAAAGAAATTATGAGAAAAGAGAGGAGAATAATGTAGTGAAAGTGCTGCAGGAGTTGAACCTTTCAATTTACTTTTGCACACTTCTGTTATTTCAAATTAATGAGATGTAAATTCTAATACGTTGGATTACAGTTTTGTAGGAAACAGGCACACAAATAAAAAAAAGATTTAAGAATGTAGATCTCTCTCTACGCAATTTCTTCTCCCTTTCAATGCATGAATGGGAACAAAAATCTGGAAAATAAAAGATAGATAGAAACTATTGCTTGGTTTTGTCGACGAGATGACTGTCTAAAAATTACATTTCGTCTCTCGAAATGAATTATACAATAAATATTCTTGAAAAGAAAGAGGGGTAGAGAGATGAGTGAAAAAGTTAAAAGTACAAAGGTATATAATTTTCCAGAGAATTTAATCCGTACAACTATTTGAAAAATTAGGAAAATTGGATATACTTCTTACCTCTGACAGCGTGCCTATAAACAGGCACGCCTTCTATCTCGGTTAATTTTAAAATTTAAAAAAAAATATTTCGTTTCGTTTTTCTTACACTGAAATCGCGGAGAGGTAATAGAAATTTGTGACAAGACGTAATCAATCCGTACACCACACAGTTACCCCTAAAATGTATAATATACCTATTTAGGTTTTCTGAATTGAAAAAAATTCGAACACAACAATTCGGCCGTATAAAATTACAAAAATATATTTTGAGCAAGAAATGACCATTGTTTCTGTTTTTCGATTTCAAACAAAACATCATGTTGTACGTATCACTGTCCACGAATGTCGATTTCAAAAAGAATCAAAAAAGAAAAAATCTTTTTCCAAAATGAAAAAAAACAAACAATTTTTCACTGAAAATATTTACTTTCCTGTGCAGGCGAAGAGCAAAAACCTTATACGTCTGTTTGTTCCACATCTATTGTACGTAGTTTAAATAAAAATAAAAAAGAGCTATATAGATCACTAAATTTAGTGTCATATGAACATAAAGAATAAAGGAGACAAATATCTTAATATTAGGACAAGTTAGAACACTGCTTGAGTCAGGTCATATTGCTAATTCATATATACAGATCAACTGTTTCAGAACTTTTATTTTCTTTTGAACCGATCTTTTCATTGTTCTTCCCTTTTTAATTGCATTCATTATTTTTATTTTTTTTTCTGTTTTTTTTTTCTTGCTTTATTTATTTTATTTTTTTTTTAGATTTTTAACAATCTTATCAAATAATAAAAATAATTTAAACAATTTAAAGCATTAAAGAAGAAAATACTACATTATACTTCATAGTAGTTCCTCCATAAAGGTTGCCATTCGTTGTGATTTATTTGCTTCATCTTCACATATTTTTTTTTTATTTATTTCTCTCATTTGCATTTAGTATACTGAGCAACAATGAAACCAAGTAATGCATCGAGATGGGTAAAATCATCTATTATTAGTATAATTGGTTCAGTAATAACTATAATATTACTCTTAAGGTTGATACTACCATCTTCCTTAACCCTTACAGCATCTATATTCAAACCATATGTTCCAAATTTTAAAAATGTTCCAGGAGTTGAATTTTATGATTTAAGAAATTATCAAGGTAATAAAGATGGTTGGCAACGTGGTGATAAAGTTTTATTTTGTGTACCTTTAAGAGATGCAGCTGAACATTTACCACGTTTTTTCAATCATTTAAATACTATGACTTATCCACATAATTTGATTGATTTATCCTTCTTAGTTAGTGATTCATCTGATGATACAATGGGTGTATTATTATCTAATTTACAAAATGCTCAATCTCAAAAGGATAAGAGTAAAAGATTTGGTAATATTGAAATTTTTGAAAAAGATTTTGGTCAAATTATTGGTCAATCCTTTTCTGATAGACATGGTTTTGCTGCACAAGGACCAAGAAGAAAATTAATGGCAAGAGCAAGAAATTGGTTAGGTTCTGTAGCGATTAAACCTTATCATTCTTGGGTATATTGGAGAGATGTCGATGTTGAGACTATCCCAGAGACTATCATGGAAGATTTAATGCATCATGATAAAGATGTTATTGTACCAAATGTTTGGAGACCATTACCTGATTGGTTAGGTAATATTCAACCATATGATTTAAATTCATGGAAAGAAAGTGAAGGTGGTAGTCAATTAGCAGAAAGTCTGGATGAAGATGCAGTCATTGTAGAAGGTTATCCAGAATATGCTACGTGGAGACCTCATTTAGCATATATGAGAGATCCAAATGGTGATCCAGAAGAAGAAATGGAATTAGATGGTATTGGTGGTGTTTCTATCTTATCAAAAGCTAAAGTTTTCCGTACCGGATCTCATTTCCCTGCATTTTCATTCCAAAAACATGCAGAGACAGAGGCATTTGGGAAATTATCTCGTGCAATGAATTACAATGTTGTTGGTTTACCACATTATGTTATTTGGCATATATATGAGCCATCGACAGATGATTTAAAACATATGGCATGGATGGCAGAAGAAGAAAAGAGAAAAGTTGAAGAGACTAGAATTAAAGAATTTTATGATAAGATTTGGATTTCTGGATTTGATGATGTTAGAGATGAATGGGAAACTGAAAGAAGTGATATTTTATTAAATATTGATTTAACTAATGCACCAGAAAGTAAAATCGATGTGGATTGGTCAGATGACGATGATAAATTAAAAGCTGCTAATGCAGCACTTGCAGGATCAGTACAGGATGCATTATCAGCAAATGGTAAAAATCCAAATAGTAACGATATTAACAAGAAGACTAACAATAATAACAATAATAATAATAACGATAATGATAATAATAACAATAACGCTGCCCAGGCACATAAAGCTGCCGGATTAGAGGTAGCTCCTGATTTTGATCCAAATCAATAATAATAATAATCATAATAATCATAATAATAAACAGTTTTTATGGCATTATCTTTGTTACGTAGGCACATATACCCTTTATAAAGAGACAAACACAATAATTAACTTACATGTAATATTAATTCCTCTTAAATTTCAAGCTACAAAGAGATATTGTACAACGATCATTATTATTGCAAGAGTCTAGATGTTTCAGACTTCTCGATCATAATTCTTCGAACGAGAATATCATGAGATATTCAAGAGATAACAACTAAAAAGTTAACTCGTTATTCAATGTATATATTAACTCTAATACTTTTAGTACTAAACTACAAACTAAATAATAAGAATACTGATAGTATTACTACCATTTGTCAAATATTAATATTTTGAAAAAGAAACTATGTATCATTTTTAATGTTTTGTTTACAAAACGTTATATTTGGACACTTTTCCAAACAAAATCCAAAGCGTAATAATTTAAGACATTTCAAAAAAACAAACAAAAACACACACAGGATATTCTCAACTTTGTAGCAAGAGATATATGTAACCATACATTCCTATATAGTTTTACAAATATCCTCAATTCATCTATTTAATAATCAACGATATGCTTCCAATAATATTATTATCAGATATAACGAGTAAGAATATTATTTTACCGCTAAACAAAAATTAAAAAATATCGCCAGTAGGCAATTCATTATGTAACATATACATATGTCACTAGTATACCTGTGAGTACAACACCTAACACAATTAACCAACATATTTTAAATTCCATAGGACAGACATCATCAAAAGTAACACTTTATTAGAGTTTATCTTGAAATATGATAAAAAAAAAAGATTAAAAAGGACGTTCGTCGATGAGCTGAAAATTCCAACTTTCTACCCCACGCACCAAATGCTTGCAATTAACTGTTCTCTCTCCCCCCACTCTATTATGTTTCAACCAATCAACTCCCAGCTCCCAAGTCTAAGAGACACCAAATTGTTCCTCCCTACTTCTCTTAACACGAACATTATATATGCACAGTACATATCCCTTACGCTGCACGCGCCGTGCAGTTTCTTTCTCTGTCTATTATTCTGTCCGCACTTCCATTCGAACAACCCAATGAATGACCCGCCCGCGATATCTCCATAGTAAACAACGACATCACACAAAAACGAATCAAAATTAAAGAGTAAAATTTGTTTTGTTCACGCAATTTCTGACCAAATTTTTTTTTCACAATTTCACATACTAAATTCCGACAAACCCGACGCAGGGATCAGTGAAAGAACAGTGATTTGTCTCTTTGCATTTGCGTTATGTCCTTCGTTTTCTTACCTCGGATGTGCTTGGTAGTGGTAATTTATTAACATGTTAACACGTTAGAGACCTAGTTGAACCAGTGAAAAAACAAGACACAATACAATTATTTTTTGAATTCAGATGAAATATAGAGAGCAATTTTAATGTGAAGTGAGTACTGAGTGAATTAGAGTAAACTGATTCAAAATTTCTGCAGATAACGGATTTATTGTAATTAACAATGTTTTATACATTTATATATATATATATATATAAGAGTTCTTGTTCTTGTAATTTAGATTTTGTCATCTGTCATTATTCATATATATTTTCTTATAGATAATTTGTTCTTATTTATATTATCTCCTTTCTCTTAATTTGTTAACTTGTAATAAAATCATAGAATAGAACAAAAGAAGAATATACATAGAATTTATTTTCATTTTCTTTTATTTCTAATCTCTACAAAAACACAAATTATAAACACATAAAATAAAAAAATGGCTGGTAAGACTGAATTTGAAGCTGGTAGTGCAAAGAAAGGTTCTACTCTTTTCAAGACTAGATGTCTACAATGTCATACTATTGAAAAAGGTGGCCCAAATAAAGTTGGTCCAAATCTAAGTGGTATCTTTGGTAGATATTCTGGTCAAGTTGAAGGTTTCTCTTATACTGATGCTAATATTAAGAAACACGTCTTATGGGATGAACAAAATATGTCTGACTATTTAACTAATCCAAAGAAATATATTCCAGGTACTAAGATGGCTTTCGGTGGTCTAAAGAAACAAAAAGATAGAAATGATTTGATCACTTACATGAAGGAAGCTTCTGCATAAATCTTATGAACTGTATTAATATTCCCCCCTCCCACATTACGAAAGGAAATCTTCAATAGTAATAACTTTTTTTTTTTAAAAGTGGTTAAAGGTTTAACGAAAGAGATGGTTCATAAATATCTATATCCTTGTTACAGGTGTTCTTTTTCTGTTTTCTTTTGTGATTTCTTTAAAAAAAACAAACTCTAATATTTATTAAGAAAACTTATTTATTTATATACGTATATATTTTGGTATAATATACCATCATGCAAATAGTTATTAATTTTTTTATTTATTTATTTACTGCCTTTTTCTTATTCTTATCTTTAATTTGGATTTCAATTTCATCTGATGAAGATGATTCAAGCTCATCAGCTTCCTTCTTAGCTTTATTTTCTTTTACAAAATTTTTCTTATTTTTACTTGAAAGTAAATTCGTGAACGACTTTTGTTGTTCTCTAACATTCCAATTTAATGTTCGACTAATATTTCTAATAAATTGTTCATCAGTTGAACTTACTGTTGGGAAACTAAATGAACTACATGAAATCTTAACGTAATCACCTGGCCGTAGCTCAGTTCTTGATTTACCATCAAATGAAGCCCATGCCGAACCTCTAGATTTCATAGATACTTTGATCTTTAAACAGACACTATCAGGAAGTATTATAGGACGGAAACTCAATGTGTGTGGACAAATCGGTGTCAATGCAATTGCATTAACTGTAGGACATACTAGAGAACCACCAGCACTTAATGAGTATGCTGTCGAACCTGTCGGTGTAGCAACAATTAAACCATCACCTTGGGCATTAGTCATAAAAAAATCATCTCCATATATTTCTAAATTAGTAAGAAATGGTCCGGGACCTCTATCAATTGTAATCTCATTTAATACATGATGAATTGAAAATATAGTCATTGTTTGATCTGTACTACTACTTTTCAATTCAAAAGGTACAGTAGCGAGGGGAGGTGAAATGGTAGATGAATCTTCTGACAAATCAATTGAATTATCATTGCTTTTATTCCTATATACTGTACATTGTAATCTCATTCTTAAACTAGATTTGATTTTATGATTTAGTATTCTAGGTAAATCTTCCTTAAAGTTTTCAAATTTGAAATTTGTTAAAAAACCTAATGAACCTAGCGAAAATGATAATACGGGTGGAACCGACTGTTGAAATATTGTCGACACATATAACACGGTACCATCACCACCCATGGTTATTACCATATCAAAAAATAAATTATGTTGTTTCACAAATTGTGGTGTCCAAAAAAATATCTTATTTTCAATACATTTTGCATCCTTATATATTCCTTCTGTATTAAATTTAGGGTCATCCTTTAAAGTTTCTTCAACATAAACGTTTATAGATGGGAAGTTCTTCAATAACCATTCAACCAATTCTCTGGTCAAATATACAAGAAACAAATCATTCAATTTCGTTACGATCATTAAATTTTTAACCTCCAAATTAACCTGAGCATTTTGTAGACCTTTGTTAATCTTTCGGACGTCATTTGCAGCTTTCATATATTGCAATTGAGCGGAAGAACCACTTCTAGTTGTATCTGATGAACTAGATGTACTTTGCTGGTATTCTGGTTGGTTGCATACATCATCGACACCCATATTAGGTGTTCTCCTTAAACAAAAGTTTTGTATTTGATTTTGTGTGACATTGACATCATCTGTACTTGTCGTACTGGGATTACTGTCTTGTTCATTCCCTGCCTTCGGCTGTTTATTGCTCATCAATGGTATCGATTTGTGTACAACAATGTTTTAATTAGTTCTCTAAGTAAGTATTATTGTTATTATTTTTTTAGGTGTTACTTGGCTATGTTCCCCTATTCAATTCCATCGAATAAAGTTCCTAAATATTTTTATCGCTTTGTCCCCTTTACTATCGAGATGTGGCTGTCATATTTTTTGAGCCACGTCATTACCCAAAACTAAATCAATGCTCAAGATACTTAAGCAAATTGAATTTAGATCTCAAACATACTTAGGTATGATACATAAAATTTTATATCCTTATGGTGAAATAATTACCAAAGACATTTTGAAACACAAACAAACATCCAGCTGATACATTCTTCTGATTAAGAAATGGGGTACATTCAATTAACAAAATTCTACTTTTAAAATCATTTGATTCCATAAACTTCTGCTGACATACATACATCACAGAGTAATTTATAGATCAACTTTAGACCAATTCAAAGCAACAATCCCTTAGCTAATCTTAACATCACGAATCCCCCGAAATTACCATTCCTTGCGTATGAGAATGAACAAAAAATGGGAAGGAAGTTATGAGGTTGTATTAAACTTCTTATTTTTAAATAAAATAAACATGGCTGGTACTGAAAACTAAAATATCGCCGTTATTATATTTAATTCTGTAATAGACTAATACCTTGTTTAACCAAATGACTTCACTGTTAGTGATTGGAGAAAGTGAAAAAGTTTTTGCACCAGAGTAGATAAGTTTTCTCGTTGGACCAGATTCTAAATAATAGGTTCATTTTAAATTAGATATTTTTAAATGTTCTTGATAGTTCAAATGTATTAATGTGTCTCTTGACATATTTTCTGTTTCCTGCGGATGTTTCTGAGTATTGTTTTTTTAATTTTTTTATGGTTTTCATAGCAGAATTTACCAATTTCATATTTTGAAAATAAAGAACTTTAGGAACCCTGCGGTACTATAGGACAAAAAAAAACAGGAAATCACCATCGAACAAGGCTAAAGATACAACCAACAATAAACACTGTATTGTATTCTTTGATCGACGAACTACATTTTCAAAGTACCACTAGTAAACTATGAGTAGGAATATTGACAAATCAAATTCTGTGCTAGTCAAATATCAGGAACAGCAGGCTGCTGACAATGGTGGGTACAAGGATTATTCGCGATACAAGAGACCAAAGCGTGTTGCATCCGTTACTAATATCAAAGAAGCCATCCAATGGAGACTACAATTGATAAATGAATTCAAAGTTCTGAATACTAGAGTGTTTGACCCTTCATTAAGTGAAGATGATTTAAGAGAGGTGAACGACCAATTAAATGTTTTGGTACAGGAAAAAAAAAGATGGGATTGGCACATTAACAACAAACTAAGATCTTCGTCTTCAAAAATTGGCTCTAATCTAAATGATCGGTTTGTCATAGGCGGGAAAGTCGTACTAGGTAAGAGATATTTTGGTAGAGCAATTGAACTACCGGAGATAAAGGATTACATCGAAGAACAGAAACGGAAACAGTTATTAAGCCAACCAAAACAATTAGTCAATGCCAAGAAAATTCCATCAATAAACGCAAAATCAAATGATGAAAAGGCACAAATATATTACGGCCAGTCACTCGATGAAGATGCCAAACTGAAACTTGATAGTTTTGAAAAACATTGGACTCCAATATTACAAAGAGTGAGTGATACCAAAACTGATAACACACCATCATCAACACACCGTATCACATCTCACATACCAACACAACATGAGATGGAGAATTGGTTAGTTGAGCGCCGTAAACAAGATCTTCTCAAGAAACTTGACTTGTGATATAATGTCATCACTTCTCACATTTTGAGATGACACCCTAATTAGAGATAGTCAAGTGAATATCACGATTCACGAGGACCCTACATCATTGCTTTCAGATTTTTGAAAAATTGAAAAAAAATTGAAAATTTTTTCGCTCTTCGCAGAAGAAAGAAACAAAGAAAAATTTAGTGCTGTTTATTTCCTGTAAACCAAAGTAATGCGCCTTTTTCCTCTGCAATGTGCTTACCAAAGGAGATTCCATTTTCGTTACGAAGAGTTTTCCTCTTTTGTTTCTTTTGTTCACCACACCTTTTATTGCAGATTTTTTTTTTTTCATTTGCGTTAGCATACGTTTAAATTTGATCTTTAATTCAAGATCTTGTTAGACTACTTGTTTCTTCAAATTATTTTCATATATTGGACAATAACATCCATACTCAGGTCACTGAAATAACTACCAATACAAAATGTCCATTGCATTAGAGCTACCAGAAGAATATAGAACAGCATCCAATGATTTGCGTTCCGATACTTTCACCACTCCAACTGAGGCTATGATCAAAGCTGCTTTGAATGCCTCTATCGGTGATGCTGTCTACGGTGAAGATGTTGATACCGCCAGACTGGAACAAACCGTTGCCAAGTTAGCTGGTAAGGAAGCTGGTCTATTCTGTGTTTCCGGTACTTTATCTAACCAAATTGCATTAAGAACTCATTTGTACCAACCACCTTTCTCCATTTTATGTGACTACAGAGCTCATGTTTACACTCACGAAGCTGCAGGTCTTGCCATCTTGTCTCAAGCCATGGTTGTTCCAGTAATCCCATCTAACGGTAACTACATGACTTTAGAAGATATCAAGAGCCACTATGTTCCAGATGATGGTGACATCCATGGTGCCCCAACAAAGGTCCTTTCCTTAGAAAACACTCTACATGGTATTGTTTACCCATTGGAAGAATTGGTCAGAATCAAGGCTTGGTGTATGGAAAACGGTATGAAATTACACTGTGATGGTGCAAGAATCTGGAATGCCGTTGCTGAAAGTAATGTCCCATTGAAACAATTCGGTGAATTGTTTGACTCTATCTCCATTTGTCTATCGAAGTCCATGGGTGCTCCAATTGGTTCTATCTTAGTTGGTAACACTAAGTTCATTAAGAAAGCCAACCATTTAAGAAAACAACAAGGTGGTGGTATCAGACAATCTGGTATGATTGCTCGTATGGCTCTATGTAATGTTGATGATGACTGGAAATCCAAACTTCTATTCTCTCACAGTTTGGCTCATAAGTTAGCTGATTTCTGTAAAGAACATGGTATCCCTCTAGAATCCCCAGCTGACACCAACTTCGTCTTTATTGATCTTAGAGCTGCCAAGATGAACCCAGATGTTTTAGTCAAGAAGGGTCTAAAGTACAACGTCAGATTAATGGGTGGTAGAGTTTCCTTCCATTATCAAGTCACTGAAGATACTCTAGAGAGAGTTAAGAAAGCTATATTGGAATCCTTTGAATATGCTAAGGAACACCCATTTGACCAGAATGGTCCAACTCAAATCTACCGTAGTGAATCTACTGAGGTTGATATCGAAGGTAATGCTATCCACGACATTAAGGGCTACAAGTACTAGTTTCATTTATATTCATTGTTTCACAGACACAAAAGTAAAAGAAAATTAATACCCCAATCCCTTTATATACATACATATAAATAAATAAATTAATAAATTAACAAATTTTAAGTCTCACAACCCACTTAAAAGCAATTTAATACTTTTTGTTCATTTTCTTTAACAGTTATGATATGATCTTGATGCTATTCTCCTGATTTATCTCTATTAACTGTCAAAATGGAATTTTTAGCTGCAAAAAACTGTATAACCGACATGTCATACTTCTTTGACTGCTAGTACCCATTACTGTATATGCTTTACTCATCACAACCTCTGCACTGTTGATTAATCAGCAAAAAGAATAGTTCATCTTTCAACTTCAAGAGAGCTATACAGAGAGACCCGGGAAAAAAACTTCGATGGATACGCTCTTTTCACTGCAAATATTAAATAACACCCTGGAAATTACGAATAATAGTGTGTGCGTGAGAATGCGAAAAGGAACACACAAACCGTTAATCTTCTTTATTTCTTAGCGTTTATATGACCTACAAGTGGCTATCAATCTTGAATTTTTATTTATTTATTTTACCATTGAGAATGATTTAGTTTCGAATATTTATAATCTGAACTGATTAGCATAACATCGATAAATTCAATTACATCTCGAGATTTAGTAACTTTTATAGTAACTTTACTCTTTAAGATTTTTTATTGATTAGGAGGTTATTTCTCCCCTTTTTCAATTTTCCTACAATGGCAAGATTGCTTAGAAGAACAAATTTATACCTCATTGGAATACTAGTAATCATGGTTATACTAAGACAAAGCATCCGATTATTTTCAACAAAACAATCAATTATTAATAGGAATCCCGTTGTTATCATCGGTTCAGGATTAGCAGGTTTATCTGCAGCAAACCAACTAATAAATGAATTCGATACACCTGTCGTAATTTTGGATAAGGCTGCTAATATAGGTGGTAACTCCATTAAGGCCTCGAGTGGTATAAATGGTGCGAATACAATAACTCAATCAAAATTAGATGTGATTGATACCCCTACATTATTTTTAGAGGATACAGTTAAATCCGCAAGAGGTAAAGGTATCCGTTCTTTGATGGATGTTCTAACTAAAGAATCTAAGGGAGCTGTTAGTTGGTTACAGACTGAGTTCGGCATTAAGTTGGATGCGTTAGCTCAATTAGGTGGCCATTCTGTGCCAAGGACACATAGGTCTACAGGTAACTTACCTCCAGGTTATGAGATTGTTTCCACTCTATCAAAACGTTTGCAGAATAAAGCTCAAAATGATGTCGATCGTTTAAAGATAATGCTAAATACGAAGGTGCAAGATATTAAACTAGATTCAAGGGGTGCTGTTCAAGGTGTTAAGTATATCGATGAAAACGGCATCCTCCAATCAATCATGACGGATAGTATAATATTTGCAACAGGTGGATTCGGTTATTCTAAAGAAATGTTAAAAAGGTATGCGCCACATTTAATAGATCTACCGACTACAAATGGTAAACAGACTACAGGTGATGGCCAGATTATACTAGAAAAACTTGGTGCAAATATGTTAGATATGGAACAAATTCAAGTCCATCCAACCGGTTTCATTGATCCAGCTGATCGTCAAAATAATTGGAAATTTTTAGCCGCAGAAGCTTTGAGAGGTCTTGGTGGTATTTTGCTAAATCCCTCAACAGGTAGAAGATTTACCAATGAGTTGAACACAAGAGATAAAGTCACAAAAGCAATTCAAGAAATATGCCCCGAAAAGGATAACAAAGCCTATTTGGTGATGAGTGAAGACTTGTATCAAAATTACCAAAGTAACATGAAATTTTATATGTCAAAAGGTCTAATATCAAAAATGTCTATTAAAACTTTTATCAGTAATTACAAGCTCCCAATCACTACAACCGATGTGGTGAATGATTTAATCAACTACTCTTCTAAAGATGCAGAATCTGACGAATTTAACCGTTCATTGATCATCAATACATTTGGCAGTAACATAACTCCAGATACAGAAATATACGTAGGTGAAATAACCCCTGTTGTACATTTTACTATGGGTGGCGCTACAATCAATGAGAAAGCTCAAGTTATGAATAATGAAAATGGTGTCCTAGCAACGGGGTTGTATGCTGCTGGAGAAGTCTCTGGTGGTGTCCATGGTTCAAATAGACTGGGTGGTTCCAGCTTGTTAGAATGCGTTGTATTTGGAAGAATTGCCGCTAACGAGATCGGTTCTAGAAGAACATAGTATATATATATATATCTTAACACAGTGTTATCGTTAATAAATCACACATTCACTATATTTTTTAATGTAATTCGAGAACAATCACATTTTAGTTATTTTGTACATGATTAGCTTATGCTTTCTATACAATAAATGACAATAAATTTGATATATTAGTCCGATTAACTTGGGTCATTATGAACAGTTGTCTCGTACTTATTAATAGTCCATTGCTGATATAAACAGGATCAAAAGGGACGAAATTTTAGTACGTCGTATACTTCCTTCTTGGTGAAAAAAAGTAAGATAATTCGATGCACCAGAGTTATCGGACTTCTATAAACAGGTGCGAAAAATTTACTAGTACTAACTTCCATGAATTATTACTCTCTACATTAATCATATTTTTTGAGAACATTACCAAGTGAAGAATATATTTGTTATAGCAACCATTTTCCACCTTAAGGTATACGGAACTGAGCATATTAATAAACTTGTATTACTAACAATGTATAGAAGTAGGAATAGAAACAGAGGGAATAATATTAAAGGTCCAAATTCTGCATTGACTCAATTTTTGCAAGAAGAAGGTATCAGCGCAGAGAGTATAAAACAAAGATGGTTAGATACACATCCAACAGAAGATGAAGTGGGGAAGCCTTCAGATCAAGATAATGTGAAGGAGCACGAGGAAGATAAGAATATTACTGTGAGTGAAGAATCCAAATCTTTAGAGACATCTGTAGATTTATTGGAATCTAGTGACGAAGATGAGGAATCGAAAAATTACAAAAATCTTTTAGATATATCTAGCAAACGAAGACTTATGACACTCAGAGAGGGTGATGATAGTGATGAAGAAGAATATCATGCATCAGAATCTCCAAGTGTCCCACCTACCAGAAGCGAAAAAGATCCGGCAACAATTTTGAAACAAAGAGCTAGGACAAAGAAACTTCTTCATGGCAGAAAGAAAAGAAGAAAGAGAGCAGCTAATTTATTGGATCAAAAAGGTGAAGAAATACCCTCGTTGCAACAAATTGCTTTATCAGTTATAAGTAAAAATATATCTTCCTGGGAAACTGATAACAATAATGAAAAGTTTTTATTTACCCATTTAAGAGATGTGTTAGGGGGTATATCACTAGACAATTTAAATAGGTTAGCTAATGCGTTGTCCAAGAACAGAGCTTTAAATGACAACACCTTACAACTGTTTTTGAAGACTGATTTGAAAAGTTTAACCTTTTATGATTGTTCTAAGGTATCATATGAAGGCTACAAAACATTAGCCATCTTTTCACCTCATTTGGAGGAACTTTCGTTACAGATGTGCGGTCAATTAAACAATGAAGCATTGTTATATATTGCCGAAAAGCTTCCAAATCTAAGATCCTTGAAATTGGATGGTCCATTTCTAATTAATGAGGATACTTGGACCAAATTTTTCCAAATCATGAAGGGGAGATTACAGGAATTTCATGTTTCAAACACACATAGGTTTACAGATAAGTCATTAAACAGTATGTTACAGAATTGTCATACAGAACTAGTTTCATTAGGGTTTTCAAGATTAGATTCATTGTTCAATTATGCTATACTGCCGCAGTATTTAACTAATGAACATTTTCACACACTAGTTATTGAATATCCGTATAATGAGGAAGACGTCTCAGATGAAGTAATTATAAATATCCTGGGTCAAGTTGGCCCAACTTTGAAATGTCTTGTATTAAAACAATGTGACGAATTAACGGACTCTATGATCGTAAATGGGATGAATGCCTTTTTGTGCGGTACAAATGGTGTTAACGATACCTTAAAGACATTGGTTTTGGAATCGCTAGATCAAATAACATCCGATTCGCTGGTATATTTTTTCAGCCAAATATCTTTACCATCGATGGAAACTTGTAGTCTGATGAGATGTACAGAGATCAGTGATGATGCAATCGTAGAACTATTTCTAAACTGTGCGAAGGATTCATTGATTCACTTAAATTTAAATTCATTGAAAAATCTGACAGCTAAAACGTTTTCGGTTTTTAAATGCGATAAGTTGGAAACTCTCGACTTAGGGTTTATTAGATGTATTGATGATGGTACAATGGAGTTAATTTGTAAGCAAAATTTGAATTTACAACTAGTGGATGTCTTCGGTGATAACCTAATTACAAAAAATGCTAATATTAGACAAGGCGTGAAGCTTTTAGGGAGACAAAGTGACAGTATATAGAAGTAGAACCTTATATAATACAATTTAATACTTATAGATATATACCAGGAATCATTTTACTTATTTGGCTGTTCTGGAAACCTAATTTTTAGACAACTTAGTCCTGCCTTTGGTAGGTTCATGAGTTACAAAATGCAATAACATATTAATGCAAAATATTTAGCATACAATATTTCAAAATTTGAAGAGAAATATTCTGTTTTATTAATTGAGACTATTAATCTAAGCGAGCCGTACATCTACTTAGATGATTTGCATTTAAAAGAAGTTTCTTATAGTCTATCAATTATTTGTCACTAAAATTACCTTTGAAATAGACCTACCTTTGTATTTCCAGAACGCGAGGTCAAAATAATGTTGATAGGATCGGAAAATAAACTAACAACAAATAAAAACAAAAACAAAGAGATAAATATTCAAGGTATGAAAAAAATCACAGTTATTAATTTAACTTTAAAAGACAGAGAGGAGAACAACAACAATAGTAGGTTTTTAACACCTGTATACATTTTATAATATATAGACCACACTATATTAATACCCGCAACAAATCAACGAGAATAATATACTTACAAACTCCAAAAGAGAACATATTATCAAAGGCTGAATGGACATTACAGACACTTCCTTTGAGGAAATCGAACCATCATTTCTACGAGAGAACAATCGTACTGACCCTTTCTCCCAAGATAACTTGCCTAAAAAGAATAATATTAATAAAATAAGACCAGAAGTACTTCAATCGCGACCACACACTTTACACGGTCTTCTGGCAGCACCATTATCAACCGCAAGCTCAGGCAAGACTGCATTTTCAGATGATATAAAAACTCAACCTTCCTGGTTAGATGATACCGAATCTCGAGATAGTAATCAAGATTTCGACCAGGCTGAGAGCGATGATGAATTTTTAGATGACTTTGAGGAATTTCAAAATAAGAAGACTAATTTCGATGAAGCAATAAAGACCCGATTCGGAACATATCGAAAACACACCCCTGACAATTTACATCACTTAAGTGAAGAATTTAATAATTACTTACATTTTGGATCAACCAATAGACCTCAAGAAAGTCGACGTGTAGGTAATGCATTGAGACAACCAAAATCTATGATGGATTTGAAACCAAGAATAGGTTTCCAATATGATGGTATGAACGGTAATCCAAGAAGTTCAAGACTGAAAAATAGCATGTCATATGGAAACTTACGTAGTTCATCAAGAAACCCAACATCTGTAAGGTTTAAAAAATCAATGCCAAATATGGCTGCCAAAATTATAGAAGAAGATCAGGAGTCGGATAGGGAGAATAATGATTCAGTATTGAAGAGAAATAACCCATCTGACTATTACTTAAGCAAATTTGGAGAGGATCGAAACAATTCTGATGACCAAGATTTTATATTTGAGTCCAGCATGATTCAACCCAGCTTTGTTCCAAAGCATATTGGAGGAAACTTACCCATAAAATTATCCCCGTCCATCTACAATATCGAGCAACATAATAACCTCCTGACCCCTCAATTACATAAAAGAACAAGTAAAAATCGTTCTACTTATGATCAATTGGAAAATTTCAGAGAGAATAGTACATCCAACAGTTCTCGTATACCTTCAGGGAACCTAAATTTGAATCAACGAGCCGCTACATATAGAATGAGAACAATTAAACAACAAATCGATCACAATACCCCAGTGAAGAAAGGAAATATGTATTACAACCCCCAAAGTATGAAATGGGAAGGTAACGAACATATTTTGAAAAAATTTGACGAAATAGACTCTAGCTCAACAAATCCGTTATTAATAAAAAAGAATAAGGCTGATCTAGAAAAAATTGAAAATACAAAGATTAGAAGCAAATCATCTAGACCTCCTGAAGTAGTTGGAGATATGATGTTTGATGAAAAAAATCTTAGATGGGTAAGTATCCATGAAGAACCACCAGATCCATTTGCTGGTATAGATGATATTGTTCAAGAACAAGACAAAGACACCCCTAAATCTCCATTCCTAAGGTCGAAAAGTCAAACAAAATCTGAAATGCTGTCTAGGTCTCTATCTGTGAATCCAAATCTTAGGAAATATCACTCATTTGGTGGTATCGGTGACAAATATAAAACTAACTCCAACTATGTCTCAGACAGCTATAATAATACATCGGATAAACTTGCATCTACATTTACTATAAGTTCAAAACTGCTCGAACATTGTTATCACGAAGAGAATAGATGGAATAAGAGGGTAGGTGGATGGTTCTTGCTGAATAATAAATATAATACTTGTGGCAATGAAGGTGATGACCACCTCAACAACACATCAGTCGCATCTTTGGATACTAATGACTATATGTATGAAATAAGGAAGATGGTATTAAGCTCTACTAATAATTGAATGTAGCCTAGCCATTTTTGTTTACCTACGGCTATTTCAGTTAAACTGCGATTCTTTTTTGCATTTCGCGGTTTTTCTATGTGATAAACTTATGTACTTGAAAACGCGAAAAGCCCAACTACGAAATGCTGACAGTTGACTTTTCAGAAGGAAGCCGCATGGTACGATTGTGAAACAGTTACGATGACCTAATTATAAACAGAATTAGATGCTATGAAAATAAAACTTGGCTAGGTTCTCCTTCTCTTTATGTATATATTTATGTCTGAGGTTGTTATATATTAAAGACATTTGCAACCACAACATTTTTTCTCTAATTTAAAGATTTCCGTTCAGTCGACAAATTGATGAAGAACTGAAGGAGGTTCGACGTATTTATTCAATGATAAAAGACTAATAATAGTGAAAATGTTTTACCATGAATGGAAATTCTCTATAAATCCAAAGAAATTTGAGGACATAAATCTCGCCCAATTCAAAAATACGAGAATAAAGACTTTACTCAGTTATTTATTTAGAGTCTGGTTTTTTTTGATTTTAAAGTTAGCCTTTTTAGTATCTGACTGTTACACATGCATAAAATTATTAGCGTATAACTCATGGTCTAATAACGTGATTAAACCATATCTTCCTTTTAATATTTCAAAATGGCTCTTTAGTGGTTGTATATTCGTTTCTTTTGCGCTGATATTATGGGAAATTATTTTAGGCATACGTGTATTACGAACTCGAAATATCGCCCTTTGTTATGTGAACAAATTTGCAAGACTATTTCAATCTATTACAGACTACTCAAAATTTTGCATTATGGATATGATAACGCCGTCTAATTCTTTTGAAAAGTGGACTTTCTTCATATTCTTCGAGCTGAAGGATTGTATTGGATTACTTTTTGCTGACACACCTAGGCAGGTCATAAATGCCCTAACATTATGGTCTGTTGTAATAACAACAAATAGAAACAATTTAGATCTGGGGGATCTTGAGACTTTTAGCGATGTGCTATCAAGAATAAGGTATATTGCAAAGTACAACCATGCGGAGGCGGTTTTACTGTCTTTCATGCTCTTTTCGTTCGCCATATGGCTATTTTTCATTACAAAACTAACGATAGCAATCATGTGTTCACCATTTGTATATTATAAGCTAATAAAAAGAGGGAACTACACCAGTATTAGAGAGTTCTGTTGTATTTCGATCAGCAATAATATTGATTCTATCCTCGCAAAGCAAAAAGAAGAGCTCGATAGATATGATAGTGCTAGCATTTTAAGATTAAATATCTACGATGATGAATCACGACTCGAGACAGAGACTATCGAGATTTCAGAGTTTGATAAATACGATATCGAAAAAGTTATATCCGATAGTTCATCCGAATCATTACCAAATGCAATACCTTTTAAGCTTTATCACACCAATGAAAGTGAAACACTTGTATTGGATGAACCCAAACAGTTCACTTCCATTATTTACGGATCTAACCCCAAAATACATCAATTTCTTCCGGCGACTACTCAGTTTAATAGTTCGAGGACCAGACCTAAACCTAATATATCCTTAGACACAAATGGAATAGATCAAAATCTATATAATGACAATCATGTTTTTATACCAGATAAGGCATATTTTAGAACGAATGGCATATGACAAACATACCTTTTTTGAATTAAGTATTATTATTTCCTTCAAAAGCGTAGGTAAATATATAAATTGTATTTAAAAATTAAACCTCATTTTTTAATAATATTTCTAACAGCAATTGAAGCGGATCTCGATTGTCGAACCATAACAGAGCTCTATTTATCCTTTACCATTTGTTGAACAGAGTATAATACTAAAATTCAGCATACCATAAAGCACTATATGATCAACAAACATACGGTAACAGAAACATACCAGACCGTATAAAATTATTAGTAAGTACACTATCAGTAATTGATAGCTTTACTACCCTTTTCCAAACGTATAAAAGGGCCCCATTTTCTAATACTTATGTACATTATTTCCTGTTCTTTATATTTGCTTTATATAACATATAATAAATCACTAGAACCGTAGAAATTCTGAGTATGAGTTTTTAATCCCCGAAAGTTCTAGAATGTTATGGAACATTATTACTCAATAAAACAACCAATAATAATTATACAACCATATATTTATAACTATGCCAAATGTTCACAATTCTGAATCACCATCGGCATTTTCTCCTAGTTAATTACGTTCACACCTTGTGGAACATTTAGGAAGAGTGTTACTTAATGTAAATGACGGAAATAATATGATATAAGTATATCTAGAATGTTTTACCAATAACATGGAAAGATCACGAGAAAATTACGTAATAGAATATTACATAACAAGATGTTACGTAATCACATTACTAATACAAAAATATATGCGTATTAATAATGAACCATTACGTAAGGAAGATTACCTAATAGATGAGGAGGTAATCAAAAGAAGTTAAAACTATATAAACACGAGTTATTCTGAACTTACAATCTGAGTTAGGATTCATTCGTTATGTATATTAAATAAAAAATAAAAAATCACTTACAAATTTAGAAGAAAAGTAACACATACGTTTGCTTTACAACCTACTGTCACCGTAATAATCTTCATTACCCATCACCACTTATTTAATATGCAAAACCAATCCGAATCTAACATCGATATGTCTGCTTCAGCTCAGTAAAATGTTAAATAACTACGTATTGTCACTTAATATATTATAACAATATATACCATTAATTTTAATTTTTCTTGAATAACTCATCTGTTGGAAATTTGTAGAGAATCTGAGGTAGAGTTTTTTACTCTCAGTTGATTCTTTAGTTTCTTGTTTGTTAGTTAAATGTAATTCGGACATTTTTTGATATGATAATTGATCGGTTATTTTAAATTATATAATCTTCAAATTACGTAATTATAAATATTTCTTATTTTACAATAATGGCTTTATATATACCATTAGTTTTTCTTAAACAACTCACCTGCATATATTGCTGGTTTGCTTTTATTTTATTTTTCGCGCTGGTTGAAATAGTTTTGCTGGTCTCTCTCCAATATTGCTAATTATTTCTTTACAATATTTTTGGACTAAGGGTCACAATAAGTTACCCTTCGTTTCTGACACTACATATAGCAGTATTACACTTCGTACAGTTGTAAAGCATCCTGGATATTACAAATGATCATAATTTCCGCCAAAAGCTATCATATTTCTGTTAAAATGCAACACTCAATATATTTATGTTTGGCTTTATGATTTTAATACAGAAAATTCTAAAATTCTGGTATGATAAGTTCTCATAAAGGAGTTCGGCTTTTTAAATTTCCTATTCCATTGGCGTAATGGTAACGCGTCTCCCTCCTAAGGAGAAGACTGCGGGTTCGAGTCCCGTATGGAATGTGCTTTTTAAATTTTTTATTAGCTGTCACGTGACTTTTCTGAAATTTTGAGTTGCTAATTCTCACAGGGTACCTGTAAATTTGAAATACAGTTTAGTGCATATGTTTAAGAAAAGTAATCGTTTAGGATGGTCATCCAGTTAGGTTATATATTGCATTGTCATCTTTTTTCTGTTTGTATAATATAAAAAGCTTTTTATATTTTTAATTCAGCTTTCCCAATGAACGCCCTGAGCAATTTCTATATTGAAATTTGCTATTGGCCAAGCGGGAAAACGAAAAATTCGATGAGCTGAATTAAATAGAGATCAAATTATATGTATTCTTTCTTGTTACTTTTTGCCAACCGATTCCTAGTACTTATGTTTCACCTCCTGGAATCCTAACGTATAAAAGAGACTGAGTACCTTTCGTTCAGTATACCAAACGATGAAGTGTGAAATATGCCTGGAACAAGATGCAAAGTACAAATGCCCTACCTGTGGAATTAGATATTGCTCTCTGAAATGCTACAAAGATCCCCAAAAGCACAATCACACCAATACCAACGGTAGCATGGACTCAGATGGAAAAAACGTAGAGCCTCGAAAGTTCGAAGGTGATGATTCTACTACACAAACTACATCAGTTACTAAAGACGGTGATTCCGAACTACGTACCCCGAAACTGAATGAGATATATCATAAGTCGCCTGAGCTTCAACATTTATTAAAGTATAACACCGTTAAATTTCATTTAGATAAGGTTTACAAGATACTTACGAGTAGTGTAACTGGTGGTGGTCAAGATAATATTAATATGAGCAGTGACATGCAAAGACAACTTGCAATCGATTACTTAAACACCTTGAGATATGGGGGTGTACATTATAACGAGGCAATTGAAGAGTTTTGTCAGTTATTTTTGCAAATATTAGAAGAACACTGATCTTTGTTTACGTTTACCTATGGACTATAACATATGCAAAAGTGGTACATAATATTGGATCTATGTTATTGTTATTATTTTAACTAAAAGAATGAGTATTTAATATGACTATATTTATGGGTATTGATTTATATTACTCACGTTTAGAGTTGAGCCTACAGCGTTACTTTTATAAACGTTTTCGACTAATCTATATAATGCTAATGCGTCTAACAGGGTTGGAAATCCATCCATTTGTAGCCCCTGGATAAGGATGAGTTCATCTGCTTTGGGTTTCTGTGAAATTGGTAATAGTGAGGCATCGTGAAACTTACCATTTTTTTGATCATTAAAATCTGCAATGGACTGGTATAATTTTGCCATGTTTCCCACCAAAGCATTATAATTCCTATAATGAAAAAATTCTAAAACTTCATCGTCTGTATTGTAGATTACTTGTCCCTCAGGAGGTGGGTCTTGAATATCAGCGTTGATATTAACTTTGATACCACTATGATATAATACTAAGTTCGATATTTCTATAAAGCCTGCATCACCTTCAATTTTCAAATCACCTTTTGTACCATGTATATCAATCACGAGATTTTTAGTGAATTTCTTGGTCGGCTTCCCACCTTTGAAACTACATGATACAGGTACATTTCCTTTAATTAATTTCCCCTGGAATAATAAATGATCCGGTACATTTTTCTGTACTTTTTTACCAAGAGAATTTCCCATATCGTCAACCAGAACTTGCTCGGGAATATTATTGAATATCATTGAATTGATGGTACTGAAGTATGAACCTGTAATGTATTCCAACGCATCAATAGTATGCCCAAAGCAATAACTTACGAGGTCCCTCCTAGCGTCCATTTCATAAAGAAATTGTGGTGATTTTTGCAGTCTTTCATAACCAAACCAATTTCCATTACCAGCTACCTCTATAGAGTTAATATTACCTATTGATCCATCTTCTATTAATTCTTTCGCCCTTATTATGTAAGGTGACTTCCTGCTTTGTAGAGATATTATTGTCTGTATACCTAATTCAATCGTCTGGTTTGCAAGAAATTCAGTTTGTGTAAGACTGAAGTTTAATGACCATTCGAAAAGTAAATATTTAATTTGATTCTTTTCTTCCCTAATATTATCTAAAATAGACATTATTTTATCATATAATTGTTCACCATTTGATGTGAAAACAATCATGTCTATACCGGAGTTGGAAACTAATTGTTTTAGTGATGGATACGCAACGGCATCTTGAAGACTCAATCTGTCTATGATATCAAGTGATTCTTGGATATTATCATTATATATGGCTGATATTTCAAAAAAAGATGAAACCTGCAAAATGGCCTGACAATGGGTCTTTATTGCCAATGTATTTGCACAATTTAACCCAACAAAACCAACTTTTATTGATGAATTTTGTGTCATGTCTAAAATGACCGGATTTTTTATGTAATAATATACCTGGAATGTCAAGTTACAGCCAAATAAATGGAAATGCAAATGGTAACTTCTATTATGTAAAAAATAGTATTATTTTTATTATGACTTTCTTGTCAATTTTTCGACACTGTACGCTGGTAATAGTTGTTACTAATAACAGAAGATATTTTAAACCTAAATAAATATGTAATTTGATATTAGACTAGATAATATTTTTTTAATAAATAAAATTATTCATTTGAAAAATGCAGTTGAAATATTTAGAATGATGCAAACAGGAATAGTGTTTTCTTATATAATACACAGTTGGCTATAATGTTACTTTTGGTGGTTTCTTGTCATTGTGCAGAAAAACATTCGAGGAGCGGACGGCTGTCGGCCGATGGCACTCCGAAATCCCAAAACGCGAGAGGAAAGATGAAATAATACCAATTTGCCTGCTTTACTTTAGTAATTAGATGACTACATTAAGGAGTTAACAACCTGGCAGCTCTTGCTGCTGATGGCAACTGATTTCTTCGGATTAATTACGAGCAACATCAAAGATGCAATCATACCATACTAACAGATTACATCTCAAGTTTCATAATATTAATTATTTCACGGTATAGTTGTGTCTTTTATGTAATCCTTCTTTTTTTAGAACAAAGCCAAATGAAAACAACAAGACTAATAACTAACATCATTCTATTAGAAGTATACACATACAATAATTTAATGAGGTCATATTTTGTTATTAGTGTCCAATTTTATCTTCTTAATAGCTTTGTTTTGGGTATCTGATGAGAGTATACTGTGGGCAGAATTTTGGTGATACACTTGTTGTAAATTCATATTCTTAGTACCAAAATCTACCATATCAGAATCCATCTGGGTCGAATATGATCTATTTGAATCATTTTTGTCTATATTGTTGTATGGATTTTTTGATCTTGAATTGTGACGAGTATGGTTCTCTGAGGGTTTCGTATGTTCTACACTGAGTGGGGGAATTGAAAGTCGGAATTTAGGAGAATTTATTGTTTTCTTTTCCTCAAAATTAAAATTGTATCGATTTACCTTTTCCGTTGAGTCAACTCTATTTGGTTCTTTGGTTCCTGTCTTATCAACCCTTTGTTTTGTACACCACAATCGTATATCGTCTAAAGAATTGAACTTCGAATTCTCAATACAATCCAAAATATCATCTAAACATTCAATATAACCTTGATGTTTTACTAACGAATTTTTCTCATTTGCCACTCTATATAACCTGGTGACGGCATTGGCCGCTACTTTAAATTCCTGCGATAATTCGTTGTTCAGTGAATCAACTGCCTGTTTGGTTGGAGGTTGTTCAGGTGGAAGGCTCGTTTCTAATGAATGCAGTTTCTCCATTCTTTGATTATCGTAACACAAATAAACTTTTTTGGTGTTTGTTTTAAGTGGGTATCTTCTTGCTGGATAGTTATATTCCTTGGTTGTTTATTATTCTTAGTGTAACATAAAGTAATGAGAATATTTTTTTACTCATCTCAATTTACATTTTCAGTGTAATTTAAGTTATGCCGAACTCATCGCTTGAAAATAAATTTCCAAGGAAAGGGTAAAGGAAAAGAGAACAAAAGGTGTCACAGTGTCACAGTTTAGATTGTCCACATTACTGTCAGTGGATAGAGCGGATTCAAGTTTGAAAAGGCCCAATTCAGTTATATTGAACATTCCATCTGAAATAATTCTTATACTATTCTAAGTAAATTTTTAAGAGGAATTGTAAGAATATATACAGTCCACGTCATAGATACCTATAATTTATAAGTTTTTTGATAATAGTGTCGGAAATCAACTAATCACATTTTTACAAGTGATTTTTCTATTCAGCCCTTATGATTAGCACTCTGATGTCAAATAATTAGCAGATCTATACATTTGTTGTATTATAAACGGAATATTCAAGGATTTACTTTCCATTTTTGTTGTTGTTGTTGTTGTTGTTGTGTCAAATAGCACTTATTTAAAAAATGAAAAAAACAATAGTCATAATATCCATGGTTAATAGATATTTCGAACAAGATAACATGAACAAACTATTTTACTGAAATATCGATTGTTTCAAGTTTTTTTTGTAGTTGCGAAAGCAGATTTAATTTTCTGACAAATGAGAAAAAAGCAATGCTGAAGAAATAATTCAAAAATAAACATAAAAGATAAAAGTGAAGTCAAAACACAACTATGGGCAGTCCTAACGAATATGTGTCACGTAGAGATTCTAAAGACTCTACGTGTTAAATGATAATCCCGATTTCAGGTGTTGTACGCGAATAGAAAAACATTACTGACGCAGAATGTGATATGTGTCGATGCCGATAGGTATCGATGTTCTGTAAATTTGGTATACATGAGAACTTAAGATGTTTTCAATTAATTAAATACATTTCAGAGATTCAGTAACAAGAGACTAAGAGATGGGGAGTTTAATTACAGAACATAATATCATCAACATTAATGTAAGCACAGTAACTTTGTGACATTATCAACTAGGATAAGCTAGCGCACTACATCTATCACGTTATAACCATCTTTAGTATATAACGTTCGATTAGTTATCTATACAGTGCAGAATCGAATTGCAAATAATTAGCTTACTACAACACCTTCGTTTAAATTAAACAACCACATCTCATTGAATTGGCAACATTCTCGTATTTAATTTAATAACTGGGAAAAAAATATCAAGTTTTTCCATGACAATATGATAAAAAGAGAAACAAATGAATGAGCATTCATCTGATTGACTAAATGTATGACATAACGAACCCTATAGCTTCTGAGTCTCATACGCGGATAATCTTAAACACAAGAATGTTACTATATTATTCTTTAGACCACGGTATTCTAATATAACTAGAAGACTCTATATGTTATCGTTCCAATTGTTGTTTATATAAAACCAATTGTCTAACTAACCTATCTAGTAGTTAACAACGGTAACTTCACTTATAAACACTAAGTGGACATTGTCCTATATATATACTTATTCTTTTCTTGTGTCCATCGCCTTTCCCGTCTTCCTTTCAGCCGGGTAATGTTATACCACAATGAGCGGCAAAAAGTATCTCCAGGGGGCGAGTCGAACGCCCGATCTCAAGATTTCTTGTAAAATTACAGTCTTGCGCCTTAAACCAACTTGGCTACCTAGAGATAATTGACAATTCTGTAAGATAGTCATCTCTATATGTTGATAATAAATTTAATAAAGATGTATTGTTTGGTCTATATAGAATGCTTAATAGTGATTATTATTATGTATATTAACTACAACAATATGGTGGTCGTTCTGTTCGTTAATAAGTAAATGTATTAATAGTAAGTACTATGTTAATTATCTATATTTCTGTATCTCCTCCATTATTTATGTTACAAGGTATATTATATGGTTATATGTTATATGTGCTATCTTTGACTTAATTTCATCTTATATTTGTTGTTCTCGCATCGACATTTGTTGATGTCCGTACACGATGATAATTATTATAATCGTGCGGCTGAACCTTAAAGTCCCAATTAATACAAAGAGTGACTATATACCTATATAACGCTACTTATTTGTTATTTAATAGACTCTAGATGTAAACGTAAGTTGAAAATTGAGAAAGTATGATCACCGTTTGGGTTTGTAGTATCGGACATAGAGATATATTTTCAAATGTTAAATAACTAAATATTGCAACTCAATATATTATAACAGGAACTATCTGAATAAATGTCGTTTTTAAGAACCATATTTGTTGTGGTCAACACACAGAGGATTGAATTTCTTGTTGTGTAAAATATAAAAATTTTAAATAAGAAGTGAGAAACAAATTGTCAGAACCTAAGGGTTGAAATAAATAATCTGTATATTGAATAATTCTTTCCGAAATATACCAAGAACAATTCTCTATATAATAACTGTATAATAAAAATGAATGAAAATTAAAATATAATCAACGCTCACCAAGATAGAAACGAGGAGTTCTATCAATTATCATATCAAAAAATGTCCGAATTACATTTAACTAACAAACAAGACATTAAAGAGTCAAAGGAGATTAAAAATTTGAGCTCAGATTCCCTACAGATATGATTGAAGATGTTGAAGATAGAATCGGCAGATTTTGTTTTCAAGGGATAAACCAAACAAAAGCGAGGAGCCTCATCTGTGGAAGATATGAAGTAAATTGAAAAAGTAGCAGAGACACCTGAAACTGCGCCGAACAAGTCAGAATGGATGTATTCAAATGAGCCGAAGTTATTTAGGTATTTTAAACGGGAACCCACGATATGTTTGTATTTGGTTGCTTTACCTTTCATACAATCGGTGCATTGAAATTTTTCAATGTTTGACCCTTCGACATCACTTAATTTGATGCTCTTTATTAGTTTCTTAGCAACGGTGTCTTTAATTGTTTTAATATTTATGTGGTCAAAGGGATGGTGAAGAAAAAACATGTTATTTATTATTTTTTTTGGTTTTGTATATGGTTAAACTGGTGGATTCTGACAATATTGTTAATCAAACTAACCAGAATACAAATATAGCGTCCAAAGTCAATGATCTCCCCAAACTTCTCTTCCTTTTGATTCAAAATGTTGCGATGTTAAAGGTCGATAATTAGACCAGCTTTTTAAGATCGGGTAGGGAGAGCAAGTTACAGGAGGAATCGTTGGAGGCTAGAGCTTCGACTCGAATAGTGGTTTATCAATTTTCAAACAGAGGGTACCAGCCGCATCAACCTTGAATTCTTCGTCACCAGCACTAAGAAGTTCGCCAGTAGGACTTAAATTCAAGGTGATTAATAAAGATGTGTCACATAAGACAGACATTTCTCCACCAGAACCCACTATCAACAAATCTTTGAGTTGATGCTTAGAGTTGCCTAAGATCTTCATTTTTCGGATGTAATTGTCGAATGTGCAATAACCTTTTACCTTTACCTTCGGTAACAGTCTTTGACGATGACCTGAGAGCAAAAGATTTCCCGTTTTCTGGTTGTTTCGTTGTCTTAGCAACTTTAGTAACTGAAGCTTCGATATTGGCAGATCTTTTGACATTTTTAACCTCTCTATTGAAGACTGGTTGGATTTCATCCAGTAAGCCATTAAGAGTAATATTTGTGTAATTGCGATCATTTTTTTCAAAGATTAATTTTTTTGAACGTGCTAGATACTCAATAATTCTGTTACATAATAAAATAACGATATCGTATTAATTCTAACTCCAATACCCTTCTACATCTGTTTCGAAGTAGGAATGTGGTCCTTATGCATTACATTACTACCTTGAAAAAGATGTGGGAGAGAATGACAACTTGGTTAATAATTAAATGGGGTAACACACACTCTCCGATTCAAAAATATATTTACACATGGATGATCTACTTTATTTTCAAATCTATCTATATTGTTTGATTTCCCTTTAATTTACTAAGTTTTAATTAAAATCAATTTTTCAACAGTCGCGAAACGCCTATTACCTTTTTTTTTCAAATCTTGAAAAATCAATTTATAAACACAATAATATAGATATGTGTTACTACGCTCAATATTAAAACACGAATAAATGAAATCATCAGGAAACTCAATATTAATCAGAGGTTAACATTAATAGTGGAAAACTCAAAAACTAGAACTTCCTTAAAATAAAAAAAAAAATGTCAAATCCCCGTGGTAAATTGATATTAATTGAGGGATTAGACCGTACTGGCAAAAGTACACAATGTGAAATATTACGTCAACGACTAGGAGAATCAACCACTTTAATGAAGTTTCCCGATCGTACAACAGCAATTGGCCAACAGATAAATAATTATCTTATAGATTCCTCATATAATTTACCAGATCAAGCTGCTCATTTATTGTTTAGTGCAAATCGATGGGAACGTAATGATTATATTAGAAACAAATTATTAGATGGTGAAAATATTGTAATGGATAGATATGTTTATTCTGGTGTAGCTTATAGTGCAGCTAAAGAAATTACTGGAATGGATCTTGAATGGTGTTATTCTTGTGATCGTGGCCTCGTGCGACCAGATTTGACATTATTCCTTGTCAATAATGAAAGTAATGATAACCGTGAAGGTTTCGGTGAAGAAAGATACGAAAACAATTCTTTCCAAGAAAAAGTTCGTCAACAATTCTACAAGCTGTTCGAGAAACAAGCTTCTCTAAACGAGGATAACAATGATGTAGTCATTGTTAATGTTACAGGTTGTACAATCGAACAAGTCTCTGAAAAGATATGGACGATTGTTCAGAATAACAAAGAGATTTCATCATCTACATTCAAGTTATTCGAATAACCACCACTCTTCATATCTTCATCATCGCAAGAATAAAATATATAGCATCGATCATATATATATATATATATATATATATATATGTGTGAATCCTTTCATAATTTATTACGAATAAAAATGAAAAAAAACAAACAAACACAATATGAGCTTAATAGTACCACTATCACATCAAATAAATTTGACGTCATCTTAGTAGTTTGAGCTCTTACCAAACTGACTGTTTTATCTAAAAAATCATTTAGGTGCCCAATCACCCCCACGCTTTACCTGCCAGTAGTTATTATTTTTTTCAATTTTCTATTTCCCGTGCTCCAAATAACCAATCCCTCCGGTCATTACACTGCCCACTGCCCACTCTCACTTCACTTTACTTCACTTCACGCACTGGTCCCCCACGTAAAGACTCGTTTCCGTGTGCCATGACACAACTGTGCATCCCTTCTATTCTCCCGCTCCATGTTCTCCCCCTCCCCCTGCATAACTATCTGAGTGAAAACAAAAGAATAGAAGTTCCAGAAAAGAGGAATAAAGCCAAAATAGCTTCATTCAAGAATTCTTTCTCTCTACCTATTCATAGCAAACTGAAACATTGTAAAATGTACAAATATCGAAAATACCATTGACATAAACAACCACCACTCACCCACTCCCTTTAATCTTAGAAATTATGGCTTAACAAAAACACCTTGTTTAGTCGTTGTCTTGCTGTTCTTTCCCTGACAAAACAAATGAAAATGGGTCAATATTAACTAATTTCTTTTGTTTCCGTTAAAATTTCCGCAAAATAATTTGTTAACGCGGAACCAGACAGAGACAGCGAGAGCCATTGAAACAGCTAGGAAAATAGTGATCATCTCTATCAAAAACCAAATTTGAATTTGTTCACTATTTTGGCTCATTTCCGCTCTTCTCTGTGTATTCTCCCCGTTTCCTCACTAACTAATCATATCCCTTCCCTATATATATATACACACACTGTATTATATAATACAATCTTATATATATATACACACACATACATATATATATATATATAGATATATATACTAATCAAAGGTTGATTGGAAAATAGTAATAATCAAAACATTAGGGATTGTGGAATTATATCTATCAGATTTCCCTTATTTTAATAGATAGATAAATAAATATCCACATTTATACTTCCGAGATTTTAACCGTTTATTGATATCACAATAATAGACATACACTGATATACATATACACATATATATATATATCCAAAAATGGGGTCTGATTCAAAAAATTTACAAAGAAGTCAATCTGTAAGTACTTTGAAATTATTAGGACAAAAATTATTAAATACAAAATCTCATGAAAATGCACAATATTTAGATAATGCCTCTGGTAATGGGATTACTCCTTTAAGAAAAAAACCAACCAGTGGTTCTAAACCAACCAGTGGCTCTAAAGTTGTTACAACTTCAAAACCAAGTGGTGAAAATGCTGCTTCAGGACATGATAGTAGGCATAGATCTACTTCGATTTTCTCTAGATTAAATAATAGTGGAAGTCCCACTGGAAATGGATCACCAACAACAATTCGGCCAGTCAAATCAAGTGCTGCTATTGTAAACCTTATGGCTCACAGTAGTAATCCATTTGTTAAACAAACCGTTGTAAAAAATGCAAAACAGGAAGAGGAAGATTCGGATGAAGATTCTGATGATGAAGAATACGCTAATAATGACGGTGAAGAATCCGAGTCAGAACATGATAGTGATTCAGACGATGAGAAACAAAAAGACAAGAAAGTAAATGAAAATGACCTTTTAAAAGTTAATTCAGACAATACTACACACTCAAAAGAACATCATCATCATAAAGAAAAATCTCCTTCTACAACTGATGGCCAACATCACAGTCACCACCATCACCGTCATCATCATAATGATGAAGATTCTGTAGAAGGAGGAAGTGATGAAGAACATGGTCATCACAATCATCACCATCACCACCATCACCATCACCACAATAATGATAAATCATCTTCCAATGTCCCAGCAGCTGAAGAATCATCTTCAATTGCTATACCCCAAGAGAATAATACAGATAAGAAAGTTGGGTCTACAGAGAAAGATAGTACAACTTCGAAATTACGTTCTCATCATGCCTCCATTAGCAGAAAATTGATTAAACCTTCCACAGATGCATCACTTTCCACAGAAGAACACCATAAGAGATTACCTCATAGATCTAAGAGTTTTGCCACACATAGTCTTTCAGGTGAACTCGCTTTATCTAATCTAGATTCATCCACATCAAGAAACAATAGTAAGAAAAATTTAGTTTATAACCCATATGGTTTAAATCCAAATGCCCCAAGCAGACCAGGAACTGCTTTTGCTGAAACTGGTGGCCAAGGTAACAACGATCTAAGTTTTTATTTACATGATGGTAATGAAAAGATTCGTATGTTACCTTTACCAATTGCTAATCCAAATGATTGGTTACCAGACAACTTACATCAATATAGTATTACTTTATCAGATAATTTCGTATTTGATCCAAATAATAAACCAATTGGTTCAGGTGGTTCAAGTGAAGTTAGAAAAGTTAGGTCAACATATCAAAAGAAGGATGTTTACGCTCTAAAGAAGTTGAATATGATATACCATGAAACTCCAGATAAATTTTATAAGAGATGCTCGAAAGAATTTATTATTGCCAAACGTTTAAGTCACAGTATCCACATCACCTGTACTTTTGAACTAGTCAAAGTACCTACCACTACGTATACTACTAGAGGTTGGGGTTTTGTTATGGAACTTGGTAAATGTGATTTATTCCAATTGATTGAAAGAACAGGTTGGAAAAGTGTTCCAGCCAATGAAAAACATTGTATCTTTAAACAAGTTGCCAATGGTATTAAATTTTGTCATGACAATGGTGTTGCTCATAGAGATATTAAACCAGAAAATGTATTATTATCACCAGATGGTGTCTGCAAGTTAACTGATTTTGGTATTTCTTGTTGGGCTCATGAGATTCCAGATGATTTTACATCTCCAATCAAACTTTGTGAAGGTATGTTAGGTTCTCCACCTTTTACTCCACCTGAGGTTATGTATTTTGATTCCAAGAAACATTACCCAGAAAAATTCCAAAAACCATTCGATCCATTAAGTATGGATACATATGCGTTAGGGATATTGCTATACACATTAGTGAACAATGTAATTCCATTTATTGAGTCATGTAATACTGATGCTAGATTTAGAGATTATGATCAATCATACAACAATTTTATTCAGTATCAAAACAAGACATTTAGAGTCAAAGGGTCCCATAAGGCTGGTCCTGGTGCTGAATATAGTATGGCTAGAAATTTCCAGAATGCTGATGTATCTCGTGTAGCATGGAGACTTGCTGACCCTGATTGCAGAACAAGATATAGTATGCAAGATCTGTTCGAAGATCCGTGGTTTCAAAGTATTCAAACATGTGTTGATCCAGAAGACCATAGTTATATTACGAAGACTCCAATCATTAAAACCTCAACTATCGCCGGTGCCCAATCTCCAACTTCGGATGGTACCCCAGGCAGTGAAATGGCAAGTGCAACATCTTCTCTTACAGGATCTCCTCAACTTGGTGCTAATCAATTTGAATCCAATATTGATGACAAACCAGTAACAAGCCCCGTGAAACCGAGATCAATGGTAGAAATAGCTCAGACACCAATAAAACCAAAGACTGTTAAGAAACTAAAGGATTCCAGTAAACGTAGCGATAGTATTTCGGCACTTGATCCAACTGTAAAAGGAAAACTAGCTAAGATGGAAATTGAAGATGCACAAGAATCAGTTGACAATGTTTTGGATAAGGTAACATCAGTTGCACCATCTGGACAAGAAACCACAAACGATGAAGCTATACATACCCCAACAGAAAGTAAGCCTGAGACTACTGATCTAACTAAGAAGTTAAGCTCTGTATCCCTAAGTAGTAGTACATCACGCGCATCTTCTAATAAGACAACAGCTTCCACAGCAACTACTGCTACAAAGAAATTAGTAATACATCATCACCTGGATATAACAAATAGTGTGATTTCTCCAATGTCTTTTAGTAATGTAGTCTCAAGGTAATAAACAAATATATGTTAAAACTATTATCGAACTCTTTCTTCAAATAATTTCATATATAATGTGATTGTTAAATAAATAATAAGTAATACTTTCTCTCAAATTAATCAAGAAAGATTTCAAAATTGAACAGAATTAAGTTAAACAAACTTAGTCATCAACCAATAATTGAAAGAATGAATATTGTAGAGTCAATCCTATTCCCATTTCTTCATTTTGTTTACGTTATTATTAAAAGATAATTTACCGTGAATAATGATCTTAACACGTGCGGGTATCACGTGCTGTTACCACTTTTTTTTGCTTTTCTAAGATATATATCCCAATGAAATAACCGCAGAACGCAGATTCCCTCAGTTATGTTCTTGCAAAACAAAACAAAATAAACCAAGAGTGATATTGAATTATCAATTCCGTGATAAATTATTTTTCCGTTAGACGTAAAAGTATTTAAACTGAAAGGGAAAGAAAAAGTAAGTTGTAATTTTCTTACACGTGGAAATCACGTTGTTTACTGTACTTTTTAACCTTTGTTTATTGTTTTTTTTAAAGGGTTTACCAATTTTATTGTTTTTTTTTTCCCATTTTAAACATACATTAACTTATAAGACAAGGGATATATTCCATATTAGTAAAATATATTATTTACAAGTAACATTATGAACTCAATCAATCACAACGGTACCGAACCAAATGACGACGATATTGATAAAAGATTACAAGATACCTATGATGACATTGAAGAGGCACATGGTAGTCTAAAGAAACAAAAACTAAATGATGGAAATGAAACTAACCATTCAGACAATGACGATGATACAGTTGGTGTCGCAGCTAGCGCTGTTACCCATACTGAGGATCCAAATATTGATTCCGAATTACTTGGAGAAAATCAACAAGATGATGATAATGAGCACCATCACGATGTTAGTTTGCAACATCACCAAGGCGAGGACGTCAATAATGACCATAATGACGATGACGATGTAGCTGCCGCTGCAGTATCTGCTACCTATGATGAGTTATTGCAAAGTGAAAATGTTCATGACAATGATGTTGATGTATCATTACAAGATACTGATAACGCAACTGATTCTCGTAGAAAGCTAGATCTTGTTGAACCTACAGTTGATATGGTCGGTGATGATCAAGATCAAGACGAACATGGGAAAATGAAAATGACCGAAGAAACTGTTGTCGATAATACTACTGCCGCTTCGACGTCTGGTACTACAACAGGTGATGATGATGCATCCATGGCCATAGCGAGAGATATTGATGAGGCGCGTAAAAGATTAGCTAAGAGAGGTCGTAAACCTACACCAATTACAGGTACAGATGAATGGAAGAAACAACGTAGAGATTCTCATAAGGAAGTGGAAAGACGTCGTAGAGAGAGTATTAACCATCATATTAATAATTTGAGTTTATTGTTACCCGTAAAAGAAACTAGTAAAGCTGCTATTTTAGCTCGTGCATCTGAATACATTGAAAAATTAAAAGAAACTGAGAATGCTAATATTGAAAAATGGACTTTACAAAAATTGTTAAGTGAACAAACGGCTTCTCAATTAGCCACAGCAAAAGAAAAACTTGAAGAAGAACTTGGTCATGCTTTCAAAGAAATTGATTATTTAAAACGTTTATTAGAAGAAAATCATATAAATATACCAGAAGATTCATTACGTGATAACAAGAATAATCAATCAAAAAAGGAAGAGTAAATGTTTATTATAATTACAACTTCAAAAAAAAAGCAAAAAAAAATATACAAAATCATTACTATTAGATCATCATTTTTTTGTATTCCTCATTTCCCCTTTTTTCTTGAAAGAAAAAAAACGAGACACTTTTAAGCCATGACTCAATGTACTATATATATTTATTCATATACTAATGTACGTATATAATAAATTCATACAACGAATACACAGAAGATTCAAATTTAATCAAGATAATAAAAAACAAAGAAGGTCAAGCCATAACAATTATTTATTTACATATATATTAATAAATCACGAAAATTATGTTGTGGGCTCTAGCCAGATGTTCAATGCTTAATTACATCGGTTAACACAGCCATTGAAAACCCCAGTCTAGGAAGAATTATTCGTAGTGAAAAATATCATATAATTTGAAAGAAGAACAGTCGCAAAGAACTTAAATTGAAATTGAATTTAAACTTTAAAATACCTGGCAGTTCATTCTATCAATACACACAATTTCTTAAGATGTAACCTTCATTGGTGATGTACGCCTCTTTTTCTTTTACTTTTTGCTTTCTTCGACGATCACTGTGAAAAATACGAAAATGCCAAGCCTTAATATGTCAAGTTTTTTTTTCTCATTTTCTCGGAGGGAAAGTTAGTTCATCACAATAAAAATATTGCAACGTTAGAAAATTCAGAGGCAAAACCACGAAATGTACCACATTGCATTGAGCTCAGCCCGATATGGCATAAACCGTCCCCCAATTGAAATTGTCCGGCCAAACACCATTTTTTCTTCTATTAAGACAGCTAATCAATTCGGATATCAACTATGATGTAAGATAGGTGAAAATGACTTTATAAACAGCTTGCAAAATGTTGAGCCCTTCCCCATAAATGGGCTAGAACCCTTTATTAGCTGCGACAAGGTGGCTGTAAACAATTACTATCTATGCGTTATCAAATAATGGACATATCTTCTCAAGGTTACGTGAAGGTTTGCATTTTTTTACATACTTGATAACTTAGTCACTTGAGAATCTTCACATAGTGCTTTATACCAAAATACGTAGCTCAGTAATTATTCTACATGTATTATGAAGATGTGACATGACATCTGAACATTTCCAATAAGGGGAGTTGTAAAAAGCTACTTACTGACCTAACGGTTAATGTCCGGTCTTCAATAAGAAACCCTGTTCTTTGTTTATTCGACTCAGTGTACATAATACAGGTTAAGCCACCCCCCTCACGCAGTGATTTTAGTTCAATGCACTTGCTAAACTGCAGATTATCAGGCTTATTGGTGTCCACTTGTCATTTTACCTTTTTGTCTCAGAGAATGCGGGTGGGTATCTCCGCGGAGATCAGATCAGACAAATTGAAGCACGAAAAAATATAGTTTTTCAACTTCTTTTGTGAGGAAAATCTGAAAATTTCACAAAGTCCCTCAAATCTAACAATGGACGAGGCAGCTCTTTTTACCAGAGATTTTATTTTCCATTTTGCCCTTTGAAGTTCTTCAGTTGTTTCTGCCTATTTTACATTTCTGCAGATACAAACGTGAAAAAAAAAATTCATAGACATGTCCCATTCTGTACTGAGTCAGCCAGTGTTAAGACACAACCCAATTTTTGCTTAGTCGATACCAGATAGAGTGAAACACCTTTGTTGATATTATCTGTTCTACTTTTTTTTTAATTTTTATTTTTTAATTTCCCTTGGCATTATCACCAAATGATAGATTTTTTATTAAAAGAATATAAGAACAACGATATAAAAGTTCACAATTTAGAGGCTTAGGTAGTTTAAACATATATGTCATTTTTTGAAATACTGGTTTTCTTTTCTTGTTGTATGTGCCTATTCGTCACTTTTTTTTTGCCAAGAACTGTCAAGAATTTTTCGGAAAAATCTAAAACCTTGACTGCACTCTTTTTCTCTTTACCTTATTCAAGTTAAAACTCATTGTTGATCAATTGTGAAAATAGAAGAACTAAATTGGTTAGATACTATCCTTTTACTCGATTGAATCAGTTTCCACTTTATTTTCATAATTGACTTATAATTATTATTTGGCGCAGTGGAAAATTCGTTTGAATATTAACCATTACGCATACACATACATATATATACCTATACATGTTTGTGATACTTTGAAATTCTTTCAATTTTTGCTTCCTTTTCCTTTTTAAACTAATCAACCAAGACATCTCTTTTTTTTTATTTATTTATTTATATTAACAAACAAATATAATTTTGCATTTTCATCAACTTTTACATATACCAAACATACTACATTCAAGACATAATAATACAATGAAAGCTCATAGTCTTAGACGATTTTTGCATGCGATCTTGGCACAAATGTCTCAAAAGAATTTTCGTCATAAGTTTATGATAAGTTTAGGGGTTTATTCAGTGATATCAATTATTTATATTTACCGTGTGGCTCTATATGGCGAAGAGGATTCTTTTAATTCTTTTTTTAAACCTCTATTTATACTAATACCTTCTTCTTTAAGCTCAGGTACAAATACTAAGATATTAACCTATCCAACTAACCCAACCGAAGCTGCAGAATTATATGAAAAGCTTAGATATGATACGTCAGGAAAATGGATAGATGAATATTACTTAAAATCACATCTATTAACAGTTAAGATAGGCCCTAATAAAGGTAAAATCTTGAATTCAGTGGATGATTTAGAATTTTATAATAGTGATCCAAGATTGGTTTGGTCTGTTTATTTGAATGATGTAACGAATAATGGGATTTCAGATGATTATAATATGCCATTCTCATGGTATGATTTTGCAGATTTTACAATGTATAACAAATTAATCTCAATAAAGGAAAAACATTCAGATACTATTCAATGTTCAATTTTATTACATCCATCATTTGATAAAGCTAACTTAGGAAGATGGGAAAAAGAAATTGGTGAAGAATTATTTCATTCTGAAAGATTTAAATATGATGATCCATTTTGGTACAGATCGTCGAAAAGTTTTAGCAATACAGCTGTAAATAGTCCAGAGAACCATTGCCAACAATTATCAGCTAATAATACTCGTTTTAATTTGCCATTAAATATAACAAATTATATGGAACGTGTAAGGCCAGAGGTGTTTGATTTACAAGCAAGAAATTATCTTTTGAATACTATTGACAACCCCCTATCAATAACATTATTAAATAGTGATGATGATGCATACAGAATCGACGTGAAACAAGGTAATCGCGCTAACATGGTCGAAAGTAGGATTTTACATAAATATATTGATCAACAACCGCGTGATAAAATTAGAAATGATATAATATTCGATCATGATGTAATGTTTTCCAATTTTATATCAAGTGATGCCTCGCAAAAATTTAAAGTCGAAATACCTGGATTAAATAGAAATGTTTATGATGAAGATTCAGTGAATCTGGAACTTGATGATTTTAAATTTGATGCCAAAACTAAGATAGCAGAACTTGAAGAAAAAGGTATATCGAATTTATCTATTCATGATAAGAACTACCTTGAAAGTTTAAAAGTTTCAATCAGCACGCATCCATCAATGGCATCGAAATATTTTAGAGAGCCTGGTGGAATTATTCAATTTAAAGCTATGGGTCATCACAGAGATCAAAGATTCTTCCACGGTGCCTTGATATATGATCAAGTTGAATACTCAGCAAGATTAAACTCAATGATTCGTACTTTTCAAAAATTCATCAAAGCCAATGGTCTTATCTCATGGTTATCACATGGTACATTATACGGTCAGTTGTATAACGGTTTAGCATTCCCTTGGGACAATGACTTTGATTTGCAAATGCCATTAAAACACTTGAATTACATGGCTCAATATTTTAACCAAAGTATAATTATGGAAGACCCTAGAGAAGGTAATGGAAGATTTTTACTAGATGTAGGTACTTCAATTACGGTTCGTAGACACGGTAACGGAAATAACAATATCGATGCAAGATTTGTTGATATCGATTCTGGTTTATATATTGATATTACAGCGTTAGCAGTTACTGCCGATGTTATTCCTATAAATAAATTTGACTACTATGATATGAACAAAGCAAAAGAAATAAAATGGTCAGATGATGTTCAAAAACTAACCAAAGAAATGGAAGATAAATATTATGATGCTTACACAGGTTTAGCAAAATTATCTATTGAGAAACTTAGAGACTACGTGGCGGAGCATCAAAGACAATTTGACTCCACCAGTGTTGATCACATTGTGAAGATGTATAATGATGAAGTTAAAAAATTACCAATTGCAGACACTATATCCAAAAACCTAACAGAAGTGCAACGTTACATTTTTAATGAAAAGTTGACAATGATTAATTGCAGAAATCATCATTTTAATACTCTAGAAATGTTGTCACCTTTAAAACTAAGTATGTTCCACGGTGTGCCAGTATTTTTACCACACAAAGTGATATCTTCAATGAAGATTGAATATACGGTGCCACCAAAATATGGCTATAACTCTTATGAAAAACACACATTTACAGCAAAATTAAATCACTGGGTTCCTAGTGCTATCATGAATATTGTTAGAAACGTTGTCAATGATAATGCTTTATTCAAAATACATTCTAATTTAATGACTTTTAGGTTCAATGATATGCTGAGCTTATTTAAGAATATGCTAATTGCGAGAGAGTATGATACGTTTACTGTGATACATAATGCCTTTGATACGGTCACATATCGTCAAAAGGAAATCGAGATAGAATATGACAACAGAATGAGCATTGAAGATAAAAAGAAATACTTAAATCAATTGAGAACCAAATTCGCTAAGAATATGGACTCACCCGCCAAAGATCCAGCTTTATTACAGTATGAACAGTCTTTGTGGGACAATTACGAAAAATATTCAGATGTAGTGGAAACAGATAGTTTAGTGAGTATGGTCAACGATAAAGTGCTAAAACGGAGATGGAAAGATTATAGTATGTTGTATGAAAGAAACTATTTCAAGGTTGATGAGCAATATCTAGATAACATTGGCTTGGAATTATTTGAAAATTCACAAGAAGAAGGGAAAGAAATATTTCTAAAGGATCCTTTATTGGAATAAACAACTTATAGAAAAACTGTAATATTTACTCCATAATTTTAGCATCATCGCATATATGTTTGAATATTCATTGAAAAAATATATACTTACATAATATAAATAGACAATATGAACATACAAGTCTACCATAAACCATTTCATAACATTATCAAAAGGTAATTATCCTGGATTTTGGGATCTACCTCTCAATTTCAAATTGGACATCTCTCATAATTATACCTTCTTTCCCTTTCCCTAAATTCCCATATAGTTCGACACTTGGATTTGTAGAATCTAACCTCTTATTATCATCTTTTGCCAATTCTGCCATGTTAAAATCGTCTCTTCCATTAAATTTATATATACCAGAACTACCTGCAAAGAGAGTATCCCCACTTTCAACACCACACCTATTAGCGTTGATCATAATTGAGTTCCTATTAGAAAATGCCCAATATGTATTCTTTGAGACTCCCATATAAGATGGTCTACCTAAATCTTCAAATATATCAGACATACTTCCTCTTGAAGCCCAATATTTTCTCACATTTAATTGCAAGAATGGTAGAAACCTTAATAACCAATAATTTACGTTTGACATGTCTGGCTTTGATAATTTATTGTACGTATGATCAACATCCAGCGACCCACTAGCAACAGGATCAGTCTTGTTATTATTATCTAAATCTAATTGGAAGTCTGACTGAGAACCTATTATGGATAATCCCTGTGATTTTAAATTTTCCTCAATATCGTTTAATTTTTTGGGTATATCTTGATTGGAACGTTCATTCAATTCGTAATCTTGTTTAGTTATTGATGAGCTGTGCAACCAGGCCATGGGACAAATAATGAGTTCTACTTTTCTATCTAGATTAAATGAGGCAAATTCACAATCGTTAAATGGTGCTTCAAACTTGTACGGACTCAGGTCCATACATATTCCAATAGATGTATTTAAAGTAACATCGATGGCATCACCACTCATATCTTTCAATTTTTTACCCTTTTTCTTAAAAGTAAGAGGGAAATTTTGGAATTGTTTAGGATTCTCTGAACAGCCCCAATTATCTTCTGTAAAATATAAGAATGATTTTCTATAATTGAAAATCAATTCACCTTGTGGTGAGACTACCGCGGCTGAATTATATAAGACCTTTTTCGATTCAGTTTCACTTTCTGGGTAGCCTATAACTGTATAACAGTTGAACATTTTCGAAACATTCTGGGCAAATTTAAATGACGGACTCTCCTTGGTAGTGTGTGTATAAGGAAGTATATGATCTCTTGATAAAAAATTGTAACCTGTAAGAGCGAATTCTGGAAACACAATCATGTCCACATTCTTATTTCCTTCCCTTTTTTCTAATTTAGTCTTGAATTGATTCAAGAGCATTTTAGCCCTAGTTATTGTTTCATTTACCTTGCCGATCTGTGGGTTTAATTGAACTGCAGCGATAGACAGATCAACCAAAATTTTATTAGCGGTTTTCATCAAGTACTCCTAAAAAAATGTTATTTTCAAAGAATAACGGTCGTCTTATAATATAAAAATAAAAAGAAACATATATTCAATTAACAAATTAATCCGAATAGAGTCTGATATAGTCACAACTGTTATTTCTCGATATAGAATATCTTCTTTAATATTTCCCTTTGGACGCTGAAAACGGTTACTAAAGCAGTACTGAATTTCCTTAGCTTCTGTACGGCGCGGTTCAAATCCTTCGGAATCAACAATTTCACACTATTAAATTAAATATATAGTAGTAATATATATAACTAAAAGGAGGTGTAACGTAGAAGAAGAGTTACTAATACTTTGCATCAAAAGTCCTTATATATAATAACATTTAAGAAACACAGCTGTTGGTATGGTGTTTTTAGCTGGATATAATCGTCGCAGCGAATGCACACAGAAGACACCCTTTAAACCAGTAACATTAAGTAGAACTGGATATGTCAAACCGGAACCAACGACACCTTCTGACAGTATTCAAACCAAAGATAAAACTACAAAACCTAGCAATGGAAAGAAGCTTAGGGTATCCAAGAAAAAATCACCTCCTCTAAAGGAGGCCGTTAAACATATCCCCCAGACACAAGAATCACTAGTCATCACCAGAGTACATGATCCAAAGAACCAACTAAGTTCATTGGTGAAAAATGCCAGAAAGAACATGAACTCCCTAAATGAACGTAATGAACGAATCAAGAAATCCAAACAACAATCTCGAAGTAGATATGGTTGGTAGATATCAATCCCTATAAGAGGTCATTAATCATAGCTGCATACTTTCGTTAAAATGTTCCCAAATATCGCTATTAACGAGACGGTTGAAATTTTTCAGTTTTTTCTTCGCCTGAAAATTTTTGCGATGCTTTTCCCAGTCAAAATGAACCGAAAATTGAAATATTTTTTTTTTAAAGACGATGAGGTTACTCTAAACCTCATAAAAGGTTATTAGTTGATGGTTGTTAGTTGTGGCTGCTAAACTTTTGAATAAGCGTCAAAACTGTGCTGTTATATTTACGGATTGTTGTGCTAGGAACCTGAAATCTGATCGCTTTTACGTTTTAGGATTTGCATTTTATTTTATTTTAATTGATTAACTAAGAAAAAGAAAATATGTCTGTGGTTGGTTCTCTTATATTTTGTCTAGATTGCGGTAACCTATTAGATAACCCAAGTACTGTACAAACCGCTAACGTTGAATGTTCACAATGCCAAGCTACATATCCAAAAGCGGAGTTCTCTAATTTGAAGGTTATTACCACTACTGCAGAGGATGCTTTTCCATCTACCCTAAGATCAAAAAGATCTGTTGTTAAGACTACATTGAAGAAAGATGAATTAACCGAAGGTGCTATTATAAACGAAAAATGTCCAAAATGTGGTAATGAAGAAATGCACTATCATACTTTACAATTAAGATCCGCTGATGAAGGTGCTACTGTTTTCTACACATGTACATCTTGTGGTTACAAATTTAGAACAAATAATTGATGTGAGTTTGTCTCTCATAAGAGATAATCTAAATGATACATCTTCATACTACCGAGTTGATCTAACTCTTTTTCTCTCTTTACACACCATATATTATTGCATATATCCCCATGAAGTGGTCCCATCACCTCCCTCCTTACATATGGGATTCCTTAGACATCCTCCTTTCATCCAATATATATTTTTATATTAAATACTGTATAATACACTTGAATCTGCTTTTATTCACTATGATCCCAACAGTTTTTGAAAGATAATAAATACGTGAAAGTTATGTTCTGACTATAGTTAACCAACTGTTTCGTGATACATGATCTTTCAAGACGATTTTCTAAGAAGCGAAAAAAAAACTTTTTGGAAGACAGTGTGGCGAATAACAACATCACTCACTGTATGGATAAAGAAAAGTATAACAACACCAGAATAAGTAATTACACAATAGTTTGCTAAAGTTATATTGTATACTTTTACTCTAATTGAAGATAATTGAATTATTTCGCTAACCTTCTATAAACGAAAGAAACTACACAATGGCTCAAGCTCATCCTCAAACAATGGAGATGCCAGACCTTTCCAACGCCATCGTTGCGCAAGATGAAATGGGTAGACCATTTATTATCGTAAAAGATCAAGGTAATAAGAAGAGACAGCATGGTATCGAAGCTAAGAAATCACATATTCTTGCAGCAAGATCTGTTGCCTCTATTATTAAGAGTTCTCTAGGTCCTCGTGGTTTAGATAAAATTTTGATTTCACCAGATGGGGATATTACTATTACCAATGATGGTGCCACAATTCTCTCTCAAATGGAACTTGATAATGAAATTGCCAAGCTATTGGTTCAATTGTCAAAGTCTCAAGATGATGAAATTGGGGATGGTACTACCGGTGTTGTGGTGCTAGCTAGTGCATTACTAGATCAAGCTCTAGAATTAATTGAAAAGGGTATCCACCCCATTAAAGTAGCAAATGGGTTCGATGAAGCTGCTAAACTTGCAATTTCAACACTAGAGGCAACTGCCACTGATGTTGCTACTGATAAAGTGCAATTCCAAGAACATCTATTCAAAGCAGCAAGAACTTCTCTTGGCTCCAAGATTGTTTCAAAGGATCATGATAAATTTGCACAAATGGCAGTTGATGCTGTCACATCTGTAATGGACTCTAATAGAAAAGACGTTGATTTTGATCTAATCAAACTACAAGGTAGAGTTGGTGGTTCCATTGATAACTCCTCTTTGATTAATGGTGTTATTCTAGATAAAGACTTCTCACATCCACAAATGCCAAGCGAGGTTCTTCCAAAAGAAGGGAAGACTGATGTAAAATTGGCAATTTTAACTTGTCCATTTGAACCACCTAAACCAAAGACTAAGCATAAATTGGATATCTCTTCCGTTGAAGAATATCAAAAATTACAAACATACGAACAAGATAAATTTAAAGAAATGATTAACTATGTCAAGGAAGCTGGTGCAGATGTTGTTATATGTCAATGGGGTTTCGATGATGAAGCTAACCATCTTTTATTGCAAAATGATCTACCAGCTGTTAGATGGGTTGGTGGTCAAGAACTAGAACAAATTGCCATTGCTACCAATGGTCGTATCGTTCCTCGTTTCCAAGACTTATCAGCAGATAAATTGGGTTCATGTTCAAAGATACATGAAATGGTATTTGGTACTACAAAGGACCGTATGTTAGTCATTGAACAAAACGAACAAGCCATTAAATCTAAAACTGTCACTTGTTTAATTCGTGGTTCAAACAAAATGATTGTTGATGAAGCCCAACGTGCACTACATGATTCACTATGTGTTGTCCGTAATCTAGTAAGAGATTCTCGTGTAGTATACGGTGGTGGTGCTGCAGAAGTCACAATGTCAAGAGCAGTGTCGGATGAGGCCGATAGACAACGTGGTATCGATCAATATGCTTTCCGTGGTTTCGCGCAAGCATTGGATACAATTCCTATGACCTTAGCTGAAAACTCTGGTTTAGATCCAATTAAAACTTTATCTTCCATAAAGAGTAAACAAATTAAAGAGAATGTATCATATTTCGGCGTAGACTGTTTAGGAAATGACACCAATAACATGATGGACTTATTTGTGGTCGACCCATTCATTGGTAAGAAACAACAAATCTTACTTGCAACTCAATTGTGTAGAATGATTCTAAAGATCGACAACGTTATCATAAGTGGTAAAGACGAATATTAATCATAATTAAATAATAAATAAATAGAAACTTCAAATTAGCATTATTATCCTTTTGTATTATTTGAGACAGAGATGTACTTAATTTTCACCTGAACTTGAATAGAATTATGTAGTTTTAAATAAAATTTGGACAAAAGTATATGTTTTCCATAGAGAAATATGTCATTTAATAAGGATTCGTATTGTTTTTTTATTATTTTTGTTTACATATTTTCATTTCATTTTATATATATATCACAACGAGATATCTCGCTATTTTATAAACATATGATATATTGTGCATTATTAATTAATAAATCTATACCATGTTAAAAAGACTGAAATTTCTAACGATCTCTGGACCATATTCATCGTAATCTTGTTTAGTATGACAGTAACTTTTGAATTCGGCTGTTTGTGCCAATAATGAACCACCAAACCAAACAGCATTTCTTTGTTTTCTGTGAGAGATAACGGAAACATCAACACCTGTAGATTTGGTACCACTCAATCTTTCACTTTGAGCGATTCTGTTGTTAACAATAGATTTTAGATCTCTCTGTAGACGACGACCAAAATCTTTAAACATAGTGGAACCACCTGATAAAACGATATTATTATACAATGCCTTACGTACATCAATTGGACAGGCTTGAATAGTATGATCTACAATAGTTGGTAGAGGTGTTAAGAAATCAGAAGAGGCAATTTCTGGGTTGAAGAAAATTTCTGGGGCCAAGAATCTTTCATACCCAACATCAACTACTTTCTTTTGGGTCTTTTCTTGATTTTCAACAATAAATTGGGCAAACTTATCCGGGTTTTTATCAAATTTATTGAATTCTTTTACAATATCAGGACAAACATAGCAGTACTCTTGTTTAATACGTTCCGCTGTCCTTAAAGAAGTGTCAGCTTCACCACGTTCTCTTAACAATTGTTGAATAAACAATGTAATATCTCTACCAGCAATTGGAATGTTTTTAATTGCTGAACCGATAACAAAACCTTCAGCTACGGGAATAACATGTGTTACACCATCACCGGAATCTATAACGGTACCAGTTAGTGATCTATCGGTAACTTTGGAAGATGTCCAAGAGGCTGCTAATGCAAGCACAGCCTGAACAGCGATATATAAACCAGCACAGTTAAAGGATTCAAAGAAAATTTCGGCCACTTGTTCTCTGTTTTCTGGTGGGTTTAAAGGTGGTTCAGTCAATAAGAAATAATGATCTTCGGGTTCAGTTCTTAAATATTTGAAGATGGAATTTTCCCAAAATCTTTCCATGTGATCCCAATTCTCAACTTGACCGTGTTTAATTGGGTAACTTAGAGAGTAAGATGGACCTTGAGAAGCAATCAAAGCTTCATTACCAATATAGAAATCCAAATCTTCAGTACCTCTCTTACCAGCAAGATTATTCGATAATAGCATGCTAGAGTTCAAATTGTTAAATGAAGTTGCAGATGTAGAATTTCCGAAATATGGATTACCACTACCTGTAGCATTTGATCCTGAGGTAGAATTACTTGTCATCTTCTTTGATGCAGTAGAATTGCCTTGAGAGGTAGCAATTGCAGTTGGGAAAATCCAGGATGGAGAATCGTTCCCGGCAAAACCTAACTTGGTCAAACCAGTACCATTATCCATCACAACGGCAGGATTATTAAGGTAGGACATATTGATAATTGGGTGTTATAGCTTTAGTTATATTTCCTTCTTCTGTTAGCTTAAAAAAACACAAACGTAAATACTATAATAATAGGATCCTAAGTTATGATATCTACCGTCTAATTGATGTTTTATTTCAACTATTTTACTTTCAATCTTCTATTACCAGTTCAAGATCTTAGCGTGCCCTCAGTTGTCTCATTTGTATACAAAACACTCAATGAGAATTTCAGAAAGGGGCCGAATCCTCTTTAGAAAGAACTCCATTTACTTTATTTTTTATCAAATTTTATTACCCGGTAGTTAGGGTTGGGAAAGCCCTAATTTACTAAATAAGAAAAACAAAATTGAAATCATCAAATCCGCTTCTCAAGGAATCTTGATATAAGCATCTGAAGAAGATGGTAGAGTATTTAGATAAAAAATGTGACAATTTTCGATAAGTCTTGGTTATTTGGTATCTTTATGAACTTCGCAACAAAGCATACATTTATCTGAATATATCAGGTGAAAAAAATCTTTTTTTTACGGCCAATAAAGAGTCAAATATAGCTGTAAATAATAAATTGGTGGGACTATACTATTAAAACCAAAAAATAAAAAAGGAATCGAAATACCATCTTATTTTCATCACTTCAATACCATATTCCTAGTTTGCACTAAACTGTAATTGCATTATTTAACAGATTGAAGGAATTAATTTATAATGACTATTCTGGAAGAGACTTCACAGGTTTTGGGAAATAGCCACCCTAATTTTATGTTGTCCTCGACATCAATACCGTTATCCTCGATTGTAAACACTACTACTAATAACGATGATTTGGTTACTTCGAGCCATGGTTTAGTAACCGAACCTATTTCATATTTACAAGAATTTACTACTGATGAATCAGCAGTGAATTCTGCATTGTTAACATTGGATTCTATATTTAATAAATTAAAGATTGATGATCCAAAGGAAGCGGAGACCACATCTGTGTATTTAGAGACTTTCTTATTCTCTTTACTGCGTGAAGTATCGATTGAGGAATTTCAAAATTTTACCAATCATATTAACAATAAAATATTGGAATTAATTAATAGTAATAAAGCAAATGAAAATATTGCAGGGATTTTAACCATAGATAAATTAGTAAATCTTTACACTCAAATAGAAGAACTACCGAACCAAACATTGCGTCTAACAAATCATTTGAGATTACTTATACCGTCTGATGATGAAAATGTTATGAGATTAGCTGCAAATACATTGGGAAAATTGACAAGCCCTAGTGGTACACTTTCTTCTGATTTTGTTGAAACTCAAGTTAAGATATGTCTAGAATGGTTATCAACTGCCCCAGAACAAACATCATTTAAATCAAGACAGGAAAATAAAAAAATTGCTGCCATTTTGGTTCTTTCATCGTTATCCAAACATTGTCCTTATATCATATACCCTTATGTTACTAATATTCTTAAAAATGTCCGAAAAACTCTAAATGATCACAAGGCCTCATTACGAAAGGATACAGCTCTCTTAATACAATACTGTTTGAGAATAATACAGAAGAGAGATAGAACTCTATTGATTGAATGGTATCAAAAACTTTTAGACCTGTGCTCTACACAGATAAATATAGGAACAAATGAATCAATTCACTCAGCAATGCTTATATATAAGGAATTACTTTCACTTGATAACAATTTTCTTATAGATTCGTATGACGAAATATTTCAAACGATATGGGATTTTAGAAATAATAAATTAGAATTTACAAGACAAGAAATATATGAGATTACATCGATGTTTGCTGCATATGATCCTCAGTTGTTTTCTTCGATTTATCTAAATCAAGTAATTTTAGATTATCTTTCGAAACTACAGGAAATTAAGAATACAAAAAATTCGATTTATGATTTTGATAGACCATATATTCTTAAATCTATCGGTGATATATCTGTTGAAGTTGAATCTGATATATATCCATATGTATTATCTCTTATTGATGTATTTTCAGATGAATTGAAAACTAAATACCAAGAGAGACAAAAATACGAAAAGGAGATATTTTACGGTATCGTTAAACTGACCGAAACTATTGGTGAAGACATGGAATCCTATTTGCATAACGGTTTGTTGGATCTAATGTTGGCGTGTCCATTGAGTACTTATATGAAAAATACACTAAATACAATAATTGCGGCCATACCAGGTTTAGATTTCACAATTAACACAAGGTTACTTAACCTAATATCTCTTGCGTTATCAGGGAAAGAATTCAGAATACCAGGTTCACCAACTCCAGAAGGTAAGTTTTCGAAAAAGAAGGCTCGTGTGTGGAGAGATAATAACGAATATCGCCAGAATGGTAGAATCAACTCAGAGAATAACGATTGTACTATTCTTATCCAAGCTTTGACTATGCTCCAATCTACTACATGCCAATATTCCTTGATCGAATTTGTCCAAAACTGCATAATATACTATATTGAACATACGAATTATAAAGTTAGGGAATTAGCAGCAATTACATGTTGCGATTTATTAGTTAATGACGGAATCTGCAAGCAAATGTCAGTTAATGCTCTTAATACTGTTTCCGAAATACTTTCTAAACTATTAACAGTTGCTATTACTGATATTGTCCCAAATATAAGGTTAGAAATATTGAAACACCTTGACCAGAATACAGATTCCCAATTAGCTCAACCTGAAAATATACGGCTACTTTTTACAGTTTTAAATGACGAAATATTTTCCATTCGAGTGGAGGTAATCAAAATCCTTGGAAGACTGACTACTGTAAATCCTGCATACGTGATACCCTCGCTAAGAAAGATTCTATTGGAACTTCTGACCGAGTTAAAATATCTTAAGATGGCAAGAAGAAACGAGGAAAGTCTAACACTATTGTGTTCATTAATTAGCTCGACGAGGGGTACATGTAAGCCATATTTGGAACCTATTTTACAAATTTTGCTTGTCAAGGCAAAAGATAAATCAGGTGCGGTGTCATCAATAGCTCTTAAAGCAATTGGTGAATTGGCTGTTGTATCTGGAGAAGACATTAAGGACTATTTAACCGAAGTTGTACCATTAATTATTGAAACTTTTCAGGATCAATCAAACTCTTTCAAAAGAAACGCAGCTTTGAAGTCATTTTCTCAGATTGCAAGTGCATCAGGTTATGTCATTGACCCACTACTTGACTATCCTACGTTGTTAAGTGTTTTAATAAACATATTAAAATCAGATTCCACCCAAAATGTAAAAAGAGAGACTGTTCACCTAATGGGTGTAATTGGTGCCCTCGATCCGTATAGGCATCAAGAAGCTGAAGAGACATCTGATTCACATATAGCCTTGGAACAGAACGCTCCGCCAATCGACATATCATTACTAATGCAAAATAGTTCACCAACATCGGATGACTACTTCCCAACGGTTGTGATTACCACTCTTCTTAAAGTTTTAAAGGATAATTCGTTGGTTGCACATCATACAGCAGTTATACAAACTATAATTCACATATATCAGACATTAGGATTAGGTTGTATTGGATTTCTACCCCATATTGTACCTGCATTTTTATATGCGATAGTGAATTGCCAACAATCACTTTTGGACTATTATTTCCAACAATTAGGTGTTTTGATATCAATCGTAAAACAACATATACGACCATATTCTGAAGAAATATATAGAGTTATCTTAGATTTCCTACCAAATCCGAAATTACAGTTTACTATCATTTCTGTTATTGAATCTTTTTGCGCAGCACTAGAAGGTGAATTCAAAATATTTGTTCCAGAAACCTTAACTTGTTTCTTGACAATATTTGAGACTGACAAATCTCCAAAGAGGAAAGTTTCGAAGAAGATTCTAAAATGTCTCATTACATTTGGGCCTAGATTAGAGGATAATTTTTACTTAATCCTACCAACCCTTATTAGAACCTCTGAATTTTCATCCCCTGATTTAAAAAAAGAAGCAATTGTTACAATAGGGAAATTATCAAGACATATTGAATTGTCCGATATATCGACAAGGTTAGTACAAACTGCGTTAAGACTTCTGAACTCTAGGGATCCTGCTATCATTGAGGCTACTATGAACATGCTCTGCTTATTATTATTGCAAATGCGCACTGGATTCATGATATACGTAACCAGCATCAATCATGTCCTAGTAAAGAATAATATTACACATAAGATATATGACCAATTAGTGGAGAAGTTAATGCGCAAAGAAGATTTTCCAAAAACATTGGTATGGAATGATGACGCTGCTGAGGAACCTCAAGTTAGTAACTCTAAACAACCTGTGCCAGAAAAATTACCTATTAATCAAGAAGTTTTAAAAGCTACATGGGATTGTAGTCAACAACGGACGAAGGAAGACTGGCAGGAATGGATAAGAAGATTATCAATCCAATTACTCAAGGAATCGCCATCTCACGCTTTAAGGGCATGCGCTGGTTTGGCAAGTGTGTATTATCCTTTAGCCCGAGATCTTTTCAATGTATCATTTGTGAGTATATGGACGGAATTATATACCCAATATCAGGAAGATTTTATCAAATCGTTTTGTGTAGCATTAAGTTCACCTCAAAACCCGCCTGAGATTCATCAGGCATTACTGAACTTGGTTGAATTCATGGAACATGATGAGAAATCGCTGCCTATTCCGCTACAAATATTAGGCGAATATGCAGAACGGTCACATGCATATGCAAAGGCATTGCACTTCAAAGAAGCAAAGTTCATCCAAGAGCCAATAGATAATTCTATTGTAGAATCTCTTATTAGTATCAACAATCAATTACATCAAAATGATGCGGCTGTTGGTATCTTAAAATATGTCCAAAAACACCATAATCTGCAGTTACAAGAAACTTGGTATGAAAAACTAGAACGTTGGGAGGATGCATTAGATGCTTATAATAATAAAGCTCTTAGGGGTGAATATACAGAAAGTATCACTATGGGCCAAATGAGGTCATATCATGCTTTGAGTGACTGGGATAATTTATCCACCCTTGCTTCGAGTAAGTGGAATAATGCAAGTCCAAATTTAAGAAAAATGATGGCACCGTTGGCAGCTGGTTCAGCATGGGGTTTAGGGCAATGGGATAAAATTCAAACATATATTGATGCTATGAAACCTATGACCCCCGATCGGGAGTTTTTCAGTGCTGTTTTAGATGTACATAATAATAATTTTGAAGAGGCAGAAAGCCATATCTTTAACGCTAGAGATTTATTGGTTACTGAAATATCTGCATTGATAAGCGAAAGTTACAACCGTGCATATAATGTTGTAGTCAGAAGTCAATTGATAACCGAACTAGAAGAAATTATTGCATTCAAAAAGGCTCCACAAAATTCGGAAAAGAGGGTTTTCTTAAAAAATACTTGGAATAAGAGACTATTAGGTTGTCAAAGAAATGTTGATGTGTGGCAAAGAGTATTAAAAGTAAGATCCCTTGTTATTAAACCAAAGCAGGATATGCAAATATGGATTAAATTTGCTAATCTCTGTAGAAAAAATAATAAATTAAATTTAGCCGAAAAGGCACTAAATTGTTTATCAGATGAGACGATGGGTGCTAATATTATTCCTTCGAAGGCAACACCCTCTGTTGTTTACGCCCAATTGAAGTATTTATGGGCATGTGGATCAAAACAAGAAGCTCTCCGTTATCTAATTGGATTTACATCCAGGATGGCACATGATTTAGGCTTGGATCCAAGTAACATGATTGCGCAAACTGTTAATAAAAGCGCTACTGTTTCAAGTACTTATGTTGAGGATTATACAAAATTACTTGCCAGATGTTTCTTAAAACAAGGTGAGTGGAGAATTTCTTTACAGCCAAATTGGAGAACCGATAATCCAGATGCTATTCTTGGTTCATACCTATTAGCCACCCACTTTGATAGTAACTGGTATAAGGCTTGGCATAATTGGGCTCTTGCAAATTTCGAGGTTATTTCTGCTATATCTGCTAAGAGAAAGGCAGCAGAGCAGGCTTCACACAATAGAAGACAACATATGGGCGACAACGACACCCAAAATATAGATAATGATGGCACTATAATGAACTCTGACGAAATGCTACAACGCCACGTTGTACCCGCGATAAGAGGGTTTTTTCACTCTATTTCATTGTTAAGTTCTCTACAGGATACGTTAAGGTTATTAACATTGTGGTTTACATTCGGGGGTGCTGCAGAAGCTGCACACGCTATAAATGATGGGTTTGCTATGATCAAAATAGATAATTGGTTGGAGGTTTTACCACAATTAATATCTCGAATTCACCAGCCAGATCAAACAGTCAGTAAATCGTTATTATCATTATTATCAGATTTAGGTAAAGCACATCCACAGGTACTTTTAAATCCATTAATTGTTGCTATCAAGTCAGAATCTGAATCCAGAAGGTTGGCAGCTATGTCAATAATTGAAAAAATGAAAATTCATAGTCCTACCTTGGTAGACCAGGCCGAACTAGTAAGTGATGAATTAATCAGGGTTGCCGTTTTGTGGCACGAATTGTGGTACGAAGGTCTAGAAGATGCAAGTCGGCAATTTTTTGGTGAGCATAATACAGAAAAGATGTTTGCGACATTGGATCCCTTACATGACCTTTTGAAACGTGATCCTGAAACATTGCGAGAAGTGGGTTTCCAAAATTCTTTTGGGAGAGATCTAAATGATGCTTATGAATGGGTACTGAATTACAAACGTACGAAGGATATCACTAATCTAAATCAAGCATGGGATATTTATTATAATGTTTTCAGGAGAATTAGCAGGCAATTACCTCAGTTACAGACACTAGAATTACAGCATGTCTCGCCCAAATTACAGGCTGCACGGAACCTTGATATAGCAGTTTTCGGTACTTATGTTGTTGGTAAACCTATTGTAGAGATTGTGTATTTTGATCCTGTATTTGTTGTGATATCATCCAAACAGAGGCCCAGAAAATTTTCAGTAAAGGGAAGCGATGGTAGATCATATCAATATCTTCTAAAAGGTCATGAGGATATAAGACAGGATAGTTTAGTTATGCAATTATTTGGCCTGGTTAACACGCTTTTAGAGAATGATCCCGAATGTTTTCAAAGACATTTGGATATTCAACGATACCCAGCCATTCCGTTATCACCAAAGTCTGGTTTATTAGGATGGGTCCCAAACAGTGACACGTTCCATGTTCTTATTAGAGAGCATCGTGATGCTAATAAAGTTCCTTTGAATATTGAACATTGGGTAATGTTACAAATGGCACCAGATTATGATAATCTGACATGGTTAGAAAAAATAGAAGTGTTCCAGTATGCCATGGAAAACACAAAAGGCCAAGATTTGGCACAGGTATTATGGTTGAAGAGTAGGTCATCTGAATCATGGCTCGAACGGAGAACTGTATACACAAGATCTCTCTCTGTTATGTCGATGGTTGGGTATATCTTAGGTCTAGGTGATCGACATCCGAGTAACTTAATGTTAGATAGGATAACGGGTAAAGTTATCCACATCGATTTTGGTGATTGTTTTGAAGCTGCAATCTTAAGAGAAAAATTCCCAGAGAAAGTACCTTTTAGATTGACACGGATGCTAGTAAATGCAATGGAAGTGAGTGGAGTGGAAGGAAGTTTTAGAATTACATGCGAAAATGTTATGAGAGTTTTGAGAAATAATAAAGAATCTCTGATGGCAATTTTAGAAGCATTCGCTTTTGATCCTTTGATCCACTGGGGATTTGATTTACCTACTGACAAAATTAGAGAAGAAACAGGTATTCAAATACCAACTACAAACCCAAGTGAATTACTAAGAAAGGGTGCTATCACGGCATCGGATGCTGCTAAAATGGAGATTGAACAACAGACAGAAATCAGAAATGCTAGAGCTGTCTTAGTACTTAGACGTATAACAAATAAATTGACTGGTAGTGATATCCTAAAGCATCATGAGCTCAATGTAGTGGATCAAGTAGATAAATTGATTATGGAAGCTACGTCAATCGAGAATTTGTGTCAACATTATGTGGGATGGTGTCCATTTTGGTGAATAATGGTGACTATTGTAATATTTTATAAGATGTTACATATTTATATATAAACGTAACCTACTGGTTATTTATTTATCATTTATGTGAGTTATGCGTTAATGTCGAAAGAGTGCTTTTACTTTCTCAAGATGTTATATTCGGCACTATAAGCTGAGACTTTTGCTTTCCATTCCTCTAATACTGGATGCTTTCCATCATCAGGCAATTTATATTCTGCGTCAAATATATTTTTACTCAACATATTTCCTATCTTTAAATCCTTCAATGCCTGTTCGTAATCCTTTTTCAACTGTTCATTTTCCTTTCCATATTTGTAGTTCAGTATTTGTAATACACCCATTAGTCTTCCTACTTCAAATCCTATTGCTGCCCCCGTTGGGAATCCATCATTGAATCCTTGTTGTAAATTTACTTCCTTTGAACTTACAATACCGTCTAAGTAGCCTCGTTTGTTGTGTTGCTCTCTTAGTTTCTGAAGATCCCGAGAATAACCAGCATTCTCATTCGATATCATTTCAGAATCTGAGTCTGATCCCCAAACATCATCTAATATATCTTCTTGGTTGGACATTGATTATATAGTGTGGTTTATTGTTATTTAAGATGTTTTCTTTGGTGAAATGGCAAGGTCATCGATAATGTTTTTTAAATTACTAATACAAATATACATCTTCAATATAATTATTTTTCGGCAAACTGATAGAGTCCGAATAGTTTCAAATAAAAGAAAATATGACTTCGATTCTCTAATAAACCTCATCTTTATATAAACCAAACTAATGATAATTATAATTATAATAATGAACATGTTATTATTTATATATAGAAGTATATATGTCGTATTTTTTAAAACTTTGAAATTGCACCAATATAGCGTTATTAGATAACAGATTAATAACTAGTTTGTTTTAGAGAATTATCTAACATTGGCCTAGAAGCCCATGGTGTACGTTCTAGCACTATTTCTTATTTTGGTTTGGTACACTACCTGATCTCTGTTGATTTGAAGCAAGTGGCATATTTGGATTCATTGGAAAATTAGGGTTTTGTGCCATCTGTGGTGGGAAAAATCCTTGTTGAGGGTTCATTTGATTGCTCTTATTATTCTTTCCTTCTTGTTTATGCTGTGGAGGATATGATGGAAGCATCATACCATTTGGAGGATATGGCATATTTGGTGGCATTCCCTGCATTGGCATAAACCCAGGTGGAGGTGGTCCTCTCATTTGCATAAATTGTTGTGGTGATGGAAATTGGTTAACATTACCCTTAGATTCATTAGAACCTTCCTTATTGGAAGCCTTGGGACCCTTACCAGTATCAGCCACAGGCATTTGAAAATTTTGACCTTGTGGTGGGAAACCAGGGAAACCTGGAGGCGGAGGCATATTAAAATTCCCTTGCATCATATGTGGTGGTGGCATACCCATATGAGGAGGCATTTGCATAGTTCCATTCGGAGCATTGTCATTTTTGCCTTTCTTATCCTTGTTATTGAAATTGTTTAATCCAGGAGGTAATACTTGTACTGGATGACCCATAGGTGGGCCTCCCATACCTGGAGGTGGCATTTGCATTTGATTGAATTGTGCATTTTTTTGATTGCCATTATTTTGTTGAATTTGGTTACCATCTTCAGCTTTTTTGTTCTTGTTTAATAAGTTCTGGAAAAACATATTGTTTCCTGGTTGCATACCAACTGGCTGTGGTGGTAGTTGCATTTGCAAGTTCATAGGCATTTGCTGCTGTGGTTGTTGCTGTGGTCCTGGTTGCTGAGCAGTTGGTGATACCTTGGAAGATTGTAAGCTACCTTGTTGAGCCTCTGGTGATATATTTTGGTTTGGTGGAGAAGGTTTATTGAAGAAGCCCATCAATCGCGAACTACCAGCAGGTTGATTTTGTTGTTGCATGACTGGTTGTTTTGGAGGTTGTACTTGTTTAGAACTCTGTGTCTCCTGTTGTTCGTTTGAGTTTGAGTTCTTCAATTGGGTATCTAAAGGTTTAGATGATGAGGAAGAAGAGGCATTAGAGAAGAACGACGTAAATCTCGAAGAAGAACTTCTTGATAAATCTGCTGGTAGTTTAGATTCAGAAGGACCAGCTGAGGCCGTTTCAGCTTTAGTATTTATCGAGCCATTTGAAGTGTGTTGCTGCTCCATAGTAGTAGATTCTACTGTGATATTTTGAGTGGATGTAGTGGTAGCAGCCGTACCAGTTGTAGTAGTTGTGTTTGAACTTTCACTACCAATAATATTTCCAGTATTCATATGAGAATTAGTGTTATTGTTCCTTGATAAGTTTAAGAAATCGGATATTATACTTGATTGTGCATTAGATGGTTTATTAGTACCTATAGTTGAGTTATCATTTCTGTTAGAATTAGGAGTAATATTTTGGCCCATAGATGATGATGAAGAAGTAGAATTAGCACCTCCGAATTTCTTTTGACGTTCCATTTCTTTCATTTGTGATTTCCACGCTTCGAAATCAGCAATCGCATTCCCAGATGATTCAAAATTTGCATCGAATTCAAGTTCATCACTAGTTAATGCCATCGATTTATTTGATTTTTTCTTATTTCCAGGTCCATTCACATGGCTATTAGAATTTTTCCCATTTTTGTTTCGATTGTGGTTTCTTCTTTCATTAGAATTGGCATCATTCGAATACGTTCTTGATTTGTTGTTGTTGTTATTATTATTATTATTCGAACTATTGTTTGAGTTATTATTTTGATTATTTCTGAAATTAGATTTATGGTTACCATTATCTGGGAATCTTTGATATAATCTCCAAAATTTTCTTTTTGGTAAAGTTTCAGCTTTTTCTTCAATATATTCCTTTGGAATATTTTTAGTAATATCTAATAATTCATTAATACTATATACATAAATTTTAGAGCCTGTAGATGTATCAGGTTTATAATCAACAATGGATTCAATAGTTTCTGTAGGTTTATCTTGAAATTCATCATTTAAGGAAGTATCTGCTCCTCCTGCTGTAGTCTTTGAAGAATCATTTTTATTTCTTAAAAATTTAATAAATTGTTGTAAATCAGCTTCTTGTCCAGAAGGAGTAACAATATGTGTAGAATCTGTTTGAGGATCTGTTTCTACTGGCAACGACGATGACATAATGGATGGATCAGTTAGCTCCATATTGTAAAATTAAATTTAGTTAGTTCTTAAAAAAATGCAAAAACAAAAATAAAATAAAGAGAGAGGATGAAAGATTCTGTTAAGAAGTATAACTATTTTCAATTAAAAGAAGAATATTTTGGTATTTAACTTTAGGGAGATTCTTAATAGCACAAGTCTGTACGATCAAAAATCAAAATGGTTACTGCGTTAGAATTATTCTTTTGTAAAGAACCTATAATAGTTAAAGAAGTTCGGTTTTTCCTTTTATGAATTGTACCTCCAATGCTTTAAAAGTTACCAATTAGTTTCTGCTCTCTATGTCGTTCTCACCCTATTCTGTCAGTTGCTTCGTTGAGTAAAAGAAAGTTCTTCCAATTTCATTTCGGGTCTCAATGCTTTTTTTAAAAACTTCCCACTTTCGCTGTGGTTTGGCAACTAAAATTTTGGTGTGTTCAGGAGGGTAACATATCGGTAAGAAATTTCAGTTAGTGGTGGATTTTCTTTTGGTGGGAAGAGAGAGAGATGAGGGTATATAAAGGGGAATGGTGTAAAGGGAAAGGGTTTTTACCTGTGTTCTACATGATGTAGGAAAACAAGGACAGTGTTGAACGCCCAAAATATATATATTAAATTTTGTGTTTGTTACTATGTCTGCTAATTTTAAAAGAACACTGATTTTACCGTTAATTTCAACGGGTAATGTTCCACAATTAACCACAGATTTAATTTTACATTCATTATCAAATGAGTTTCGTTTTGTGAAATCATTGGATTCTACCTATGTACATCCATTTGTTGGAGCATTGGATTATTCTCTTCATGATGGTAAACCGATATTATATGAATCAGACCCTAACAAGAGGTTTTCCAGTGCATTAGAATTGTTTTATAATGAATCTAAAAATGTATATGTGATTCAACAGAGAACACCAATAATACAAGGTTATATTAATAATTTCATTAAGGAGATTATAATTCCTGTGATAAAAGAATTTCAAATTACGGATGTAACAATTCTGGATTCATATGGTGCCCTTGATGAATCAATTATAAGTCATAAATTTAATAATAATACTAATATGGGTATTACGAATGTAGATCCATTTTATTCAGTTGGTATATGTAATTTAGAAGGAATTGGTTCATTGAGTGATGAATTTGATTCAATTTTAAATTTAAAGACTGATCCAAATACAGCTATGCATTATACTAATTCTTTATTGGAATTTTCAAAAAAAAGTTTATTACAAGAGATCTCCACTGATCAACAAATTTTTAAAATTATTTTCCATTTAATTAATTCACAATTAGGAAGTTTAACTAAAGTGAAATATTGTTCATTTTTTGTTCATGAAGGTGATAATTCTTTGGATGCAAAATTATTTACATCTCATTTTAATGATTTTGTTAATCCAATAGATTCCACCATTGTAGAAATCAAAGATTTTAAAACACCAATATCTTGGAAAGGTGTATACGGTTTTAATGAAGTTCCTACAACGTTAGAGGAAGGTATATATATCTAAATATAAATTCTTTAAATTATAATATAATACATCCTATGGTATCATTATGTATTAATGTATTGATCAGTAACTTTCTACGAAATATAAAACGAAATTTGTCACAAACACTCTTTGTTCGTACATTAGTAGACACTTGAGAGTGGACAAATTTTAGATAATTATCTTATAGGACAATTATATTTGTACCGTATGAAAACATATTCCCCATTTTATATATTGAATACAAGAAAAGTATGTCTCATTAAGATATTTATCTAATATTTGATAAAACTTCCATATCACATAAGGTATTGGCTTAACGATTTCTTTAAAGAGTTAGTCACCAATTTGTAGTAATTGAGGTTCATAAAAAAAAAGGAAACATATATCAATAATTTTAAAATCGTTCAAGATGTCGGGTTGTGTACCTTCTTCAGTAAAATTTGATAGCAAGTTCATCTCAATATTTAACTCCGGTGTTACTCACAGTTTGACTACCTACTGTAGTGTGAATTACGTTGTATGTGTCTCTAGAAAATTCGTGTGTCCCTAAACTCTAAGAATGTGCAAATAACAAGTTTAATAACCTATTGAACTTTCACTTTTTCATACGTATATATTTTGGCGTAACATAGTATTATCTACTTTCATATTACTGAAATATCAGGATTGTCCACTCACTGTCACCTATTGTAACTTAGAAATTGCATTCCTTAGAGTCATTAGTCACACTCTAACATTACATATACTTTTTCTTATGTGCTACAGTACCAAGAGTGTTCGGCAATTTTATATCATTACTTTCACAACTACATAATCCTACGCCATTATATATTAAGATATTATAAAATCAATTGGAGTCATAATTCAAACTTTTATGTCATTCTACACTAAAAACCCAAAATTTCATTTTATTAATAGTAGGGCATATATTTTTACAAATTTGAAATTTTTCTTGCCTGCTTGGCCAAGTGGTAAGGCATCGCACTCGTAATGCGGGGATCGTGGGTTCAATTCCCACAGGAGGCAAAAGTGTTTTTTTTACCATGATGAATTGAAATATATTTCTGTAATAGAACCCCTAAAAATGACTACTTGTAATATTATTTTATCATTACTGACTTGAACGTTATTTTTTTTTGTAAGTAATTAGTAACAACAACCGTTAATTTATTAAGTAAAGTACTTTTTATTCTTCTTCTTTTGCATTGTTATACTATAACATTATGTTAACATATAGCAGCAACCAACAAAAATATAAATAATTCGCCATAGCAAATATTCGTTCTTTGGCATAAAACTGTGACACTCTGATATGTATATGTAAAGATGTAATATTAGTATATAAAGTAATTGAATATAAAGAATTTAAAATGTATACTTCATTAATATAAGTATATAATTTGAAAATTAGATAAAACAAATGTAAGGAATGGAGAAAATATATATTTAACGAAAAAAAGATTACAAATTTTTCTTCTCATTTTCTAATTTATCTCTATTTGCATAAATTTTAGCTGTAAAAGGCTCTTCAAATTGTAAAGCGATATCATACATAAATTGTACAGCTAATGCAACAATTAGACCTGCAGGTTTAGCTTTAATTAAAGAAATTCCTAAGAAAGACAATGTTGAACCTTGGTACATTGGATTATTAGATACATTAAATGGGAAAGAAGTTACTCTATCCTTCATCAGAATACCAAAATAATCTCCTAAATACGTACCTGTAATACCTAATTGATACATTGATGATAATACTAAAATTTGGCCAATGACGATCGCGGTATAGCCAACTTTTTGTAAAATATCTATTTGTAGGAAAGGAGAAGTTTCCTGATTTTGCAATGCAAGGTTAAACATATGATCACGACCTATACCTAAAGTGAAAATAATAACAGCCAATGTGTAACAACCTGCTTTAGCAGAACCTGCAATTTTAGTTAAGAAATGAGTATTATATTCTAATCTAGCTACAATATTCCAAAAGATAGGATTAAAAGCAACCCATATTAATGAATAGCGTAGATAAGTATCATTAAAATCTACCGATTGAATCAAATTACCGTACAATTCTTTGGTTTGTTCAAACACGTTTTTAATATCAAAAGTGTCACTCATCCTGTATCTTTAGAGTTCAATGTGGTTCTTATACTATTATTTTGTCTGTGTATAGTTTATTACTCATGGACATCAACTAGAGCACACACACACACACACACACACACACACATCATTTACTCTCCCTTTATATATCTATATATTTAATATATATACCAATGAACCCTTCACATGGAGTTTCCCTTTATCTGTTAAATATATCCTCCACCCAGAGGCGGCGCCACGTACCGCGAACGACACACACAAACACACACACAAACCGAAGTATCAACAAATTTATCGCCGCAGGATTGCACGGCAATTTTGTTTTCACTTACAGTATTAATGGTAACGACGTTCTATGTGCTATTGTTGCTGCCTCTGTTGCACATGTGTGAATGTGAACGTACCAACAATACTGTGAAACGTGTTCCAAGTGACGATGATGATGATGATGATGATGATGGAAGAGGATCTAAAGTTTGGGGACTTATGACGTCGAAGTTGGGAGCCCTCGAAGCTGACAGTGTTCTTGAAGCAGAAAAATCAGTGGTGAAGACATCTCCGCGGATATTCGCAGTGCATCTCATCGTCGCATTTAGCACCGACCCTCTTTCACCCTTGCTTGGCAGAACCATGCATATATATAGATAGATAGATATATATATAGTTTGAAGAGGATATAAGAGAGAGCGTGTGTGTTTGTATTCTGTTATCTAGACTGTTAAGGGTAAGTAAACCACACATTCATAACTGTATACACATACATACACACTCACATTCACATCCACAATGGAACATCCTGCTATTAGTCTTTGCGTCCTTACCACAGCTGGTGGTATGATGGGCTTCTATCGTAAGAAGTCTATGGTCTCTCTAGTGGCTGGTCTTACAGTTGGTGGTCTATATGGTGTTTCTGCTTATCTTTTACATGGAAATAAAGATTATGGTCTAGAGATCGCATTAGGAACATCTGCTTTGTTATTGGGTGCTGGTATTGTTAGAGGCATTCCTGTCCGTTTTCAGAAGGTCGTACCTTGTTCATTAACTTTACTTGGTGGGTTAGGAACTTTCTATTATTATAATAAATATAAAGAATTTTACCCATGAACTGATACATAGTTTCTCCCTCCTCTTCTCCATTCTTATTCTGCAATTCGTTTTTATCTGTTTACCATTGCTATTTTTACCGTTGTTAATGTTACCTTAGAAATAGAAATTAAACAAAAAAAGCTAAAAAATATCAACCTTGTATATATACATTCTAACTACAATCATATATATATATATATATATATATTTTAAATATATTCAAAAAGTTTTATGTTGTTTTGGGTTCGATTTCTCTATTTTGAGGAAAGTTTTGGAAACGGATTAGTCTTACTGACCACCATGCATTTGTTACCATGTGATAAATACCCTTTAATTAATCCTTTACTAATTAAACATGCTAATTCACATTCTAATTCGTTTATTGATTCACTAATTGATTCATTCTCTGAGTTAGATTGAATTTTCATTCCAATTAGTATTAATTCAAATGGTAAAATACTTGCATTTCCATTTATTTGATAAACTAATTCAACTAATCGTAACAATATACGTTCTCTTAATAATTGCATCGCTACATACACACCATTCTTTAAGAAAAAAATTTCAAATTCTCTATTAGATAAAATATTATCAAATTTTGTTAAATTCCCAGTTTGATAACATTTAATAATAGAATGATAGTATTTATTACACATCCATTGATGAGTTCCATATCCTTCATTACTAATTTTGTTTAAATTCATATACTTATCATATATTTGAAGCATTAATGGATCACCAACAAATATTCGACGTGATAAAAGTCCAAATGGTACTAATAATATAAGAATTTGATTCATTTGTGTCAAATATTGTGTATCGCAACCAAATAATGCACGATTCAAATATATAAATGCAGTTTCATAATCATTTTCAATACAACCATAATATTGTCCCATATAATAATTATACGTAACCTCTTGTGCATTATATTTTGAACATAATGATTTTTCACATGACATCAGAGGTTCGAATCGATCTTCTTGTCTTGATTTCACAACTTTTACGAGATTTTTAACCATGTCTCTATTCTCAAGCCAATGATATATCTTAAACTCTAAATTGATAAACATATATACACCACTACGACGGTTCTCTTTCTTTATTGGATTCCTATCGTTTAAACATAAAGTAAATGAACGATGTACACTGCGACCACATCGTTCAATATATGATGAATTCATCTTTAAAACTTTTGTCATATGTGAAGTCACTTTAACAAGTTCTCGAGCTAAGACAAATAATGGGTAAAGGATCCAATTAGTCTCTCTTTCTGCAATACGATTCATTAATAGTAATTGTTGGTCGATGGATTCGAATAAGAATTTATAATGTGAAACACGAAGTGCTCGGCGTTTATTTGATCGATTGTTCAACTCTACAATATGCTGCCAAATTGTTTTACTTAAGGAATATACTTCCTCGACTTTTTCATCTTGATGCTCATTATTTAGCATATATAGTATTTTAGATGGTTCCCTAACATGATATTGAAAATAACGAACCATGTAATCATCGAAGTATTTCTCCTTGAAATAATCTCCAAAGTCAACAATTGACTTTAGCTCAGTCATCTTTGTGAGTGTAATATCTGATATGTATGTTATTCGGAATTGGAGATAATAAGTAAAACCCTTGGATCTTCTAACTTGCTATAAATGTTTTAGTTTAATGATTCTTTAATTGTTCTTTGGAAGACTGTTCAAATACTTCGTTTTTATTTTTTTTCTTTTTTCATACATTATTTTTTGTTTGATGTGATTAAAAACCGGCTACTATTATTATTTTTCAAATCAAAGATTTGAGGATATTCCTCTTATCTTCCTCTCTCTTGATATAAGTCACTACCGTATCAATCCAGTAAAATCAATTGATCTACCGAGAAAACTGTAAAGACCTTTTTCAGTGATTTATTAGAGATATATGTCCAGCCCTCAAAGAAATGTTAGTACCCCACTGGAGCTACATGAGCTTAATCTTGTAGCTAAACAAAATGTTCCGCCATTGCCAGCTAGAAACAAATCAGGACAGTCACAACAACAGCAAGAAAATCAAGGAAATAGATCTCCATTATCACGTCAAATTGGCGGTTTCAATGAAAAATTACCTCCTGTTACTCCAAAGAAGAATTTAATCGCACCTGTTACACCTGTTAAGAAGCCTATGATAGAGGAAAGACAAGAGGATGAGAATAGTATTATTTACAAATTGGCATCAAAGAAAAGAGAAATAAATGAATTAGAAGAAAAATTGAAATTTTTAAACATGGAACTCCATGAATTAGAAGTAGAGTTCCGTAAGTCACAACCTCAGATGGCTCAATCTCAGATGAGTCAAAGACAAACTCAGTTTCAAGAAACATTTGATGGACTAAAGACAAGATTAAACAACACTATTAATTCTTTCACGGCTCCAAATACAACAGAGGGTGATGAACCTGCTCAGAGGGATATCCGTAATAATGGAACCGCCAATTCAAGCCAAACTAATAGATTTTTCAAAGGATTAATGGACAAATTTAATGAATTTAACGTAAACGAGGATGAATTCGACACAAAAACCAAAAGAGATGAGGTAAATAATGAATATTATTTAAAGCAAGGATATGATCTTGACGATGAGGAAATTGAAAAGGATGCTCATGATGAGGCGAGATTTTTAAATAATATTGATGATTCGACGATAAATTCTATTAGAAGGTGACAGAATGATTTTCTAATAAAAGTTCAATCTCAAAATCATGCAAATAGACCCTGCTAATATAAAACTATTTAATAATATTTAATTAATATCATACAAAATCTGTTCTTCCGAAATATATAAAAACTTTGTTTACATTTTGTAGCGGTGTTATGAAATTTATCATCGATAACAAAATTAACAATTTGTAACAATATCATATTTTAGGATACATTCTTAAGACATGTTCTCAAAACTAATAATATCCAAAATAATTTCTTAAATACATGATAAATTTATTAAAATAAAAATAAATAAATAAATATAGAAATTCCTCGAAATAACATATTCATAGGTTATTTGAATAATTTATAATAGAGTTAAAAATATGCAAAATCTCTCCGGTATAACCATGTCTACGATCATCTGAATCATCTGATCTCGAATCAATCTCTCTATAGATATCTCTCACCCGATCAAAAGAGGCATCAATAAATCTCATACACTCTATAACATTTTTTGACGACGATGAATGTTTCAATAAAAACTTTCCATTCTTGAATATCCTCCTCATTCTCTGAGATCCCTTGTCCTCTATTTCTTGTTGTTTAACCATCATTTCATATATCTCTCTGGTCTGAAGGGATATTACTAAAGTCTTAATTATTGAAATATTCGGATTCAAATGCAATTCTTTTCTCATAGTTGTCAAAATATGTCCATCTATCTCATTACTATATGGATTAGCCTGTATTTGGTAAAATCTATTCAAGTTAGGAAGATATCCTGTATATCTTGGCAATAATTCGTTAAATTTGATAGAATCTTTTATATCTTTATCAAGTTTCACATCAATGTCAATAACGGATGCCTTAGATGATTTTTCATTGGGTGCATTTATTCTAAAATTACTAGGATGCTTGCTAGTTAAAATATTATCTACTTCTGGACTACATATAGCATCAAATGCATCATCTAACATTACGCTTTCATCAATCCTTTGAGAATCCCTTTGAATATTAAGATTCATTAGAGGTGATAAAAAGGAGTTTCCATCGTTGTTTATTGTAGAAGTATTACAAACTTTTGGTGTTAGTGTCCTATTAGTTGGAACATAATAAAGATCGATACTATTCATAGATTCAGGCGTTCCAACCCAAAGTGATTCTTCAAAATCCAACAAAGACATCGATTCTTGAGATGCATGATATGGAGCAGGATTATTTCTAACTATTCCCATCTGATGTAATGATGTGCTACTTGGTGTTTTGTGAAAATTATTTGTTGTCTTCATCCCATTTGGTGGTACTCTGAATAAAGGAGATTCTGATTCTGTAACAGATGGACTTTTGGATAGCATTCTAGTAATTGATGGCCTAGATGTAAACCATGAACCATATGAATTTTGTTGACTGGATAATGAAGAAGATAAATACCGGATAGAGTTATTCCCAGATTTAAAAGTGGAGGGCTGAATTACATCCGCAGATGTTGAATCTGCTGGAGATATCGCAATTGAAGCCGATGAAGAACCCATCCTCTGAGGGATTTCCCAACCATTTCTTGTATAATTATATCTTGACGAGTTTGAAACCATAGATGACATTGATGAAAATGAAGAGACCGATGAGGGTGAAGATTCGATAGAACTTCTGTTCAGAGATGATCTTGAATGTATAGTCATTCTTTCAGCCTTCTTTTCAGGAGTACTAACTTTTCCTCTACTACGGGGTTGATTTATTAGATTTAAATTCTGCCGTATCTTTCTGTTTAGTAATCCACATATTAAAAATATCAATTTATTTGCAACAGTAACATTTCCAGACAAAACTATTATTCTTGCATTTTCTTTAGAGTTACCATCATCAGACATTAGCAACATGCGTTTATAATTTACGATAACAGTAGCTAAAGAAGTTTGCAATAGATTCAATTTTGGTCCATCTTTTAACTCTATCCACTTAAAACAACCTCTGAACCAAGTTTCTACAAATTTTACATCATCTGGTGGGAAAAGGAACAATCTTGGGATTTCGAAACTTGATCTAAAACAAGGTATCAAATAATTTTTCAAAATTGAAATAATTCTTTCAAATTCCATTGAATATTTTTGAAGAAAAATATTCTGTAAACTATGTGTAGTATTTCCCGTTGTATTCTTATTAAAAGTATTGTTGTCCGAGGTATCATGCAAAGGTTTCTTTCCTTTTAGGCCACTAGGATTTCTCTTATGTTCTAATATAATTTTTGTCAATATTCTCTGTGATTCATCCCACCAATTCTGAATGAAGCTCCAAACTTCTGTAATAATCGGTAATAAAAATTTTGGTAAACACAAATTAATAGCTATCCTATTATAAGGAGAATTAAGGTAAAAAATTCTTGTTAAAATCATATACTCTGAATTTGGGATAACTCTGAATTTTTCATTTTTATTATATTTTTTCGAATTCATAACCCTAAAGATGGAACAAAACATATATTGTCTCAATTCGTTTGGTCTAATTTTACCAATATCTGAATATTGTGGATAACTATGATCCAAGAAAAGTTTAAAATTACTTCGACACGCCATTTGTTCAGTTTCCTCTGCAACAAGTATTCTAAACGGATAAGTGGAATCTTCTGAAATAAATGATTCATCCTCCAAGTTTTTCGAAATGGGCATCATCTTGCATCCAAAAAGTTCTAATTTTGAATCATCAGCCATTTGATTCAAAATCTGTGGATAGTTTTGTACATCCTTTGTATGGCTGGGAAATGTAGGTGTACCATCCTCCTCCTCATGCTCAAAATCACCACTATTAATGGCATCATTCGTTAACAAAGTATCTGTTGTTCTTATCGGAGAAATACCATTCTTATTCTTGGTGCCCTCGCTATCCCGCAGTAAAGACCTTAAAAATACAGAAGCAGATTGCGATGGTATATTATTATTGTTATTATTATTGTTGCTATTATTATTATTATTATTATTAATATTGTTACTGGCATTTAAAGTCACAGCAGAAATACTATGTGTTATACTATTAGATATGGTATTTCTATCGGAATTATTATCGTTCGAATCCTCTCTGCCACTATCTATTAAATTTTTAGTCTCTATGGAATAATTTGAAATGCGTTCGACACTGTCAACATATTTCATTGAAGATTGTCTAGTAACTGTACTTTTCACACTTGGTGGTCGAGGACTGGGACTAGTACTTGAATTAGAACTAGATGCTCCATTATTTTTAAGTAAGTTTCCTAACATTTTAATTCACTAGTTTCAACTTGGAATATATATATATATATATCTATTAGTAATATTCTTGAAAATGTAAGGTAAAATAACGCAAAGACGGTAAATAACTCTTCTTCTAATGATAACCTATAATAAAAATTAAACCATCCAGATAATGAAACAGAACAAAATGAGGCTCAACCAAATTTAAAAAAAGGAAGAACACTCTTTAAAATAATGAGTGCTTACAAACACAAAATAAACCTAAACAGAAAATGATCTACACTTTCATATAATCATAAACCGCCGACCACTAATTGCATTGATATAGCCAGGTTAAGCCAGCACAAATACAATTCTACACTTTCTCCTATATCTGCCAGAAAATGCCTTCCAATTTTAACAAAGCTAGAAAAGATAAAAATACACAGTTCACTTTAAACCACTTGTGTTGATACTAAACTCAGATGAAATTTAAGTTGTTAATAAATCTGTAGTCCACCCTCTTAAAAATTAGTGTAACCTCTAATTATGGAGAATAAATATTGATGTATGTAAGAGAATATCTACTGTGTATAATATCAGTCAATCAAAAGTAATCCCCCAAAGTTATAGATGTTTAGTTACCTTACCAAGTGGATTTCACTGTTGTTACTAATTGTCATTACGAAAACAGGAAAATCTTGAATTTCCTGCTGCTGAGGCATCCGAAAATCAACTTTCACAGTGCGTTTATAATACCGCAAATATGGGCAAAAAGGTGAAGGGAGTTTAATTATTTTTTTTCTAATTTATAGATATGTATTATCTAATATAATATACAAACTCAAGATCCTCAGTCATTGACCACATTTTGTTTGACTACTATCACTGTATCTGGCGTAATTACTTTAACTGTGTAACGTGACTTTTCAATTTATCATTTAACAATTATTGGTTTCCTTATTGCTAAAGAAGTACGACCTTTCCACCATCGTTAATTAGTTGAAGAAGACCAGTCGTAAAGAATAGTACTACCATATATAGACTTTACCCGTTTTTTTAGTATTAACAATTCCCAATTGAACTCATTACAACTCATCCACAAACTCCATAAAGATCAGTATGGATACACTTTCCACTGAGACTGTCCCAAAATGGGTGACCTATTCTGCAGTGAACTCGATTCTTTGTATCCTGGGTGCATTTTGTGTGCCTTTAATATCCATTTTATCTGGCCGAGATTCAAACTCTAGTCACAATACTAGATTGGTTAACTATGGTCTTTCGTTGAGTGCAGGGTCCATGGTGACCACTGCATTATATAAGATGTTACCTGTAATTAATCATGAAAATAGATTCGAAGTATTCTTTGGAGTATTAGCTGGTATCTCTCTTTCATTATTTTTAAACTATATTGTACATTCTTTTGCCAGTCAATCATTGATTCATTGTGCTCACGGTGAAGATGACGATGGAGAACATAATGAACATCACCATAACCACCATAATGACGATATTATTGTACATGGCGTTTCATCGTATGGTTCCATGAATAATAAATCACAAAATAATGCTCGTTCTAATTCAATTCAACATTCTTCAAAAACAATACCGAGTATTTCATCCTCCACACATCAAGACACTTTAAACCGTAGAACAAGTATCATCGATTTGATAAATAAAGCTAACCCTTTGAGTAAAACAGACTCCATTACTGTTTGTACTCCTTTATTGAAAGCTGATAAAGGAACTTGTGTTGGCCAAATATCTCAAGCTAGCTCAAGAAAATCAGATCATGTTGAATCCAATGGAACTGATCAAAATAAATGTTTTTCTAATAATGGAGCTAAGAGCACAAAATCACAAGTGATATCTACTAATATAGATAACATTCAAGAAGAAGAAACAAATAATGATAACTATAGCGATAATAATAATGAGGATGAACAACTACAGAATATAGGACCTGGTAATGAAAGTTATGCTCCAACAGATGACGAAAGTTTCTACCCTGTACAGTGTAAAATGGCTTGTATGGAAAACACAATAGGATATGATTTAGAGAATTTGTCAGTATATCGTAAAAATTACTTCTCTGGTAATGATAAGATTTCAATCCATGATAACAGTTCGACTTCGTCAAATACGTCCTCTACACATGTTCCTGAATATTCTAACGATATACATTCTGATCATCACTCTCATAGGTCGTCACGTTCTCACGTACATTCTCACCACCATCATAATCATGTTCATGGTTTAGAACATGATCTTACAATCTCGTCTAGTGTCACACCACATTCAATAGCATCGATACCATTCCATTACCATCATGTTGAAACACCATTCTCCAAACTATTATCTATCGGTATGCAAACATGTCTTGTTCTGACACTTCACAAATTTCCAGAAGGTTTTATTATCTTTTACACAAATAAGTCTAACAATGACTCTAAGACAATCGGATTCTCAATCTTCTTAAGTCTTGCCATCCATAATTTCGTTGAAGGGTTTGCAATGACTTTACCTTTTTACTCAATCTTTGAAAACAAATGGCTATCAATTTTGATTACCACAGTATTAGGCGGTGGTTCGCAACCATTAGGTGCCTTAATTGGTTACTTAATATTTAAGAATAAGAATAAAAATAATCCCAATTCAGGTGATAACGAACCAAATATGGATCTATTACTAAGTATCACATCTGGGTTCTTACTGGTTATTGCATTACAAATGTTCCAAACTGGTATTGGTTTTAGTGATGGTCATCACCATCATGAAGATGATGATTCCGTAGAAATTCGTCAAAACCACAGTTTGGGTACCACTTGTTTGAAATGGTGCTGTGCTGGTGTTTTACTGATCCTTGCAAGCTCAATTTTCGTATAATGAACACCTGATGAAATATTATCGACACGAAACACTAATGTTAACTAAAATTTGGGTGGGAAAAACACTTGACAATAACATCTAAGGATATGGCTGTTTATTCTCTTCTTATATCCTATTTTATAAATGCAGATCTATATTAATTTAGTATATACTATAGAATAAAAAATATTAAAAACTTATCAATATGACTTTCTTTCGATTGTCCAAATGGCCATTTAATGCTTATATACAATGCTTAAATCAATTTAATACGTTAGATGCTGTTTCAATGAAAGGATTACCATCATTAATCGGAACATCGATTTTTGAATTATCCAATGTTGTACCGTCTACAGTTTCACCATCATTTTCTTCGTTATCATCATCACCCTTTTTACTTGAATCGACTTCTATATTTTCAGGAATATATGAAAATTCAACATTGTCGGTACCTCTCATTTCATCTGCTAGTGGTAAATTAAAATTGTATTTACCCCATTTAAAGTAAAGACCGGTGATGCAAATCAGACATAAAATATAAACCATAATAGCATAATTCATTGATCTTACCGTTACAGGGACACTGATTGGCATACACACGGAAAACATTGACAATAACAACCACAAGATAGATATAATGTTGATACCCCAGCCCAACTTGTATCTAATCTTAACTGGGGCATTTTTTAGGACTCTTCTTCTTCTGAAGAGAACTAGAATTAATGGGATGCAGGTACCCGAACAAAGACACAAAACCGCCGCACCGATGAATGCATTGAATGCTGCTGTTGAGAATAATGCTAATAATCCAAGAATATATGATATTGCCATACTTAACAGAACTGAATTTACTGGAACTTTTGATTGAGATTCTGGTTTGACAAATGTCCATAAATCATGTCTTGGAATAGCATGATCACGACTAAAACTGTATACTGCACGAGAAGAAGTTGTGATAGAACCAATGCCCGAGAAAAATAAATTACCTAAAATCATCAAAACTAAGAAGAATGAAACAATCATAGAATCAGTAGATTTTACAAATATATTAACAATGGGGAGGATATTATAATTGTTCTCATTAAACAAATTTTCAACATCAGGCAGGATGATCATAATTGGAATCAAGAAAATAACTCCTGAAAATGCAGATATTAATACTGAAGTTGACATAGCCCTTGGAATATCCTTTTCTGGTGCATTAACTTCATCTGCCAATGCGGGAAGCATACTGAAACCTTGTAATGTGAAATTAGATTGTTGAAAACCAATCAAAAATGAAATAAACGCATTAGAATAACCAGAAAGTGAATTATCAAAATGGAATAACGCATACTTAAGAGATCTATATTTTCCTCTATGGAAAATTAATAGTAAAATATCAATAAAAATGATTGCATAAATGATCCAAATCACACACACCTTATTTATTATTTCAATGAATCTTGCAAATTTCAAATTAATAACACCTACAATTGTAACCACTAAATAGAATACGATAACAGTATACCATATTAAATGTGTCTCTGATATTAAATCTTTATTAGTCATTAAAATTAAAGAAATTGTAAGTTGAGCACCAGCAAATGTAATACTTGTACTCATTGTCCAATTCCCTATTAACATCAGCCATCCAGTATACCATGATGCGGCCAACTTAATGGACTCTGGAGCTAACATCGCACTACCAACATGAATCTCCATAGGAAATTTAGACACAATTTCTCCCAAAGAAAGGGAACAAAACCAGATACAAATCCCACTAATAATGAAACCCGGTATAATTGTCAAGGGTCCTCCATTTTTCAAACCGATTGCCATACTTGTACACATACCCAAAACAGGACTCATCAATCCAAACCCTAAACCTATTACAGAACTTCTTGAAAGGAAAGATTTATCTAATTGTTGTTCGTATTTGAAATGCTCAACCTCTTCCGCCTCATTATCATCGGATTCTTCGTGCAATATCGTATGTAAATTCTCAAACAATTCATCCGGATTGAAAGTATGTCTGGCAATATTCAGACTATTCCTCACGTTGTTTGGTATTATATTATAATCATGCATTAATTAAAAACGTATTTAGGTGACGTACTAACTCGGTATCACTGAAATATCCAATATATTGCTTTCCAGATATCGGCCTTCTAGGAACAACGTATAATTTGAGTGAATTTTTAAGATTAGCAAAAATACTGAATATATATATTTACCAATACAAATGATTCGTATTATGTTCGTTTGCTTTGTTCTATGCCATTGTGTGACCTCTAATTTGAATAGGCTTAGTTTTGATTCCTTACTTGAAATTCTTATTGTCCATCACATATTATAGCATTATTATCTGCGCGATCCAAAAGGGTAACTCTTTGCAGCCCGTTAACTGCAGGTTTACTTGTAGAAGACGGGAATGGTTTCCTATTCAGGAAATTATTCGACATATCACGTGCAAAATGGGATTTAATATCGTATGGCTCATACAAACATAGCTATAATTACCAGTTTTATAAGTAGTCCATGTCGAGTTGGGATAAGTCACCATGAATTCATTAAGGTTTTTTATTGATTATATTACAATCACCTTTTAAATGTTATTTCGAATGTGTTTTTATATTCAGTGCTTAATATTCAAGGGCCTCGCTAAATGCGCTTATGGCAGCGTAGGGAAAATTTATATTCAAAAAATTTCAATGACATTGTGAAAACAGCTTGATAGAATACATAAACAAAAAGGAATAGTTTGTTAGATATACTTAAAAGATAATTGAGAAGTACAATTTGATAGATAATTAATAAAACATATTTGGTGGACGTTTTGTTTGAATTTTTTTTTTAGCTTTATACTTTCCAGAGTAAAAGTTTTCAAGTAAATTTAAATTATAAAGTGTCTTAGTGAAAACAACCCGCCAACACAAAATGGATGAAGAAGATCAATACGATGAGTTTGGTAATCCTATTGGGAATTTAAACAATTACTCAGATACTGAAAGCAGTAGTAGTAGTGATGGTAGCGATTCTGAGGTCAATGATGTAGATAGTGACACCGAGAATACTTCTACCAACCCATTAAATGAAATAGACGAAGAAGAAGTAGAACAAGCAGAAATCCAAACAGATGATATTGTATTATATAAAGATACTATGGATGAAAATAATGTAGAAATATTAGTAGAAACTAATAACACACAATCCTTAAATGAACCATTGATCAAATCGCAAACATATAAGGCAAGAGGTAAAGAATACTCATCCTTTCCCTCAAAGAAGAAAGATATACCAAGAACATCATACGATAAGCAATATATGTTCGAATTACTAAAATTACCGGAAAGGATAAGAAACGTTGCGGTGATAGGACCTTTACATTCAGGGAAGACTTCGCTTGTGGACTTGTTTGTCCAAGATGCGCATGATAAATTGCCTCATATGAGTAATAATATAAAACAAGGCTGGACAGCTTTACGATATATGGATAGTTTCAAACAAGAGATTGAAAGAGGTATAAGTATTAAATTGAATGGGTTAACATTTATGGAAACAGATTTAAATGATAAATCAATGGTATATAATATATTGGATACACCCGGTCATGTCAATTTTATAGATGAATGTGCAGTAGCATTAGAAGCCGTCGAAATTGCAATCATATGTCTCGATGTTGTTGAAGGTGTAACCTCAGTTGTTCGGAAGCTAATAGAAATATGTGAAAAAATGGGCAAGCCATTTATCCTTTTGATTAATAAAATTGATAGACTTATATTTGAACTGAAAATACCACCTATGGATGCATATCTAAAGATAAAACATATTGTTGAAGAGATAAATATGTTAACCACGGAGAAATACTCACCCGAACTTGATAATATTATATTTGCATCAACAAAACTTGGGTTTACGTTTACAGTAAGGGAATTTGTAAAGTACTATTATTCAAGAAGTATACCAAATGATAAAATAGAACTATTCATCAAGAAATCATATGGATGTATTACTTTGAACAAGGGGAAGTATGAAAAAATTACTGACCCTGTTTTACAATTGCCTACCTTTCATGATTTATTTATTCTTCCATTATACAAATTATTGAGTAGTTCGATTGCTTTAGATAAGAAAAGCTTGGATGGTTTTGTATCAACGTTACAAAATCAATTTAATATAGTTATTGAAAACCCGCAAGACCTACTGAAAATGGATCCTTATCCACTACTAAGATATATTTGCAAACTAGTTTTCCACGAGAAACAGGCTGGTTTGTACCACTGCATTAACGAAGCTGGACAGAAAGGTTCTTCAAGATACACTGAATCGAGTGGCGGAATATTGGCTAGGGTGTTAAAAACGCTGGATTATGGTGGCGAAGAATACTCTCTTGTAAAAGTTTTATCTGGTACATTAGTTGCTAATTCAAATGTACAGATAATTGATTCTAATAACGAAGTTACCGAAAGTGACAATCTTTACAATGATGATGACAATGAAGATGATCCTAGAAATGTGAAAATCACAGAAATTGCACTAATGGAAGGTAGATATATCATCAGTGTTGAAAGTGCCGGACCTGGCCAAATTGTACTAGTTAAAAACATTTCACAGTATTTTGATAAATCTGCTACATTATACTCTAATATTAAAAGAACAGAATTGCCTATTTTTGGTCCTATAAATTACATTAATAAGGCATGCTTTAAAGTCATCATTGAACCGTTAGTACCTAAGGAGCTACCAAAATTGTTGGATGCTTTAGTTAAAGTCTCAAAATATTACCCGGGTCTCGTAACAAAGATTGAAGAATCTGGTGAACATATTATTTTAGGTTTTGGTGAACTTTATTTGGATTGTCTATTATATGATTTAAGGAACACGTACGCACATATTGAAATAAAGATATCCAACCCGGTTACCATATTTTCAGAGGGGGTTCATAAAGAGTCTTTTACTGCAATTCCTGTAGAGTCTTCTAATAAAAACATTTCTCTTAGTGTTAGTGCTAAACCATTAGATTACAAATTGTTAAACGATCTAAGTCAGAATAAGAAAAGTGAAATTGATATAGAAAATGATATTGCAACCGGCAACATTAGAAAAATAAGTAAAATGCTAAGAACTGAATATGATTGGGATTCACTTACATCTAGAAATGTATGGACTTTCCATTATAGTAATATACTTGTTGATGATACATTACCTGATGAAACAGATAAAGAATTGTTGATGAAGTACCAACAACAAATTAAGCAAGGGTTTTATTGGGCCGTCAAAGAGGGTCCATTATGTGAGGAATATATGTATGGTATCCAATTTAATTTACTAAATTTTCAAATAAAAGATGTCGAACAAGTTAAAAACATAGGAAGTCAATTAATTCCAATGGTTAGGAAAGCATGTTATATTGCAATGATGACAGCAGAACCAATTATTCTGGAACCAATATATGAAATTAGTATAATCATCAAGACACAATTAATTCCAATTGCAGAGGAATTATTTTGCAAAAGAAGAGGAGCTAAGATACTTACCTCAAGGAAGATAGGAGGATCGCCTCTAAGCGAATTAGTTGGCAGAATTCCTGTAATAGAGTCTATCGGCATGGAGACTGATCTAAGATTAAGTACCCGTGGAGGTGCTCAATGTCAATTACAATTCTGGAATAATAATTGGAGACGTGTACCAGGGGATGTCTTAGATGAGGACGCTATTATACCAAAATTAAAACCGGCTCCATACGAGAGTCTAAGTCGTGATTTTGTGATGAAAACAAGACGTAGAAAAGGTCTATCTAATGATGGATTTATGTCGAATGATGGTCCTTCATTAAGTAAGTACATTGATCCCGAGTTATTTGAACAATTAAAACTCAATAACTTGGTATGAGTTATATCTGCATATAGTTACTTATTATTTACTAGTACACAGGGATCAATAAATAATTTGTCATAATAGAAAAGGAATCAAATTTAAACATATAAATTGTATCGGTTATTTGTAGAGAATCAACTACACAATAACATTGCCAACATCTATTTGTACTCGAATTCCAATAATTATCGCTATACACGTCTCATTGGAAGGATTTTTTTTTCAAGTTCTTTCCCGCTCTCAATGGAGAAAATTTTAGTGGTCATAATTGAGAAAGCGATGAGATGAGTTGAAAAATTAATTGAAAATTTTCAGTACAATATGAAAAAAAAGATATTAATATATAGAAATATATTCAAGTTGTAATAATAAGAAGAAGTTTTCTATACATACTAGTATATTCCTAGAACGAACCAAATTCCAAAGGTTACATAGCACTATATATTGATCGAAAATGGCCAAAGGTTTCAAGTTAAAAGAGCTATTGTCTCATGAAAAGGAGCAACAAAAGATCCAAAAGGAAGAAGCTATCAAAGTTGCTAAGCAAAAAGAAGCTGAAAAGAATGCTGAAGTCAAGGTCATTTCAAGTAAGGATTTAGAAGAAGCTGAAAAGGAAGAAGCTGCTGAAGCTGCAGCTGTAGCTGCTGAAAAGGCTTCCCAAAAGGATGAAGGTGAAGAGTATAAGAGTGAAGCTCTATCTAAGAAGGATCAAAGAAAGGCTAAAAAACAAGCGAAAAAAGAAGAATCTCGTCTTGAACTTGAAAGATTAGCTGAGAGTGAATCAGAATCTGAAATTGAGAACGATGTTGAAAGTGATAAAGAGGAAGAAGAACAAGAAGAACCAGAAGATGTTCCATTATCCGATGTCGAATTTGATTCAGATGCCGATGTTGTACCATACCAAAAGGTAACCATTAACAATGTCAAAGCATTGAACCAATCTCTTGAAAATGTTCAATTACCTTGGAGTAAACATTCATTCCAAGAACATCAAAGTGTTACCTCTGAAGAAAATACTGATGCAAAAATTAAGGACATATATGATGATACCGAGAGGGAATTAGCATTCTATAAACAATCTTTAAATGCTGTTGTACATGCTCGTTCGGAGTTAAAGAGATTAAAGGTTCCATTCCTAAGACCTCTTGATTACTTTGCTGAGATGGTTAAAAATGACGAACATATGGATAAGATCAAGAGTGAATTAGTTAGAGATGCTAGTGAAAAGAAGGCTCGTGAAGAAGCTAGAAGACAAAGAGATCTAAAGAAATATGGTAAACAAGTACAAATCGCCACTTTACAAAAACGTCAAATGGAAAAGAAAGATTCTCTGGATAAGATCAAGAATCTTAAGAAGAAAAGAAAACAAAATGAGATCACTGGTGATGACTTTGATGTTGCAGTCGAAGAAGAAAGTGAAACTCGTGCTGAAAGATATGGTAGACCAAACTCTAAGAGATCTGCTAAGAATGCTAAATATGGTCAAGGTGGTCTAAAGAGATTCAAGAGAAAGAATGATGCTGAGTCTTCCGCAGATATATCTGGATTTTCCCAAAGAAAGATGAAGGGTAAGCCAGCCAGACCAGGTAAGAGCAGACGTAGTAGAAGACATTGATTAATTAAGAACGAAAGAAAGAAAGAAACAAACAAACATTTATTAACTGTATCATGCATATTTTTTCCTTCGTCTTTTAATTCTTCTTTTTCTCTCTCTTTTCTGACAACTCAATATTGAAATATATATTTAAGTATATAGAAGTTCGTGATTGAATTGCGAAAACAAACTGTAACATAGTGAAGATGATTTCTAACATAACACAATAGCCTAATGCAAAATGATTAATCAATACGAATAATCTTGAGAATTACAAACGCCTAGGAACATATGTATCCCTAAATAAAGAGGGAACAGTTTATCGTCCATTAACAAGTTCATATATATATATATATACCTATCATTATAAACTTTAATTTCCTGTCAATATGTAAATTGAAATTATTCGTTTAATTGACCAATTCTCGTATGTTAAAAAATGATTCTCTTAGTGATTATTGCAGGCGAAGAGATAGAAATTTCACGGGCAATTCGGCAATAAAGAAAGGAAAAAATGAAAAAACAAAGCCAAATTACAATCAATATATTGACTCGAGAATCCGTAGGGATGCATTTAATTTTCTCTCTCTCTGTATATATATATATAAGCTGCAACTTTTTGATATTTTTCTCTTTCTAATTGTACCCTTCCCTCAATACGCAATCAATTTCCCATTTGTTGATCTTCGTATTTAATTGGTACTACATTTTATATCGTTGTATTGCTTATTAAACACCCGCAATCCCTTTTAGCAGTAAGATAACAATATAAACTTAAAGTAATCTAATTTATTTTGCAACAATGTCTGTTACTCCAAGAGAAAAGTTTTTAGAGATCTTCCCATCTTTAGTCGATGAACTGAAATCTATCCTAGTTAACTATGGTATGCCAGCTGAAGCTATTCAATGGTATGAACGTTCTTTGCAACATAATACTCCAGGTGGTAAATTGAATAGAGGTCTTTCTGTTGTTGATACATATACTATCTTAAAGGGTCATTCATCAGTTGATGAATTGAGTACTGAGGAATATAAGAAATTAGCTATCCTTGGTTGGTGTATTGAATTATTACAAGCTTATTTCTTAGTTGCAGATGATATCATGGATCAAAGTATTACTAGAAGAGGTCAACCATGTTGGTATAAAGTTGCCGGTGTTGGTGATATTGCCATTAATGACGCATTTATGTTAGAAGCTGCAATTTATTCATTATTAAAGAGTCATTTTAAACAAGATAGTTATTATGTTGATTTAATTGAATTATTCCATGAAGTTACTTTACAAACTGAATTAGGTCAACTATTAGATTTAATTACAGCACCAGAAGATTCTGTTGATCTAAATAAATTTTCCTTAGATAAACATTCATTTATTGTTATCTTTAAGACAGCTTATTATTCATTTTATTTACCTGTTGCATTAGCAATGTATGTTGCAGGTATTCATGATGAAAAGGATTTAAAACAAGCTCAAGATGTTTTAATTCCATTAGGTGAATATTTTCAAATTCAAGATGATTATTTAGATTGTTTTGGTACACCTGAACAAATTGGTAAAATTGGTACAGATATTCAAGATAACAAATGCTCATGGTTAATTAATAAAGCTTTACAATTAGTTACACCTGAACAAAGAAAAGTTTTGGATGAGAATTATGGTAAGAAAGATGACAAATGTGAAGCTATTGTTAAGAAGATTTATGACGATATTGAATTAGAAGGTTACTATAAAGATTATGAAGAAAAAGTTGCAAAAGAAATTCAAGAAAAGATTGATCTAATTGATGAAAGCCGTGGTTTTAAGAAAGATGTTCTAACTGCTTTTTTCAAGAAGGTCTACAAGAGAAGTAAATAGAAGAAGAAACGGAATATTCATTTCTCTCTTTTATATATATATATATATATATATATCCATATCTATCTATCAAATGAAAAATATACCAACTGTCACTATCTCTATGTCAGGAACTCTTTCCATCCCTGCCATTACGCTATTACACCTTTGCATCATCCACATCACCCTGCACGACACCACACACCCTAATCGGGAAACACTTTCCATAAACGGCAGCAAGCAAGAGAACATAACGGACTTAAAATCAGAAAAAAAGAATGCGAGCGCCACTCTCTCTGTGTCTCTGTCCACGAACAAAACCCGCTAAAACAAACGCCGTTTTCCTCTGTTTTGTGTGTGGAGGGAGGGCTCCCAAAGGGGCTGATAGATAAGTCTCTACTAGCAATAGCTGTTCTTACACATTTTTTATCCAATCCCGTCATAGTAAGAACAGTAGATTGCGAAATGGTGTGTTTATAGGGTAACTTTAGTAATGTTGAGCTTTGAAACAGAGGTGATTTGAATACCTGGAAGGAATTTGAGAGGTAAAGATTATATATCCGATAGTAAATAACGAAAAGGTGTTCCTTCACTTTTGTAATATATAGTGGTTTATCATAACGAAATAGTATTTTGAAGATATATAAACACACTTATATATATATATATATATATATTTGTATATATTTTTAAAGAGGTGAGAAAAAAGTATAATTACAATTATTTACTAAAAACAAATTGTATATTCAAAGACATTTAAGCTAAAAAAGAAAAAAAGTAAAAAGGTTATAGATTTCTTATCATTAAGAATTAAAAATAAAAACTACAAGATAAGTTTTACCATAGTTTTTAATACTATTATAATTAAATTTAAATGGATTCATTTTCAAGAGTTTATAAACAACGAAATAAGAGTAATAGATCAATAAGGTCATCAGATAGTAGACATTCAAGAAGTTCTAGTAGGAAAAGATTATCACCAAATAAAATTAAAAATGATTCATGTAATAATTTTGATTTAGTCGATAAAGAAACAAATTTTAATCCATATTCATTAACAGAAAGATTAATAAATAATTACACATTAACATCATTTAATCAACCACATTCTTCTAATTTAACAGAGACAAGTTTAGTTAATTCATTACACTTAAAAGAAACAAGTCCCAAAACAACACCTTCAGCAAATAATAATGATGATGACAATGAAGAAGAAGAAGTTAATTCATCATCTTCTTATTTATATTCTGATTTAGCAATAACAAAACCAACTACTCAAGAATATACTTCTGGAAAGTATTTACTCGGTGACGATTTTGAAGATAATGAAAATGAACGTATAAGTGTATCACAAGTTCCTTCAACAGAACAATCATCTTCATATAATTTGGTTTTATCTGCACCTCCATTAAGAAGAAATAATCAACAAGATAATAGTAATGATGATTTTTTAGAAATACAAGGTGAATATATACCGGGATTAAATTATATTGATATCTTAGATAAATGGCAAAAACAAGATCAATCTGATAATGATTATCGAAAACAAGTCCAAAATACAAGATTTGGATCAACTACAGGTAGTAATTCAAATTCTTATAAGAATAGTTCTTATAGTTCTTTATTCAAGAAAATGCATAAACAAAATAAAAATTCTTCATTAGCATTAACAAAATTTCCAACTTGGGAAAGTGCTGATGAAGATAATGAGATTAACTCATATACTAATAATGACGCATATGGGTTTGATTCAGCTGCAGCAAAAAGTACAGGAATTACTATTCCTGTGGATTCAAATACTAACATTTATCGCTCTAATCATGCTAAAGTTGAACCCATTCCTTTACCAAGTTTACGAACATTGATGACACCCCCATCAGAATTAGAAATGAAAAGAAGAATATCGTATCCACTAATGTTTAGTAATAATAATAACGATATCACAACTAACAACAACAATAATAATAATAGTCTCATTGAAAGTCCACAACTAACTAATAGACTACCATTTTCATCTTTAAAATTGCGCACTTTGCCTAGTAGCTCTGCATTAACAAACCAACTTTCCTCCCTAAGAAGAAGGGGTTCATTACAATTACCAGGACAACAACTACCACAACATAGAGCTTCCATTGATCAATCTTCCGTTTCTTCTTCGCTCACAAACATACCAAGATCGTTTGATAATGTTCCATCTTTGAAAAGAGAGACCATTATGGAAATAATTGACCTATTACCAGATGACTTCATTTCACAACCATATTCCCAGAGGAAAAAAATGATACTGAAATTATTACCTCCTGAACAAATAGATAATTATAAAGTCATAATGTCTTTAATTAAGAAACGTATGTTGTCATCTTCGAGAAGTAATATATCATTAGTTAATAGTAATGTTCCAAATAATAGTTCTAACGGTGATAATAATGGCATATCCCAAACAAATGATGCACCAATTGACTGTAGTAATAATAATTATGGTACTTCTCACCAAACCCATCATCATGTAAGACACAATTCCATAGCATCACAATATTTGAGTACATTCTCACCAAGTTTCGTATCTTCTTCCAATTTTATGCCAGGTGAAGGTACACCATATGATACACATTTGGGAAATTGTGTAAGTACAACAACTTTGCCGGTGAAACCTGAAGAAAAAGGTGGCCAAATATTCAATCATACAATGGGTAAAATAATAGGATTTGGGGCATGGGGTACTATTCGTGAATGCATCAATAACGCAACGGGACAATCAAGAGCAATTAAGATTGTTAGATTTAAAAATAATGATAAAATGAAAAATCAAGTAGAAAGAGAAGTCTCCAATTGGAAAAAACTGAACCATCCCTATATCCTGCCATTACTCGAATCTAAAATCGATGACGAAGGAACCATGTATTCTTTAACTAAAAAAATTGATGATGGTACATTGTATGATTTAGTGATATCATGGGATGCCATTACTAATACAAAGATACCGTGCAAGAAACGTTGTAGATACACAGTGGATTTGGCTCGGGAAGTTATTGATGCCCTTCAATACATGCATTCATTGAACATAGTTCATGGAGATGTAAAGCTAGAAAATTGTCTTCTAGAAGATAGTAAGAGTGAGAAACATAGATGGAACCTATATGTTTGTGATTTTGGAATGAGCCATGATATATTACATGATAATCCAAATAAAGGCAATTCGTCACCATCAAATATTGGGTCTTTGCCATATGCCTCGCCGGAATTACTAACTGATAACAGTATCAGTTACAAATCTGATGTTTGGGCATTTGGTGTCATGCTGTACACCATGTTATTGGGAAAATTACCTTTCAAGCATGGAAGTGAGTCAAAATTAAGGGAGTTGATTAAATCAGGACATTTTGATATTGAGGCTCTTCATTTCCTGGACAATTACGAGCATTATAAACCGCTAAAGGATATCATATGTGGTTGCTTAGAGGTAGATCTATCAAAAAGATGGGATTTATCGAAGATTGGTAGCATCTTGAAGGACCTGTGAAAAATTGACTGCAAAAATAGTGATTATTATCAAATTTAATGAAGCATTCTAATCCAAGACTTATCTTTTGGAATAAATTCAAATAGAGCGTGTAATAATAAATAGCATACAAAACTTAAAATAAATAAAACTTGCATTTGAAACAAATATGATTGGCAATATTGCCAATATAAATCTGATTAGCCTTGTTTGCGATGGAAAGGCAGTCTTACAGTATTTCTCTGTTCTTTTGCGGCAGCGTCAACCACAGCTATTTTTTTTTCGTATTTTGTAATAACGCCTATCCTTCCTGAAATTATTGGTTCATATGAAAATATAAGAAGTAAACTTTTAAAAATTGAAGTTAAGGTATAAGAAACGAGATACAATATAAAAGTTATATCATAGTTATTACACAGATTACAACAAAGAAAGTTGATACTGTTATTTGTACACCTTGATACCGTTACTATATTAAATAATGATTTACCTAAAGAGTATGCTAAAAGTTATAGATAACTCCGGTGCCCAACTGGCAGAATGTATTAAGATTATAAGAAAGGGATCTCCTAAATCAGCAGGTTCTATCGGTGATAGAATAGTATGTGTTATCCAAAAGTCTAAGCCCTTAAATCAAGCTATTACAGGTACAGTAAACACAAATAGAGTGAAAAAGGGTGATATCGTCCATGCTATTATTGTACGTACAAAACAAACGAATAATTATCGTTCAAATGGGTTCAACGTCCATTTTGATGATAATGCATGTGTCCTAATTAATAAAAACACTGGAGAACCTTTGGGCACCAGAATTATGGTTAATGATGGTGTCGTCGGTAGAGAATTAATGGATAAGGGTTACAACAAAATATGCTCACTAGCTAGTAAAGTTGTGTGATCAATCACTGTATTTTACCAAAATAAACATATTCATCACTATTCAAATATGATTTTCAAAGGTATATAGATATTTATTGAAAGGTACTCGAAATTTCCACTTTACTTATTTTATTTTTACAACAAAAATATGATAAGTGATCATGTATATAATTTAATCAATATTATTAAATATCATTCTAAATTTACAAATGTTAAACCAAAACTATTCACAAACGTCAGGTACGCGGAAGAGTTAAATAAAATAGAATTAATATTATGAAAGAAAGTCAGCTTATATTGTTTCGAATATCATTTCTGGGGCATATATTTCTTACAAAATTTACTTATTTCAATATATATAGAGGATGTATAATTACTTTTTATTTACAGATAACATTGTCGAAAACACTCCTAATGCAGGGAAATATGATATATCAAGTCTCGTAGCGTTCTTAGTTTGGGAATATATTATTGAAGAAACCTTTTTTTGCTCAGGACAATCAATTAGACATGGACTAATTCTTCCTCGGGAATTATCTTATGGTCCACTTTATTCAGGAATTCATCCATAATGCTGTCGTACATTTTGTTCTTCATATCAATTGTTTCCACCGTATTACCACCCTTGTCAAGTACTTCTAGTATGCAAGGGATATTTTCTGCCTTATTTTTATTATAAATTCTGATGATATCGATTTTGAGGTTCGGGTTATAGAATTGTAAAGTTGGTAAGTATTTTCTCCATAACATACGAGGTCCCATATGACCGCTGTGGTTCTCAACCTGGAAGGTTAGTCTGATACCTTGGTACTTACTACCATTGATAAGGACCTGTGGTTTCTTTGTTGTGTATGAAATTGCATTTAAAAAGTTCTTTTGTCTTACAATCTTTGACATGGTGGAATTGAGTAAATGTGATATTTATACCTGGTTGTTGGAAAAAATAGTTTATTTGATAATAAACAACTAGATGATACTTTGAGTCGGCTTAAAACACGTTGTACCCTTCTTCTTAGGATTGTGATGTTTTCTTATCTTATAGTATGGAATATGTTGTACCTTGCGTTGTTCAAAATTGTATTATTTGGTGAATTCTCCTCGCCTAACGTTATTATTTTGAATTCAGAAAATATATTTGCGAAAATAATTTGGAAACAGAGACAACACTAGGATCTAACAAAGAATACAGCTTTTAATTTAGATATACATAATGCTATTATCATTGTTAAGGTTAGTATTTTATATTCTATAAAGGTTATAATTTTTTGTACCGCTGAAACGTATATGAATACATAATATGTATATATATATGGGTACGTATGAGAGTATGTGAGTGTGGTGGTTGGCATGCTTGAGGTATATCAGGTAGAGCCGGAAGATAATGAATAGTAAAACATGTAAAAAAATGACTAGAATAAATGCGTTTGTGAAATAAAAAAGAGAGATATAAGAAAGAATGGTGTGGGAAAATGCTATAGTATTGACCTTAGAATTCTTTAAATAAGAAACCATAAGGATCTTCACATTGAATACCGTAATCAATTTCTTCCTCCGGATATCTTTCATACTGAGATGTGTCCCCTTGTCCCTGATGTATTGGTGGTTCATAAGGTGTTTCTATATATCTTGCTAGAACTTTATCCCAAATGACTTCACTGAACCATGGATGGTTTTTAACGTCTTGACTACCATCTTGTAAATTACCTAATCTCTTGGTTAGATCTCTATTTATTAGTTTAGTTAAAATATCCTTTGCATCTTCATGGAAAAATGATGGAAATTTTAATGGTGCATTCAATATTTTTTCGTAAGTCTTCAAAGTGTTTGAATCATAAAACGGTGTATGCCCAGCTAACATTTCATATATTAAAATACCAAAACTCCACCAGTCAACAGATTTATTATAAGGTTTCGTACTTACTACTTCTGGTGCAATATAATCGGGAGTACCACATAATGTATAAGTAACATCAGGAACGAATTTTGCAAACCCAAAATCTGTTAATTTTACATGACCGTTCTTATCTAGAAGAATATTTTCAGGTTTCAAGTCTCTGTAAATGATATTTAAAGAATGTAAGTATTCTAGTGCTAAACAAATCTCTGCAGCATAAAATTTCGCTACAGGATTTGGGAATCTTTTTGATTTTCTTAATAGAGTGAAGATTTCACCACCTTCTATATAATCCATAACCATAAAAATTTGTCTTGAGTCCTGAAATGTTCCCCACATTCTAATTATAAAGGGATGTGATACGACAGATAGCATCCTACGCTCATCATTAGTATGTTCAACTTGTTTCAATTTAACAATAGTCTGTTTTTTTAAAACTTTTAAAGCATAAAATCGTCCATTATGGTTTGAACGTATTAGGTGGACACGACCAAAGGATCCCGTTCCTAATGTTCTTAATATTTGAAAATCTGTTAAGTTATATTTCCCTGATGTTTTCTTACCAAGTATTAATAATTTAGTGCTTACTGCTGGTGGTTGTTTATCAGTAGTGGGTGTAGTATTTTGTTGAATACTTCTTGATGATTCAGAGTTTTCTTTATTCTTTTGTTCTTGTGAATCTTGATCAATATCCATTTTATCTGTTTGTTCTTGTGAATGAGGTACTTCAATTTTTTGCATATTTGGTAGGTTCAATTTCCTGACCTCGTTATTCCTTTGTGGGTCAATGTACATAGTATTGCCTCAGCAGGTTTAAATACTATTTGGAAATAGAAATATCGAAATCCACGTCAAATAAAAATGAAAAAAATTCTTGGAAAAAAAGATGATTAGTTTTTACTTCTTTAAAAAAATATACTTCGACTAATTTAATATTTTTTTTCTTGTTCAAATGGTTTATTTTGTAAAGTTTCTTTTTAAAAATATATAGTTAATGAAAGGGAAAAAATGTGACAATTTTTCAATATAAAGGAGTATATCGATAACAACAACAAAAATGAAAAATAAAACTCGTAAATATGGAGCAATTATATTGTAGCTATTTGTTATCTACAACTGTTCTGTTTACAATTGGTATTATAACTATATACTCAGTCTTTTCTTGATTTTTTTTCTTTTTGATAAAGCTGTATATTTCACTTTATGAAAAATTATGATGAGCTAATGATTTTGGTGGAAATAAAAAGGAAAATAATATCTAGCGAGACGTAAAGGATTATTCGATGTTGTATTTTTTTCTAAAATGGAATAAGTAATTAGTTGAAAACTATAAGCTAGGCATGTATGTCATTCGCCAATTGATCTTCAGTTTTATTTATTTATTTCAAATTCGATTGATATACGAATAGCGACAAACTTTCTTCAGTTTAGATAAAACTCCAAAGTTATAAGAAAATAGGCGAAAAAGTTGTTTTATTAGATATTTCAAGAGCAAAACGAAACAAATAGAAATACAGAAAGTGTTGGAAAAGGATTCATAAAAATCTTCTTCTTAAATGAAGAAAGAGGAAAAAGATTATTTAACTTGAAAGAATTAAGTAATCACTGAAAAATCCAAAAGAAGAAACGATTTTGAAAAGCAAGAAAGACTACAACGGATAGTGCTGAAAATAAAATATAATAAATCTCTATATATTGTTATATCTGGTGCCAGATTCTCTTCTCTCGAAGCACCTAAAAACTCAGCGACGAATTTAAAAAAATACATCAAATTTTTGTGGAAATTGAAGTAAAGCAGCGGAGAGAGAAATTGCAAAAAAAAGAAAAAAGAGAAATTTGGTAGGAAAAATAACTGATGGGCTTAAATAAAACAATTCACTACGTACGCATACTAAAGCTTAGTTTGTGAGCTTGTGTATGTATTTCCAGTGTCTGGTCAATTCATTGGTGCTTGTTCTTGTTATTCTGCAGAATAAAATGTGTTGCCTTAACTCCAGCGTTGAATAACGATGTATAAGATTGACGTTTCTCTTAGACTCTTTCTTCTCAATATATCCAGAGAGAAAATGTTAAATATATTTACGTTATGTCTCAAAAGATGTGGATCTCTGCAGCTGTTCAACTTTTTACCAAGAAATACGTCAAAAATGATTGCATTTATCTCTAACGTGTAGGCTTGCACTCCTACCATAACTCAATATATAATAGCAACAACTCTATAAAATCTCAGTCATTGTTCAGAAAAAATCTTGTGCCCACATTCCTAAATAGTTTCCATGTCTAATGTAAATTGAAAAGCCTAGTCAACATACTAATCGTATCTGCCCTCACGTTTTCCTGTATTTTTTGTTTTTCAACTGTCATCATACTTTCATCCTTTCTTTGCTAAGTCAAATCTTACTGTCTCTCTGTGTTTTCCCTTTCCCCTCCATCTTGCCTACGCTCACTGAAGGACGTTTAAATACAAGAAAATCTTCACTGTGACGGATCACAGCCAGAACGAAAGGCGGGGGGGAGGATGAATTAGCGGACGCACCATACAAACGGAAGGAGAGCTGCTAAGAGATGGTAATGGTGGCACATTTTTTTCGTTTCCGGCTCCGCTTAGGCCGACATTCCCAACTGGTGGGAGAGGGAAAAATTGCCCAATTTCAATCATATTTAGGTAATTAGGCATTAGAGTCCTAATTCCAGTTTCAATGAATGGATAATTAAACAGCAAAAACTGGAATAGATGGCTACATTTATAATTAATGCCAATTTATATTGTTATAAATACGTATCTATAAAAAAAATACAATTTGCAGTTTTCTGCAATTAAATTAAGGGCTCAACTTGTGAGTCTATCTTGGTAAGGCTAAGAGCCCCTTCATTAATCTGTGTTTCCTCAAATAAAGGTTCTTCAATATATACCACTCTTAGGAAATATGTTAGTACAAAACCTATAATACATGCTATTAATGGTAAGTACATGAAAGTTTCTGGTTTATATGATACTGTAATACCATATATTCCTAACATAATTGCTGGTGAAATTAGCATGCCAATAATATGTAATAATGCAAGAGCTCCAAAGAGTTGACCAGTATTTGTACCATAATATTTTGTTATGGACGATTGTAATGATGGATCCATGCAACCACCGACGCATTTAATAACTACATACAAGAGCAAACTCTTATAATTTGAAGGGTTTATTAAAAATGCTATTGTTGCAATAAATATACAAATGAAACCAAATTGGAAAATCTTGATATCTATACGATCCACAGAATAATTCAATTTAGTATGTTTCTTTTGTAACCATCTTGTACCACACCACGAAAATATACCTAGTATAATAGCATTTGATATCCCAGAAAATGATATAAAATAACCAATTTCAATTGATTTCCAATTATATTCATATGTAGTGAAAAGAATTAATGCAGGCATATGTGCTACTGTTGCAAATATAATTATTGAATCCAATGTAACTAATAATAATACATTATATCTTGGTATTAAAGATCCTTGTCTTGTTGGGGGCAACCATAACTCTTTTAATGGTGAAAAAATATCTAAAATCTTAATTATTCTAAAATGGATGTATTGTTTTATTTTATGAATAAATGTATTAGACACACTTAATCTAATAGAATGTAAACTTACCATAGATTCCTGTCTCTTTTTATGCGAAGCTTCAGACATTTCCATTGCTTCTGGATGTCTTGATTCTCTAACAAAAAAAGTGCAAATTAATATAAATAAAGATATTGATAGAAAGGAGCAATATATTGATACCATATCGTTACCATTATTAACTTTGATAATGAATGAACTTAACAATGGTGCTAATCCTGCCATTGCATGCATTATACTACCAACTGTACCCATGCTCACAGTTCTATCACTAGGTTCAATAACATCGGTAATATAACTATTAATGTTAGCAATTAAAGCAAAAGTTCCCCCAGTAAAAGAGGTGATTGAACCTGCAAAGATAATGAAATAGATGTGTGTATCAACATATGATGATACAGAGAAAGCACTCATTGCATTACCAATAAGTGTTACGGACCCCATATATACGAATATTTTGGATCTACCTATTCTATCTGACAATGGTCCAATCTTTCCAGCAACAACAAGACTAATCAAATTACTTAAAACCATTTTAACACAGGTAATAAATGAGGTTATAGTTTGTACATGGCTCATATCACATAAAGTGGATTCATTGATACCTGTATCTTGTGGTAAACTTTCACAAATTTTATTCAATGAAAGTGTAATCATTGGTGTAATAAATAGCATCTCAGAAAGACTGTATAAGGAAATAATTGTACATATCACAAAGAGGCTCGGTCTCTGCCAGATATTTAAATGTGCATGTTGTTGCCTAATTTCATCTCTAAATCGTTTTGATAAAGGATGTTCTGTAGTGGCTGCTATATTTGGGTCGGAATTTTCAGAAGATTCAATATCATGATATTCTGATTCTAAAATATGATCAATCTCAGAATTTGTCATTTCAATTTCGCTGATTTCATGCATTTCTCTTGTAATTAAAAAAAATATGTATCAAATAAATTCTGTAAGTTAACAAAAACTATGTGAAACTAGCAAAAAAATGGAAAAAGTATTAATGAAATAGCAAGCAAATTTGGTTTGTTAAATATTGAATAGGAATCCGCCCCTTATCATCAATCAAATAAAATTTATTAGATAAGACTATGTTAAAAATGACTTTTTAAAAAATAAAAAAAGGAATGCACTTAAAAATTATATCAATACATTCTTCTCTTTTATTCCCTATTATTAAAAAAGGATATATATAATATTTAAATTTATTAATTATTAAGGTAGTCAAAAAAGCTGTCAATCTTTTCACTAGTGGGTATTATATAATAGTTACCACTATTGTTTTTAAAGATGTCTGCTGGGAGTCAGTACTCTAATGTAGATTTTTTTGCCGGCCCTTGAAAATCTTTAGTATTCAGCCACTATATAACTTGACTATATTTTTGTCCCTCTGCGCATTATTCTTAGCCACTTTAGTTTGATTTTTTTGCTCCGCCGAGCTATTGCATGTTTGGGTGCGATAGTACTGCTGATCATCCATTTACAATAAACGAAGAGAACTATTAATCGACGAAATATATTGCATTGTAACTATTAATAATACGTTTTAGATGGATACTATGTCCTGCAATCCTCCTATAGATAAAATATAGAACTGTTCCATAAACTTGAGTAAAAGTCTATTTACTGAAATATTTACGTATGTGTTTTTTACTTACCTTATGTGTTTATATCATTAAATGGCATTATTGTTTTTTATGTAATACTAACTAATAGAGAGATGTGTCATTGATTATTGTTTCTTTTTGGTTTTATCTACGTCCTGTTCTACGATAACGTTCTTTAATAAAATGTGTCCTATCATCTCTATTGTTAACATAAACAATGAAGATAAGATAGCTAAACAATAGTTTGAGATGGTAACACCAATATCAAGCCATGACCCTTCTGTCTTTAACAGATAAAAGAAATTTAATGATAGTATATCACTCGTTGAAATAATTAATGTAGAAATTGTGTAATCCTTAATGTTTAATTTCAAATTCAAAACACCTAAACCTGTTGATAAGATAATATATGGAATAATTAATTTCAACATTAATAATGCACCCATTGGGAATGGATCAAAAATTGGTATTAATCTATAAACAGAGTCTAAGGAGAATGATGAAATTGATGCAACGTTACCAGTACCGAAAAATGCAACTTGTAACAGGAAAAATCCAATTAATGAAATTCTAATTAATTGAGCATAACTTTCTTCTTGATCCTTTAGTTTCAGTCTCTTGATTTGTGTTTCAATCTCAATCCATTGCACGACATATCCAGTGAATAAAAAGTAGAAAATTGACTCAAAAGAGATGGATAAAATGATGAATGTTGGTGCAAATGTTAAAAAGATGATTAATAATCTAACTCTGTAATGATTACTTGGCTTTAAATAATGTAAGAATGGCATAACAAATAATGATAATATCATAATTACCCATCCGGCAATTTGTGCATCTCTAGGTAAGCCGGTTCTATTTTGTAAAGAAATAACAGATTTGTTTGTGGTTAATAGCATTAATGGTACAAGACTCACTTGTGCTAATAAGTTTGATAAAGAATAGTAACTAACTTGTTTCGATTTAACAATCTTAAAAATTGAATGTAAGGATCCTAAAACAATAAATGTACCTGCTAAATTGATTTGTGTCAAACTTTCAATTTTAACTGCATCATACAATGTGAAAGTGGATATATAGAAACTAGTCAACATCCAGGAAACGTTTGTTAATATGCTCTTATTACCACAAATTAATGGATAAAATGCTAAGATCACGAATATTAATGTAAAGATCCAACGATGAAAGAAACCGTATACTATACTTTCATATATTCCAACAGTGCAGATAGCAATAATCACTCTTTCTGTGACAGAAATGGATTTAAAGAATTTCTTAATACCATGAACAAGAACAGCTTTATCTGTAAAAATTTGGCTCCACATTAATATGGGGAATAAAAGATACATGTAAAAATTGAATGGAGAACGTTGGTAATAAAGAACGTAATTCAATATAATACTTATGCTACCAAACAAAGATATATTCAACAATGAAGGAGAATTATTTTCATTTTCCTTATCTAATATGAAGACCTTTAAAAAGATGCTGAATGAGTACACGATCCATCCAATAAACCCAAAGGTAACAATAGTTCTAATCAATCTCCAGTTATATGTGGTTAGATATTGTAGACCTTCCAAAGTGGTGCTCATTAGTGTTTCTGTCAACTTGATTACTTGTGGTTCTAATGAAGCATCACCATTTGATATTTGGTCAATTAAAGAGTGAATCTCGTTCAAATAAGATTCATGGGATTTTTCTTCGAATTTATAGTATTCAGTATAAGTGAATTGTGATGCAATTACTTCTTGTTCTTTCACTAAATATTGTTCTAAGATACTTCTTGCATTATTGTACAGAGCTTGAAATTTCTCACCATCTTTAGTATTGATAAATGCCAGAGGTAATTCACCGACGGAGTTAGCAGGATAATTAGTACCTATTAAGTAAGACATTAATGGAGTAATATCAGCTTGTTTAACATCATTTCTTTGAATATCACCTAAATTCCACGATTCTGTATAATTATCAAAGATTGGAGATTTATTCTTTACAGGTGTATTAATACCAGCACCCCAAGCAATAAGAGGTGTACGTGTATTGTTTGGATGACCATCACCATGTGAACCGAAAGAACTCATACCATGATCAGCGGTAAAAATGAAGGCCGTATCATCATCTCCGAAAAACTTTTCAACTTTATCAACTAAAATGGAAACTTGTTCATCGATATATTTAACATTATCATAATATTCAGCGGAATATGGTCTGTATGAATGACCTGCTGTGTCACAGCCCAACAGATGTAAGAAAAATACATTCCCATCTTGTCTAATTTGGAAATCAAGCTCTGAATCACTTGTAGAATTATCAAATAATTGGTAAAGATGTCTAAACACATAAGCATCTAATTCAATTGAAGATTGCGTGAAATCTTCGTATTCGTGACCATACATCCATGCATCCACTTTGTTGGAATCAGTAGCACCTTCTTTGAACATAGGTAAAATATCTGGTGAACCAAAGGAATAGGTATGTGTAGATTGGTTAAAAAAACTATCAAAATCAACTGGATTTTCTTTCCAACCTTTAGTCACTGCACTGACATCTTCATAGAAACCAGCAATCATGGCAACATGACCTGGTCTTGATTCAGTAGGCATTCTTGTATGAGATACACCATAAGTTCCCTTTTCTTGGACAATTGAACGAATAAATGGTGCAAGATAACCACTTTCACCAGTTACTGGATGTGTAATGTTTGCAAATGTAGTATCGGCACGTAAACCATCACCTACGATAAGAAATAATCTTTTTGCTGGTGGAGTTTCAGTACTCTTAAAAAGGGACATACCATGTACCAATGGTGAAACAAAATATATATCAAAGATGGACCATAAATAAAAAAGGTGGAAAAGAATACCTACTGAAAGTAGAGTTATTCTAGGTCTATTCCAGACTACCATTAGATTAAGAATAATAATATACTTGGAATTGGTATTAGCACCTGATTGGTTAATTATCTAAAAGAAATCTGTAAGACAAATTTGGTTAAGGAAATCTATCGTAAATGAACAAAATATAAGATTAAATTTGAATTGCTTATATAACAATGGTAAAAAACTAGAAATAGCAATTATAATATGCTTCTTTAATGTACACAAGTTTCTATTAGGATATTTTCCAATGTGATTCCTTCTATTACATTTTTCAAGAATTCTATTTTTTGCTTTTTCGCATCAGAACGCCTTTCGTGTCATTTAATGCTTTCATAATTTAGATGGGTTTTCTGCTATGTATTATTATAATATTCTTCGAAGATCGCGTAACTGGGAGAAGAAGAACAGATAAGGAAAATAATCTCAAAGAATATGCGTAGAAGTCGAGAAGAGCCAAACAGAAAAAAAGGTTATGACGAAATATTTTCTCTGTCATTTTAAGAGAGAGAGGTAAAGGGCTGAAAGTTAAGCATAGGCTACTCCTTCGCCATGTTTAATAACATTAATAAACGTTTAGAGAAATGCTTAGATAAAGGATTCACTATTAAAGATTAATTAATTATAATTTTAAAGTAATTGATAATATACAACTTATGAAGAAAGAAATTATATACTGAGAAAAAATGTTTTGCTGATAGTAATAGTTAAACCATTATTCACTTTTAAATGAGAAATGAGAACTTTTTAAAAAATCAGTGACGAGCTAAAAATGTGAAATATCACAGAACGAAATACTTGTGTAAAAAGGATTGGATAAAATGCAAGGAATGGATGAGTGAGTTTTTTAAGAAAAGAAAAAAACTTTCAAAAAAAAGTGCTAAAAAATGTATGTTTATGTCATAAAAAAAGGGAAAGAACTTTATAATTATTGGAATTCTATATCATAAAAGTTTTGTTTTTCCAAATAAATGTTCTTTGAAATACCTTAATTTTTTTTATCTTAACAGGAAACCAAGTCAATGGCTTGTAAGTAAACTGGGTGACATTGAGTAGCGATGGATTCATCGTACAAGTTGTAGAAGTCACCAGATAGACATTGGTAGAAAACATCTTGGTCACCTAGAGCTAGGTTACCTTCTGGGGTAATAGACCAACCGGCAGCGTAGATGGCACCAGCTTGTGGTGGTGGACCATCGAATTGGAATTGTCTGTTAGCAACGATAGAACCAACTCTACCCTTACCATCAGTTAAGATACCATCCTTGATAGACATTTCTAGAGTACCGTCAACCTTACAGGAAACGTTAGTAACTGGGTTAGAAGAATCTTTGTTTTGAACTTGACCGTCAGTGTCTTGAGAAGCACCATCAGTGGCAGTGGCAGCTTGAGCTTGACCATCAGTTATTTGAGAGACAGCAGCCTTGGTAGCGGTAGTAGCTTGGATTTGACCATCACCGATTTGAGAGACAGCGGCCTTGGTAGCTGTAGCGGCTTGGATTTGACCATCACCGATTTGAGAGACAGCAGCAGCAGTCTTAGTAGCGGCTTGGATTTGACCGTCACCGATTTGAGAGACAGCAGCCTTAGTGGCAGCTTGAATTTGACCATCACCGATTTGAGAGACAGCAGCCTTGGTGGCAGTAGCAGCTTGGATTTGACCGTCACCGATTTGAGAAACAGCAGCCTTAGTAGTAGTAGCAGCTTGGATTTGACCGTCACCAATTTGAGAGACAGCGGCCTTGGTGGTAGTAGCAGCTTGGATTTGACCATCACCGATTTGAGAGACAGCGGCCTTTGTAGTCTTAGTAGTGGTAGCAGCTTGGATTTGACCATCGTTGATTTGAGAAACGGCAGCCTTAGTTGTCTTGGCAGCGTTGGTAGTCTTAGTGGTGGTAGCAGCTTGAATTTGACCATCACCGATTTGAGAAATAGCATCTCTCTTAGCCTTGGAAGAAGCAGAAGCAGAAGCAACTGGTTCAACAGCAATACCGAAAGTAGAGGCATAGTTAGTTAGACCACCTTTGTAAGTAGCAGATGGAGTTAGAGTGGACCATGGTTCAGATGGAACGTAAGCAGCTAGAGCAGAGGTTGCTAGAGCGGCGGTAGCTAGGGTCTTTTTGTATTGCATATTAAATATATGAGAGTTTTTTGTTTTGATTGTTTATTAAATATAAAACTGTCTGATTGGTTTTTATTTGATGGTTTATTGTATATAAACTATAAAATAATAGATAAAGAAAAACAATTGAAGATAAGATTACAAATGGAATATAATAGGTTCCTTATATATAATTTTTTTTAATTTATTTTACTATTTTTCTAAATTTAAATTTAAACTTGATCCTTGGTTACCAAATTTGACTACATTATAATAATAGAAAAACCAATCACCTAAAAAAAAACACTGTTCTACTTCCCTGTTTAGTAAAAATGAATCAGATTTAATTAATCAAATTGAAAAGGCTGGTAATTTAAATTTGGGAAGAAAATATTGTAAGTGGGTCATAAGATTTACTACTACTTCACTTGAACAATGTTCGTTATAACTATTAACTATATTGTTTGGCCCGCATAATGGGGGGGGAGAGACCTTTTTAGTAAAATGCTGAACTGTCTCAGTCGTCACATCTATGTTATTTGCTTATTTCCCCCTAGAATAGGAAGCAAATTGAAAAGAAAAATAAATCGTAATTTTTTACCGAGAATAGAAAACATATTGATTCAATAATCGAGCAAGATACATAGTTAAGGACTGTATATAGAAGGGGAACATTTTTTTATTGCCTTGAAAATTTAAAAATAGCATTGCCATCCAATTTAATTACGAGTGTCATCATTTCTTGATCCAGCAATTTTATTGTTTTTTGGGCAGTGATGCACACAGCTTGGTTACGTTATATTCGGTATAAGGTCAGAATATTAAAATCTTCTCCATATCAGGAAAGTGTACGATCACTTACACTGCTGTATTAGGAAAAGGATGGCACAGTAATTTTGTTAATAATTTTAAAGGGAAGAGAAACATCGTTTTTGTCCCTCGTATTATTAATAGAATGTGTCTTTTTCTTCTTATTTTTTGCATCTTGGGCTCCCTATTTTTGCAACTTCCAGTAAAACAGCGTGGCAGTGGGAGAGGTAATTATGTGTATTTTTTTTAGTTGCTGTGCTTTGTCGGTTTCCCGTGCGGTGTATTCTGAGCGCGTAGGTTTTTTTTGTTAATATAAAAAAATTAATTGAGAAGGCGGGCAATAATTAATATAATACGTGGAGGGAAGCAAGCGTAAGACATCTATTTTTAGTGTTTGATCCAGCAATATTGTTTTGGTTGTTTTGCTGTTTTAGGTAAAGATATTAAGAAAGGAGGGAAATTCGGTTCTGTGTGGGATAAACAAAGGGAAGAGGGAGATGATAATTTATTATGCATGAATGTATTTGTTAACCAATTTAAGAATTTAAATGCTTTGCGGAATAAACTAATTAAATAAATTACGTATGTTAGTCGCTATTAATAGTTTGATTAGGGTTTTTTTTTGGATATTCTCTTGAGGGTTGATACAGTACCAGAGTACCTTTTTTTATCTGTATTAAGTGTATTACTGGGTATTGTCGATGACATAAGGTATATAGATATAGAATATACGAGTGTTAGTTATGTGGGGTCCTTTAATAACCGATATTTTCTTAACACCCAGCGTTTCGCTTTCATGATTATGGATTACAATATGTATGTAATAATAGCAATGTTTTAGGGCTTTGTATGGTTGTTGTTATAACGTTTTTATTCGTTAGTGTGATTCAGTCCCTTCACATTGTAGTAATTGTCCGTTAATATTTGAAGGTACAGTAAATTAGATGGAATTTATTACGTAAATTGTATTTAGTCTATATAAAGAATATCGCATGTAGATCTCCATTTGATTAAATGTTCACAAGGTATTCGACATTTTTTCATTTTAAAAAAAAAAGAGAATGATGTAAATAGATCTCCTGCCTTATAATATATTATGATGGAAGTTTTAGCCATTTCCATAGAAATATCACATTGTAAGTCGATCTTATATGCCTTGTAATAAAATTACTTAAATTATAATATTTTTATTTTATATGATAGGAAATATTACTACAGTAGACATGTCTATGTTTGTTTATATCTCAAAAAGTTATATCCGCTGCTGGACCATTTTTTGATAAGAGTAATTTGATTTTATTTAGCATGTATATATATACATATATATACGTTGGATGGTTAGCTTATTTTAATTTACTAGTAACTGTAAGACTTTAAATCCTTCAAAGAAACTACATGTTATAACTATTCTTAAACATGGCTAAAACAAGCCACGCACTAACATCTCCTTTCAATCGTATTTCTTCATTTTCCTCATGTGTCTCTCCATAATATTTTAGTTTATGTTTGTTTGTTTTTTTGTTGACTTTAGAATTTTTTTAAAATGTTTCTAGAAACGTCACTAAATACACACATATATATATATATTACACAAGAAAGAATAAAAGTCCAGGGAATATTAAATATACTTAAGTTCAATTGAACCAATTTCAATTCCTTACCATCCTCAAGATAAAAAAAATAATCAATAATTTTATCCACTGATGCAATTCAAATACTGTTTTACTTCTCTGACCTTCGTGACGACTGTTCTGGCCGCTTATGTTCCTCCAGAACCATGGTCTACCTTAATTCCAACTGCAACATATACAGGTGGTTTATCATATTATACTACTTCCTTTGGTATTGCCATTGCGTCAGTTAATCCAATTCATGTCCCTTATTCACATCATAAAAGAGATATTGTTTCACAAATAGGTGACGGACAAGCTCAGGTTCGTCATGTGACTAAAGTGGCCGCAATCTCTCAAATTAATGATGGACAAGCTCAAGCACCAAGACATACTATTGCAATAGTTTCACAAATTAATGATGGTCAAGCACAAGTTGCCAAACCAATAAGTGTTGTTTCCCAAATTGGTGATGGGCAGATACAAGTTCCCACTCATGTTCCAACCACTATCGCTACACGGACAGCTGTCTCTCAGATTGGTGATGGTCAAGCACAAATTGCAACAAAGGCTGTCTATGATGGAGTGGGGATTGCCACAGGTAAACTTTTTAGTTCATCTAATCCAGTACGTAACGTTGCTTGTAAATCTAAAGGTACGTTGGCTATGACAATTAAACATGGGTTTTTAACTGACTCTAAGGGTAGAATTGGTTCTATCGTTTCTAATAGACAATTTCAATTTGATGGGCCACCACCACAAGCAGGTGCCATCTATGCTGGAGGTTGGTCTATTACTCCAGAAGGTCATTTAGCTCTAGGCAATCAAGATATTTTCTACCAATGTCTCTCTGGTGATTTTTACAACTTGTATGATAAATCCATTGCCTCCCAGTGTGGTCCAGTTTATCTACAAGCTGTCGATCTTATCGATTGTTAATGACACGAAAGAATATTTCTTTTATTCTTCTCGATTTAGTTGAATAGAAATGTCATTTCAAACACCGTTCGTACATAATAAATATGGTTTCCTTATCTAATTAAGTTATGATTATATATTTAATCGTTCATTTGATGCAATTTTGAATAAAATTCTGAGTTAGTATACTATATTATATTATATTGCTATATAAAAATATGTAAAATGAGGTAGTACTTATGTTTCTTTTTTTATATAATTAGAATAGTACTACTTATATAACAAAAAGAATTTTTGAAATTAAATGAAAATTTGTTTATTGTATAAAAAGAATGAAATGAATATTTATGGATATGAATTTTTAAAAATAAGAAAAGCAAAAATTAAGGATGAAATATCATAATTTAAAAATTGTTCATTCTTTAACAGTCAATTAATTCAACAACTTCTAAATGGATTGGAGAACATTGTTCAGCAATGTTTTCATCGTACAAGTTGTAGAAGTCACCAGATAGACATTGGTAGAAAACATCTTGGTCACCTAGAGCTAAGTTACCACCTTCAGTGATAGACCAACCAGCAGCGTAGATGGCACCAGCTTGTGGTGGTGGACCATCGAATTGGAATTGTCTGTTAGAGACAATAGAACCTAGTCTACCCTTGGAATCAGTTAAAACACCGTCCTTTAGAGTTAAAGCTAGAGTACCGGAGTTCTTACAAGAAGTGTCTTGTAGAGAAACGGTAGCGGAAGCATTACAAGTGGAAGAAGTGCTGGTGGAGTTAGCAGAAGAAGAGATGACAGACTTGGAAGTAATGGAAGAGGACTTCTTGGTGGTTGGAGCCAAAGTGGTAGTAGCCTTGGTAGAAGCAGCCTTGTTGGAAGTAGTAGCTTGAATTTGACCATCACCGATTTGAGAGATAGCGTCTCTCTTAGCCTTGGAAGCAGAGGCAGAGGTAGAGGCAGAGGCAGAACTAGAAGCAGATGTGATTGGTTGAACAGCAATACCGAAAGAAGAAGTGTATTGAGAGAAACCACACTTCAAAGTGGCAGATGGGGTCAAAGTAGACCATGGTTCACCTGGAGTGTAACCCTTGACGGAGGAAGAGGAGGCAGCTGAGGCAGTGGCGGCGACGGCAATGGTAGCTAGGGCAGCGTTCTTGAATTGCATATTTATATTGTTATTGGTGTAAAAATGTATGTGAGTAGCGAGTGTAATTAAATAATAAATAGTCTTAAAAGAAAAAATATGGAATTTTTCAGTTTGAGGTTCAAAATTATTTGGTTGTTGTTTTTAATGAAGAACTGATATATTAGTTGTTAGTTTTTATTTGAGTGTAGAAACAGAAAATTGAATAAAATGGAAAAGTACTTAAAAAAAACACTCAAGGAGTTATATATGTTATTTGTTTACTTATATATATGTATATGCATAATTACTGGAGTTGTAAATATATAAAAAAAAAAAGTTCTTTGTTTATTTATTTTTATGTGAATAAAATAAATAATTAGGAATTCGTAGATCTAACAACAAGAATAGAAGGTAATCAGTCAACAAACACCTTAGAGTAGTTATTGTAGAAGAGTTAAAAAAAAAAGAAAAGAAACAAAGGTGCTGAGTGTATTCTGTTTATTTTGATGAGTGTTGTTAAGTTTATGCATGGGATCAGTTTGTAAAAGAAAAGGCGGGACTTTAGAATTGATCGTTTAATAAAGATAGTAATACAAATAAGATATACCTTCTTGTTGTTATTGTTGATTCTCCAGTTAATTGTTTAAGCGTGAAGTAAACCACCAACTGCGAAAGGTACACTAGTAGTAGAACAAGAGTAAAATTTACCAAGCTATCCGACTAAGCCAACTTCATGGGACTGGTACCAGGTTATTTTAGCTCCTCTTTCTTAATACGCCCTGAACAATAACTGTAATGTATATTTATTTTGAATATGCAGTGCTTTGGTACGTAGTAATTTTTGCAAACTGAAAGAATCGAGCCCAACGTATTACTATACCATCAAAAATTTATTTATTGTTTTACTATGAAGTCCATGAGCAAAACTCCACATTGGGACTGTTCCCGTTTGTTGATTTGGTGATCCCCCTTCGATAAACTAAACAAAGACATCTCAATAACAAAAGTAAGTAAATAAAGGGAATTATATTACGTAGAGGTATAAATAATGATCTCTTAGATATTTTTTCTCTCTGGAGAGTAGAGCAGTAGAAAAAATAGAGTTACAATGATTAAAACGCGAAATGTTCAAAATTGTATTTTTTTTTTAACTGTGCAACCAATATTCTTTCTCTCGGGCGTTCTTTCCACTTCCTCGATGACGATGAATTTTTTCACACGCCCTTCCCCTATCCCTAAGAGAATATAGCAGAGATATGCACTTGGATTGAACGATATTTTTCGCGTTGTGCAGCACTTTCTTATAAATGGATGTGCGTTAGCGGAGAGGGTCTAGCCACCGGGAGAAGGAGAGAAGAGGCTTGCGCATAACTGAAAAGCAAAAGAAAAAACACGCGTGACAAAAACTAATAAGCAAAAACACCTTTGGTACGGATATTATTTAGCAAAAAAAAAAGGTATTTGACAAAAGGTGTCGTTCCACATCATCAGTTACGAGGTTGATGGCGGCAAAAAGAAAAAAATAGCAGAATCACTCGGATATTTCCTCTTTCTGTTAAACTACGTTCTTTTTTTCTGAGTAACTTTTCGGCACGTGGCTAGAAATTATTCTTCTCCAATTTTTACCCCTCTTATTCACCACAAATACAAAAGATGCGGCTGGTTCCGTTTGTTGTTTATGTTTGTTTTTCTATGCTTCATGTTCTTTAATGTGGTTTTCATTAATTCAGTTGTTTCTTAATGCCTAACTCCATAAATATTACGTATTAAAGTTTCCTTCCTTTGTTTTTGTTTGTCCAAAATATTTTAAATTTTTGGTTCAGCTCTTTTCTTTTCTAAAACTGCGATTAATGTCCCTATTAGGTCGATCATCGGTCACAGGACAAAGGAACTTTCTACGTACAATATTTTAATTTGATGTTAGCCACTCTACCCTATTCAACTTATGAATAACTTATACTTTTGAAATACAGATGAGGAGTGTGAACTTTCCAAGAATGGCTGTGCAAGAGAGATAAGGTCAAGCAAATTTTGCTTGATTGTTGTTGTTTTTGACGAAGAGGTAGATTCAGTTATTCAGATGCTGGGCAAAATGTCACAATCCAATTGTAATCGGAATATACTGAATACATTTTAATTGGAATGAGTTTGTGCAACTTAACCAACCATTTTATTTAAATGATATTTTACTATTTCATTTCTAACATTCTATTCTCAACTTGAAATCAGTCTTCTAAATTAATCATTTATTTAAATACTATTACTATACAACGTTGTAAATTTAATTGACATTAGATCGAATATTAATTGAAAGGGACAGAAAGGCACCGATGTTTGGAAACTTTGGCACTTTCTAGATTTTTTGAAAAACCATTTAAGAACTCAATGTAGGTTACTATCTATATATCGCTTGGTTGAACATTTTTATGTAAAAAGAATTGACGTAGAAGAGTGATATGTGGTGCATTTGATTCTTTTCACGTTAGTGTAAAATTTATTAAGTTTTTGTTTACTTCAATATTTTATTCATAGCATTTTATAGTCAAGGTGTAACTTGATGAAAAAAAATAAATTTTAAAAAATTTATACAAAACTAAAAAAAACTTACGATAAAATAACAAAAAACACACATAGTCAAATCTCATATTTCTAAACACTTATGGAAACAATATATTTATTACAGATTATTTCTAAACTATATCACCACTGTCTTAAACCTATTATCGATATCCCTTTGATTTAATATATATTCACATGTTCTATCAAAATGTTTAATAGGAATTTGTATCATATCATTAATCTTCATATCTTTAACTTTAAAATCAATGTTAGCTGACGAACTGTTATTGACGTTACCCAATTTAATATATGTTCCATCCAAACCCATGACATAATTATACTTATTATAAGGTGAAGTATTTGTTTCATTATCAGAATCTATCTTAGTAGTATCAATTTCTGATAATCTTTGTTCTTCTTCAAGACGTAATGATTTTAAATTATTCTTGATTAATTCAATTAATCCATTGATATAACTGACACCCACATGTGTAGTTTGTTCATCACCATGAACAAAATAATACAAACAAACATTTAATATCTCGACCATCAATTCGCAACTTTCAACATTATCCATACGAGAATCAGCAGCTCTTAATGACCGTTGCAAACATTCAAGGACACGTTTCCCCTCACGGAAGAAATCCGTTGTCTCACCTTCTTCCTCCCCAACTGAAGAAATTTCTGTTGCCCACCATAAATGTGAACAAATATAAACTGCACGACATTGGTCTTGTTTCTTCAATAATTTTGAACCGTGTAATGTGGTTCTTACAATTAATGAATTATAGTAGTTTTCCTTATATAAGGATCTGGTCTTTTGTAATGTTTGTGCCATATATATCAACGCTTGGAATTGGGTCTTTGAATCACTTAATGATTCTTCAAAAACACTAAACGCTTCTGAGAAGAAATCATATGATATGTCAACTAATGATAATTGATCCGCGAGGGCAGCATTTTGAAGGTTTAATTTATAAATAGTATCCACACTATTCTTTCCACAATTATTGAACATATCATTAATGCAACGAGAAATATATTTAAAATTTTGTTTAATTAAATTGTCATAGTAAATTTGTTTTTTTGGTATTCTTTTCTTGTAAATATTACATTTTCTAATCATTCTCCAAAAATTGGTTATAATAGCAGGATATGTAAATTTAATATTTTTACCACCTTTATGAAATACATTCTTAATCATTAATAATAATTCAATTTCTGATTCAATTGTCTTGAACGTCGATTTATCTAAACTTAGCATTAAGAAATGACATATTTTGGTTAATTTTTCTTGGTATATAGATAAAGTAAATTCACGGCTTATTGTATCGTTTCCTTCATCATTTTCTTTTTTAGTATCCTTATGAGTAATCATTGGTTCTAATACAGCTAAAAACCGTTCTAATTGAGTCTTTGATGTAATTAATAACTGTGATTTATCACCATCTTTATTTCGTGTTTGTTGTTTAGTACCCATTAATCTTCCCAAGAAAGAATCTATAATTTTTGTTAAAACTTCCATTTGAGATGAAGAACTTTGAAGAGTTAATAAAGTTCTAAATGATTCACATTGTGTAATTAAATTGAAATAATAAATTGGGAAATCTTTTACTACTTCAAGTTTCTGAGCCGTTAATAAATCCACCATAAATGATTCAGATTCACTTGTCTTTTCTTCACCAAAATCTTTGCATTTTTGTGCTACTAAACTAAATAATCGATTTAGATTTTCAATATTATCAGGGTACCAAGTCAATGATAAATTCATAATACCAAGAATTATACCACTTAATTCTTGAATGGATAAATCTGGTCTCTCCTCATTTAATTTTAATAAATGTTTCCAAAATCTTTGAAAAATATTATTTGATTCATCTCTATTTTCATTTTCTTGTTGTACTCTTTCAATATAACCATTTAATCTAGTTATTAAAGTTAAAATGATCTTTGTTACAGATACTTCTGTACTCAATTGTAACGATGTATCAAGTAAAGAATCCAAAGTTTTCAAATGAAATTCATCTGGAAACACTTGACAAATAACATCATAAAGATATTCTTGACAAACGACATCTCTACATTGAACAATTTGTTCTAATAATATTGGTAAAATTTCAATTTTATATAATTTTAAATTATCATCAACCACTTGTGATAATCTAACTAATTGCGATCCAACTAGGATTTGTAATTCTTTACGTTCTTTTGTTCTTTGATCTCTTTCACGTAATGGGCCTTGATGTTGAAGTCTAACCCATAATTTATTCATTTCAATAAAATTTGTAATAATAAATTGTGAATTAAATTCAATTGAATCTTTATCATCTTCCGGTAATAATAATTGTTTTGTACGTTGAGATAAATAATATCTTAAAAATAAACCTCTAATTGGATTTTGAACACCACGACACATTTCAATCATATCTTTTAAAATTTCTTCTCTTGGAGATTCCGGTATCTTAAGATAGCTTGTTCCAACTGTAATCATTAAATATAATCTAGGGACCACATTTCCTGCATATTGAACTAATTCGTACAGATCAGCTAAATGATGACCATTCGAATGATTTTCTACAAGATAAGCAGATAAAATTGTTAATGAATCAAATATTTGTATATATAATTCATAATATTGTTTTGGTAATAATCTTGGATTACGTAATTCTGTCAACATAGTGGAGGTAAATTTCAGGGCATCCATTAATTTACGATTATTTAAACTACGTTGCATTAATACCGTTTGTTGCTTAATATTGGAGATAGCTTGCTCCACAGATTCAGAATATGACATTTTACTAGATTAAATTCTTCTTCTTTTAATGATAAAAAATAAATAAACAGTTACTGTCTCCGTGGCAATTACTACCTTTCTTCTCTCTCTCTCTCTTGTTCTTATCCAAATAAAACTTTGTAATAATATATGTATGTTTCTATCTTCTAATTGTAAAATACATTACAGATATTTAACGAATAATTACTATTACAAGCCCCAATCGAGAATTTATCCTTTATTATTAAGAAATCCCTTTTTCCCGCTTTACTAGTAGATGATGTACTAAGCAGTCAAAGAGACGAAGCACATCAAAAAAAAAAAGAAAATCAAAATCAAAAAAACCACACCTTCAGGGTAATAAATAGAATAAAGAGAACAAGAGAATGTTGTTAAGGATTCATTCAGGGTCAACCTAATGAACCCTTCACATAATTTAACGAATATATGTATAAACACAAATAAAATTTAATATTCAAAATCCCGTAAGTGGTTTAAGAAATATTATTATTCAAAAATAAGACGTTGTATATATATTACTAAGATACGGACAGTACATTTCTACAAGTTTGTTGTTAAGTATCTTTTGATTAACACCGATGTAAGATTCTTCGTAATAAGTAGAATCCAAGAACCCAATCTTCTTAACGCTGGTACAGTGCAGTAATTATAATTCAATGAAGACAATACAAACAAGCTCAAATAGTGAGTCAACCTGTATACCGTCTTCTCTAACATCAGTTCTATTTAAATATTAAATTAGCGATGCGATGAAAAATTATTGGCATACACCCATTAATCTATATCACATACAACATATAGAGGTATTATCGGAGTTTAGTAGGAACCAGCCCGGAATGCCCAGTAGCCCGCTGACTAATTGCTCATGCCCACCGAGCAATAAAAACCAGGCATCACTCGGCACGACAAGGAAAAAACACAGACAGACAGACACAGCAAAAAAAGGGGGTGAATACGAATTGAGTCCCCCAGCAGCGGCAGCAGCAGCAGCAACAGAAAATTTTTCTTCTTCTTTCACCCAGATGGTATTCTCCCTGTGAGAACCTCACCGTGCAGCAGCTACTCATAATTTAATTATGCAATCAAACTACAAAATTCGATTTGTCAATCATCATCTTCCCTCTCTCCATTTTGGGTTTCCGGCGAATTCTAGTTAATAGTAGCAATACGCACAATATACAATTGCCAGCCTACACATAACAGCGAAGGGATGAGGAACAGAGCGGGGGGTGGTGGTGGTGGTGATGTTCGAGACAGAGAAAGGGAATAACTCTATTATGTAATGCAGATAAGTTATCGTCTATATATATATATAGAGAGAGAGGTGAATGGATATATATGGCCAATAACTTATATTTAATCTTGTCTCGTTTTATTTATTTTTTTTGTAAACTGCTGCTATTTATATCTACCATTACTATCTTTTGATTGATATATACACCAAGGCTATCATTCAAAATAACAATTTCTTTTTGAAAAAAAAAATGAACGCCAGTAAAGCTTTACCTTTATTCTCTAGAACGATCTCTAGAAGATCTTTTTACTTATTCTCTGCTGCAACTATTGCAGGTGCAGCCGCTGTAACTACAGCCGCTGCATTTGATAATAAGAAGCAATACAATTATAATAATCGTAATAATAATAACAATAGTAATGGTTGGGGGAAATTCGGTACTTCTATTGCTGCTGCTGCTCCAATTGTTCATATTGCTGCTATTAATAAAGATAGAACAATTGATGATTATCAACGTATTTATAATAAGATTGCAGAAAAGATTAGAGAAGATGATGAATATGATGGGTATATTGGTTATGGACCTGTCTTGGTTCGTTTAGGCTGGCATTCATCTGGTACTTATAATAAAGAAAATAATTCAGGTGGTTCATATGGTGGTACTTATCGTTTTAAATTAGAAAATTCTGATCCATCAAATAATGGTTTGCAAAATGCTGCCCAATTTTTAGATCCAATTTATAAAGAATTTAATTGGATTTCTCATGGTGATTTATACACTTTAGGTGCAGTTTGCGCAATTCAAGAAGCTCAAGGTCCAAAAATTAAATGGAGACCAGGTAGAGTCGATTTACCTGAGAGTGCAACACCAGAAAATGGTAGATTACCTGATGCAGTTAACGGTGCAGATTATGTTAGAAAATTTTATGCAAGATTAAGAATGAATGATAGAGAAGCTGTTGCATTAACTGGTGCTCATTGTCTTGGTAGAACTCATTTAAAAAATTCTGGATTTGATGGTCCTTGGGGTGCCGCAAGTAGTAGTTTCACTAATGAATTCTTCATTAATTTATTAAATGAACAATGGAAACTTCAAAAAAATGCTGCTGGGAATAAGCAATATGATTCACCAAAGGGTTATATGATGTTAGAGACAGATTATGCTTTAATTCAAGATCCAATTTATTTAAAAATTGTTAAAGAATACGCTAATAACGAAGCTTCATTCTTTAAAGATTTTGCATCTTCTTTCCAAAAATTATTAGAAAACGGTATTGATTACCCTAAGGGAGCTCCAGAATATATCTTTAAGACTCTGGATGATCAAGATATGTAATTAAGTTGATTTTAATTACAATTATCTGCTTTAATAGTAGTATACATTATTATCATACGAAAAGTATTTATTTTTAATTCTATTTATTATTTATTCAATTTCTCTGTATTTTTTTTTTTTTTTTAATAACTTATTTATATAAGAATTATCAATAAACTAGGTCAACTCACTAGTATTGATCTTTTTGTTTTGTCTGTCTGTCTGTCTTTATATAAATATTTGCGTAAGCTTCTTTCTTTTCGAGTCTCTTCGCGCTTCGAATATTAAAGGATTCCTCCCTTTTTATTTTCATTAATATTTATTATGAATTTTTATTTTTCATTTTCTCATCTAACGCACTCTTTTATTTTCATTTTTGATAAATTATAACATAATTAGGTATCCCTTCAATAAAAGAGATATATAACAAAACACATTGCGCAGTATTACTTCAGGTGGAATCTTATAAACAAAATACACTATTAGTACAGAGAAGAAAAAAAATAAATAATGTCTATCTTATCCATTGCAACTCGTAGAGCAGGTCTCCTATCAGTTAAATCTTCTTCGATTGCATCAACTTCAATAATCAATAGATTTGCAAGTTCATCAACAACAAAAAAGAATACTTCTGATGTTGCTCAAAGTAGTCTAACGTGGAAAGAATTCTTTCAATTAAGAAAACAACAAAGAAGAATTAACGTGGTTTCATCTGGTTTTACGGCATTAGTTGGTTGTAATATATCATGGGCTTATTTATCAAATATGGAAATTGACCCAACTCAAATGATTATGGGGTTTGATCCTTTAGTTGTTGTATCTGCTGGTTTAATGGCATCTGGTGCATTAGGTTATTTATTTGGTCCTTTAATTGGTACACAAGTATTTAATTTAAAAAATAATAAAACTTTAACTGATTTTGGCTTAAAAAATAAAGAATTTTTAGAACATATTATTAAAAATAGAGTTGATGCTTCTTCTCAAAGTTTTAGTAATCCTGTCCCTGATTATTATGGTGAAAAAATTGGTTCTATGAAAGAATATAGACAATGGCTAAGAGATTGCCATTCTTATGCTAGAAAAGCAAAAGAATTTTTATGATTGAGCTTTTTCAAAGCAATCAAAATATTAATATACCATTTGAACAAAAGTAGATAAATCACACACACATAATCAAAATAACATTGTTCTCATTTAATTATTCTTGACCAGAAAAAAAATAATAAATAACGTTTTCTTTTTAGGACTTGAGAATATACCATTAATAGTAAGTATAATCTGTACATATATATCTATCTATCAATATCTATCTAATATTATGAAAAAACATAATTATAATAAAATTAATAAAAGTTTCACAATTCTTAAGTAATGTGGGTATATAAAAAGGTTTCCTGAATAAAACAAATTTTATCGATGATGATTTATATCTTACAATCAATTAAAATAAGAAATAAAATCTAATGGATCAAATATATCATCTAATAAATCTAGATTACCGAACTGTCTATCCATTTGTTGATTATATTCTTCAGTACTCAAACTACCCATGCCAGGCGAACGTCCCGTCGAGGACTCTACACCATTAGTAGAAGTTACACTCATTGTTGATATCGAAGTAGAATCAAAGAGTGGCGATTCACTATTACTCAAAGAGAACAACGCACCTGGCGTTCTAACAATTAGTTGATCATCTGTCTGTGGTTTTAAACTACTATCAACATCTTGTGATAATTTACAACTTGTATTATCATAAAACGATGCAAAAAGATTGAATCCCTTGGGGTAACGATCATCCAAAAATAAGGTCAAAATTTCTTCACGGAAGTTCATGGAAAAATTTGTATCAAATTTACCAATAGGATAAATATCGTTATTCCATTTCTCAACAAAATCAGTCCTACTTTTCAAATCAGGATCATTTTCATAAAATTTAGACATCTCATATACGAGTGGGACTAAATCCTTTAATGAAGTATCTCTGTTACTATCCTTTTCTTCACCATGCTGTTTCGATGAATTTAATTCACCAACAAGAAACCGTAATATAATTTCCCAAGGGTCTCTATCTTCTGGTCGATCCAAAATCTTGTAAACAATCTTCGCCGTAAACATCTTCCTAAAACATCTATAATAATCAGCAGAAAATTCATTGAAATACATGGATGCTACAGCAAAAAAAAACTTACAAAGAAGTTTTCTGGTCTCAAATGATTTACTCATTCTACTAAAACGAAGAATAAAAGCTGGAATTAGAACACATAGTTTGTTTGAGATGATTTCAACAATTCTATTGCTATAGAATTGATTGAAAGGATTTATATTCAGTTTATGGGATTCATAGAAGTAAATATAACATTTTTGAGCAATAATAACTAATTGATCCCATAGTTGTTGTGCTGACTCATGATATTTCACAACATTGATACTATACTCATAAGAAATCATTTTTGCATGCGCTATTGATAATTTGAATAAATCTAACATCCATTCAAATTCAAAATCAAGAGCGTTCGTAAATTGGAAGGGACCCTTATCATCTGAAGCTTTCAAATTCATATGTTCATTAGACACCTTGTTGTAATACGTTTCAAGGGCGTTAATATTTATGCGAGACGGACTGTCATTAATTAGATCATTAATCTTCAAGAGCAGCGAATCAATATAGACCACTCGGGTGTACCATGATGGAAGATGTTCTAATTTAATCAAATCAACTGGGAAAGTCTTCCCAACAAAACATTCTTGCCCATTAATAAGACCCATTTTTCTATCCCAAAAGAGAATGACAGCCCACATTGATCTAAATATCTCTTTGTATTCTTCTGGTTTCAAATATTCCAAAGATGGTCGCGTTCCATCAGTTATTTTAAAGAAATATTTTTCATTAGAGAAGCAACTCCAATTTATACCCATTTCTTTGGCACTGGATATAATTGTACCCATCAAAACTCTATTGTGTTGTGCTTCGGTCCCATCACCATCCTCAGGTGCACACCAAAAATAGAAACGAAGTAACATTAAGCAGTATAATTGTAGTAATGTACATTTTCGAAGTACTTTCATTTGGAAAAGAAAATGACTCACGATGGCAATATATCTGGTTGTATCTAATGCAAGAACACTAGTAAACAAAGTTAAAGAGGTTTTTTGAAATTTCAGAGATAATTGAACAAGAATAGTAATTAAAAGTACAATTGAATATACCATATGATCAAATTTCTTTATATCTAATTTCTTGTTTTTTTCAACGTCTTCATATAACGTGTCAATTTCATGCTGAAGGACATTCATATTGACAAATGGCATCATATGTAGAATATGTGTTGTGAAAATTGGTATAATTTCATTTTTAAATAATTCCTTATCTGGTAATACAATATTTGTCAGATATTCTTCGTCTGAACATTTCATTTTAGAATCCTTTCTATATTTAGCAAACTTTTCAAAAAGCTGTTTGTGATATCTAGAAAAGTTACCTGAGGTTGGATCATTCATCTTATTAGTCTCTATGTCATCTCTATCAAATGTTGACAATGGAATGAAGGAATTTGGCAAATTCGGATTGATACCTTTTATTTTTGTAGTCTCTTGGAATTTGTTCATTGTCTTTTTAATGGCTATACTTCTAAATCGAATCATGCTTGTTAAATATGGATCACGGTGTTCCATAGATATATCTGTAAATAGTGAAAATATAGTAGTGGCTGATCTTTTAGCCTCTAAATAATGTCCTGAAGGAATGAAATCAACAAAATCAGTGCTGCGACTATCCAGTTCAATTGGTATTACATTAGTGGGTGCGATCTGAGACATTTGATCTTGAATGAGATTTGGCATCTGTGCTTCATTAGATGTTGTTCTTTGTGAGGAGCTGAGTGTTGTAGATGATGATCCAATTATATTGATAGGCGTTGCAGAACCTTGAGTTAATGATGAAGAAGATTTTTCCTTCTTAAGTTGGCGATCTTTTACTTTTTTTTTAGATATTCTTGTATGAGTAACTGAAGCACTTACATATGTACATGTCTCACTATCTCCATATTTGGCACATGTGTTACATGGATTTTGTTTGTCACATTTACTCTTTCTCTTTCGACAATTTGTGCAGACCACTGTGCGACGATTACGTCTCTTACGTACGTGATTTTCTTTTGGTTCAGGAGACATACTTTTAACCGTCTGTGTACTTTTATAACTTTTGATCTCGATCACTGCCGGAACAAATGTTCTTTTTAGCTTTAATATCTATTGTTTTTATACCAAAATATCTCCATTATTTAGGTTTATTTATATTTTCAACCAAAAGGTTCCTGTTTCTTTGCGGGGGTAAACACAGAGAAAGATTCGGCGAAAGTAGGAAATTTGTGTGAACCAGAAACAGTGGGCGAGAGTTATAGTTAGAGATGATGCCCAGAGTGAAAAACTTTTGATTAATTAACGCTAATCTACAAAAAGATACAGGTTGTGTTGTTTTCTGAGAGTAAAGGGAAGCACATGATGAACCAAGAGGTTAGTATACCTCTAGAACAACGTTTATATAGAACAATTTGATATGTACCACGTTAGAGTAGTACCGTGGGCTGACCCTAAAGAGTTGGATGATTTGAGGAACTGGTTTTATAGTAATAATGATGACAGAGCAAAAGCAATCGCCAAAGTGAAAAGCTATCAAAGTCGAGGTTCACAATATTTACCGCATGTAATTGACTCAACATCACAACTGACTAGTGCTGTATTACTCGATGAAACAAATAACCAGGTAGGAATGAACGCAATTAGAATGGCATACACGATGGCATTAATTAGATTTGTCAATGGTATATTAGATCCTAACCAACAAGCGCAATATGCGATCCCATTACATAGATTGGCACAAAATGTTGGTTTAGGTAGTTCTTTTGTCGAATTGAGGCATTGGGGTACACATGAAAGAGATTTACCTAGCATTGAAATGCTTAGAATTACAACAAAGGAGGCTCTTACTTGGTTATGGGATCATTATTGGAATGATAGTACATTAGAAGATATGACCAGTGACGATGAAGGTAACGCTATAGAAGATACTGTGAGTGAGGAGCAAACTGAATTACAACGAGTTTTGATTCTATGGCCAGGATTATTGTATGAATTCTCTCATAACAAATATATTTGGCAAAATGATAATAATTCTTTAATTAGTAGTTCAAACTTTACAGTATCTGAAAAGACAAAAAATAGTCAAAAGTTACCAGAGACAAAGATTAATAATTATATCAACGATTGGAAAACTATTTGGAAAAGTTATCATGATCGTGAACAATTTGTCGATATTGTTATGGAAAAATATAATTCTCTTTTACTTCATTTATTAATACTAAAATTAACAGATTTTGAAATATTTTATTTTAAATGGCTTCTGAAAGAATATATTCAACAACTCCAAGACGGCAATAAACGAGATTCGATAAGAAATAATTCATTATTGAGTAAACATTTCAGAAGTTGGACAGATATTGAACAAAAATTAGTAAAGAGAGTTATAAATCATTTGAATATTAAAACAGTAATACCGAGATGGAAACTTTGGAATGATTCATTGAAGGAAAATCCATCTTATTTATCTTTGGTAATAGTGAAGGCTCTTATAAAGAGAATGAATGAAATGACTAACGGTAATGGGAACACTAATGACTGGAGAAAGAAAAAGAAGAGAAGACAAGCGTCTAATGAGCAAGAAACAATGAATTCAGCAAATGAATTACTGAAGGAGTTAGAATCGAGATATGATATCTCCGAAAAGGATAACTATGAACAATCGTTTGTCATCGTAAAGACTAAAGAAACAATCTCAAATAGCATTGAAAAGAATCATAATTTTTCACCTAATGACATATTCAATGATTTGGCAAACTTGAAGAAAAGACTAAAACATGCAAATAGTGAACCCTCAGAAGTCAAGGACAAAATAGAAGTTAAGAAACAAAAAATAATGCTATGGGAAACTCCTACAGATTGGACACCCAAACCATTTGGTATGTTATAGTTTATTATATGTAATAACATAATAAATACTCAAATACACATATGCCTCAAGTAACAAGAATATGCCTCAAAGAGACACATACACAATTTTAACAAGATAATAAAAATAAATATTTATAAAAATTAATCACTCAGACATCCTAGGAAGGTCTCAAATGAGAGCGGTCACTGGTGGTACTAAAAGATGGGTTCTTAGGCGTACCTCTACCGTGGAAACTGCGAATGTAAGGACCAGTTTTCATCACCGTGATTAAAATATATAAAGATTGACGCTAAAAATAATATTCAGTATCATAAAGGGACTCGTGGATAAATAAACAAAAAAAGGTTAATATGAACCTTCATATAGTGAACCATTTTTTTTTAAAAAAAAAGATTTGAAATTTTTTGTTTGAAGAAGGCTCAGATATTGAATGTTGAATATAACATGGCAAGAAAAGTCTCTTAAATGATCACACAAGTGCAATCGAGACATGATAGATCCCCGTATCGTCATGGTCGAATCGGACTGGGAAAGAAGAAACACCGGTTTCATCAAAGCCAACAACAAACATAAAATTCAAATATTTTAAAGAAAAAAAAAAAAATTCGAAACCTTATTCAAGATGAATGAATGGAGAAATACTATTGTTGAAAAAAAATGGAGACTAGCAAATTTTTTAAAAAATATTAGTTTCTATAGGAGCATTTCAACCTTGAAATGTCTTCACAATTAATTAGAGACTAACAACCTCAACCTCTATATCCAATTGCGCCATTCAGACTTCCTTAATATTCGGTTACTTTATCTAGGTTATTTATTACATAAATAATAGTTTTCCAAATTAATATAAGTTCTGTCATTGAAAAGTATGAAATTGGAGTGAATGGTTATCCTTTTTATACTTCTCAAGAAACGAAAATTTTTCATTTCGTCTGCCATGAAACGATGCCTTTTTCTTCCCATTTCCTCATTGAATGAACAGAACGAGAAAAAAATTTTCAGCTCTGCAAATATTTTAGTTAGGGCTTAGCGTGCGGTGCTTGGGTTTCTTTACAGTATAAGCATCAAGAGAAATTTTTCATTTGAGATAACAGTTTGGAACTAGGTTTATTGGCGATGAGGTCAACTAAAAGAGGTAATCTCAATAAGAAAAGGTTTCAATCTAGTAGTTACTGGGTTCTGAAGAATCAAATTTTGAAAGAGTAAATTTGGAAACTTGTAAATTTGTGGATTTTCTGATAACACAAAGTTTTATTATTGTTGTTGCTGTTGTCTTTTTTTGCATTGACATCTACTTAAGAAACTAATCAAAGTACTTACAAAGTACTTCACAAAACATATACAAATAATCTATAATTTTTAAAGAATAAAATGGCTAGAGCTGATATTATGTCCAAGGAGTTCATCTCAGACTCTGAATCCGATACTGAAATGGATCAAACATTCAAAGCTCCATCAGATTTCAAGAAATGTGACCATTTGAAGAAATTTCCATTGGATAAATTAACAAAGAAGTCAGAGGAAGAAGTATGGTTGCTTAATATACCAGCAAACTTAGATATCTCGAAATTGAAGACATTGCCAATTGATTTTAAGAGAACAAGTTCTGTTACAGTAGAGAAACAAAGTTATGAAATTGAACAAGAAAAAAATAAGGACAACAGTAATCTTGTTGTAATGGTTCCAGGAAATAAAAGAGATTCTTTAAAAATTTTAACAAAACAAGATAAACCTTTCCAATTCGATAAAATTTTCACTGTTAGTGAATCTAAAGATATTCCAGATATAAACTACAAAGAAGTTAGAACAGAACGTGAAAATGTACCTGTAGTAAGTGGTTTAATAACGAGACACTTTGCTACTGGTTATGACGCAGAAGATTTCGGTATAAATGAACCAATTAAAACGAAAAAGAAGGAAAGTGTACTTGAAGAGAATAATGAAACAGAGGAACAAGACAACTCTAAGAAACGTCATCACCACCATCATCACAAAGAAGAAAGTGATGGAGCTCCTTCAAAGAAGAAAAAGAAGGAAAAGAAAGATAAAAAGCATAAGAAAGACAAGAAGAAGGAGAATAAATAAGCTATAGGCTTACTTCGTCATTGTAAGATAACAACAACATATATGTTTTGTATATTTTTAAAAACCAAACAGCAAAAGAATACAGCTCATTTCCCAACATATTTATACATCTATGTATATTTCATACTTTTTAGATATTTGTGTACATTAGTCCATCTATTATAACATATAAAAAAAAGTAAAAAAAACAGTAAATAATTTCAACAATAGTAACCAATCGTATTGTTTTATAAAATACGATGAATAAATGCTTGTGGGTATACTAATAATATCTTACCCTCGAATATAATTCGAAGAATTTCGATAACTGTTCTATTGTCTTTTGATTAATGATCCTCCTTACGAACTGAATATTTAAACTCTATGTGAATAATCCTTTAGGATACCTGCCATATGGGTGTTAGTAATCTTACCTCTTCTTTGCTTCTTCTTCTTAACTTCAACTTTAGAAGTTTGTCTTTTGATTGTTGCAGGATCAACACTGGCAGGCTTCAAACCAAGGTCTTGTAACTTTCTTGGTAATTCTGAAAATTGTGGCAATTGTATATTTTCCCATGTCTTCACAAACTCTTCATCTACTCTATGAAGATCACTACCATTATTATACCAAACGTATCTTGGAGTTCTATCTTTCTTAGTTCTTAAAACCAAAATCTTACTTTCTTCTTCCAACTCGTTGATAGTCGCATCACACTGGGGCCAACCATCCTTTAATTCTTTACAAGAGATACCTTTAAACGTTACCTGTGATTTTAGTAAATTCAGCAGTTCAGAAGCAGAGTGAACATCATATGTAGATAAATATTTAAATGTGTTTTTCTTAGGATCAAACCCAATCTTTTCTAGTTTCTTTAATAATTCAATAACTTTATCATTAGGTGTCAAAGACAAATAATCCATCAACTCATTTAAAGGGATAGCTTTACCTTTCTTTTGAATATATTCTGTGGCCCATAGTAATTTCGAAGAGTCATGACTTTGTGAGATACTGGTTTGAGATGCTTGCAAGGCAGCTGCGGCAAGTGATCCTGGTCTTACCTTTTTAGATGGTGAACTTTCATAGTCATCATCTGAGGGAATCTCTAACGCTTCCATAGAATTTAAACCCGAATTACCATTTTCAATTTTTTCTTCTTTAATTACCTTGATATCATCATCATCTTCATCCTCTTTCTTGACTTGTGATATTGTTCTTTTCTTTTGGGGGCTAACTGAACGTTTTACTCCAATAACTGGGGCTGATTTGACTTTATTTTTAAACGCATTTAAGTTAGCTAATAAGGGATCGTTCGTTTTCTGACTATTACTCATTCTTAAAACTTATGTGCAGTGGATAATAAGTTGTATGTGGGAAAAGTAAATTTATTCAGATATATGCAAAGAACTAGTAATTTACCTTCAGAGGGTATGTGCAATAAATAGATAAATGGGGAAAGAATCAGTATAATACAGTAAAAAACTCTTCAACAGATTCAAAAAGACAGCTGGTAACACAAATATGTCGATTCTTTCAATATTATAATATGATATACTTACCTTGATATTCCTGAAATATCTTATAAATATCTCTTTCTTGCCTTGTTTTTTTTACCACGGAAGTTTTATAAATTTCATGAAATTTGGAAGTCGTCCGCACTATTATTCGTCATTTAGATGAAAATAACTTAACTAAAAGAATCAAAAATAATTGATGATAATAAAAGAATGTATTCATGAGTATTATCTTTGTTTGTATATGGAGTTATATAAGTATGTGCATACAAGAATTCTAACATCTATACAGATGAGTCATTGCAAGAATTAAAGCATCTTGGAATTATGAAGAGAGTCTGAGATCGAGTTGGATCATAATTGGTAAGTTTCCCTCATAAACTTCTTCCCAGGACCATGTTTCCACCATCTTGTAAGGCAACTGATACCTGAAAAATCAATCCTACTTTCTTCCAGTTGGTCACAAATGCATCTATGCTTCAATTGGAAGTAATTTGATTGAGGAATTGTAAAATAAGGTGCATGCAAGTATCCAATCTCATCGAAATGAATAATTTCGCTTTCTTTTAATAACAACATGGCTGCTATACTATGTACTGGTGCATCACCCCATCTTTCATAATAAAATCCTCCACTTGAATCAAGATAATCAAAAAATCTTATGTATTCATCACTTCTAAAGAAATTTAAATCACCGATTTCAAAATTCGACCAAAAATGACACATGTTGTACCTATCAGTCGATTCTACCCTTGACCGTGGTGTTCTAATATCGTTCCAATCTGTAATAAACTGATAAAGTTCACTATCAGTATCAATCGTTTGTTTTTTATCTTGCTTGATATAGTCACGAACTGTTTTCCACAATGTTGGTATAGTACTCTCATACTCTACTAAAGTCATTACAAATCCATATTTCTTCTTTTGCTGGCTCATTACTTGAAATGGATCATATGGAAAATCACAGAAATACTCTACGTCAGGTTCAACTCTAAAATAATAATCATATTGATTCAATATTTTTTGTCTGAAGAAAAATCCAGAATTGAATCGACACATATTACGATACGATTTGGAGTTACCATATATAATGTTTTGTCTTTCCATTTCATTTAACCTTTCCTCGAAGTAATCATCATCAATCCAATCTGGTTTATCCCAATCACTCGATGGAATTAATGCATACTTTGTTTCCCCACTTGCCATCAAAGTAGTAGCCTCTATAAATGCATCATCAAATGGAACATCATTCAAAAAAACCCAATCATATTGATAGTCATGATTAAATCTATCTTCAAGGGATCTCATGGATTTTAAAGCGTATGGCAATTCCCAATTTCTGACCAACATCAGTAGTACAGCATTCACTTTATTGCTAGATTTATTGACATATTCATAATCTTCATCAAGTATATTATCATGATATGAACTTGAAGAGATCTTCAAGCCATGACGCAAGTTTCGTCTTCGAATATTATCATACCTATGCAGTGTATTGTTTGATTCATTATAGTACTCCTTCTCTAAATTAAACTCCTTATATAAGATACTGTAATTCAGTAGACAGAAGTATATGTATCTGCTACTGAATATCAAACAGGAAATAAATAGTAGATATTTTGATACTTTTCGTAGATACTTTGATTTGGTAACCATGAAACAGACAGCATATAATTTAAAATCTAATATTTTTTAGCAAAAAAAAGAAGTGAAAATAAATGAGTAGAAGTGAATACAGATGGCGGATCACACTTCAATATTGTAAAGTATTAATAGGGTATTTAATAATAGGTAAATGATATATAAACAAACTGAAACACACTTAATGATCGTTAAAAAAAATGGCACTTAAAGTTGTATTTTTTCTGAGTGTCTATTCTTTTCAAACATTAAAAGATCAATTATCGATACTGGTAAATTGTGATACCAACATACAACTCTTTTATTCGATTCAATAACCAATATCAACCCTAACCCATCAAATAGGCAAAATTGTTTTACAAATAATTACTAATACTGCGAGACATCTGCTGTTATATTTATACGCTGAAGTACCCTGCGTAGATGCATATATATATGTATATATATATATATATATATATACTTAAATATAGATTTCTTGGAATCTCAATGACGATGTATGTCTCTGAACCCAGGTGGTTTTTAACCCTTTCGGGAAACAGGTACAAAGACTTCCACTCATACAATAATGTCGTAATCCAATTTTCCTGAAGTCAAAGACGAGGACCTAATTGCTACTGTAACAACTGCTGCTACGGTTTCATAATTACATACATTGCATAGCTAACATTATTAGTGAAAAATTTTCTGGTTCGCGTATAGCTGAAATATGGGTTCCACAGATTTCTCGAGGGATAGATCACAAAATCACTAGTAGTAGACTAGGGAAGCGACGGAGCCATAGAGAGGGAAGTTATACCATCAATAAACTAAGTGCACAATGGGCCAGGTAGATGTCCCAGCCGAAATATGGCAGTTTTATCATTGTTACGGTCAATGCACAGTTGTTGCTCCATTTTCTCTGTGGGATTATATATGAAAACAAAACAATTTATCACGAGACCTTTGACACCGTTACAATAGTAAAAGTTTTACTCTAAAGTGAGGAAATGCCTAAAGTATATATTGCCAAGCCTCGATATATTACATAAATATCCACCTTGTTCCGTCATATCTTTTTAAAAATGTATTTATTATTCCGTTAAATATTACACTATTTGTTATTACATAGATAAAGAAGAGAAGAAATGCTACAACTCTAATTCACTGTCATCATCATCGTCTCTCGTAGGTTCTTCACTCTTGATATACAGTGGCAAACTTGCACTATTACTGGTTTTAATATATATAGAATCAATCCCACCTTTAATAACCCCACCCTGAGGCCTCTTACTGCTATCTGTTAAGAACGTTACAACATCCAATACATTGTATACCATCTCATCAATATTTTGCTTACCAATCTGTCCGATTTTGATATTTAAACAATTGTCCTCATTCGGGAAGTAATGTGCATTCTTACATATACTCTTCAATTGAGCCCGTATATATGAAGTATCACAGGCTTCTACCATTTGTTGACGTTTTACTTTGACATTTTTAGACATTCTAATCATGAATGGTAGTTTTTTACTCCCATGGAAAAATCTTGTACCTAACACTTTCGGTAGTAGATGATGTACTCTATAATCTGCCACAATTAAATCAAATTCCGAGTATAATTCATTTAGTTTCGACCCCCTGAAACGACGTTTAAGATTTTTCACTGTGATGATTTCTTTAATTAACTCATTGACTGGTTCATCCTTTGTGATAGCCTCTCTATAAATAGTAGATGGATCCTTTGTAATCAACAGAATTCTCAAATCTCTTGGCTTGTTAAGCTTGCAATATTGTAATGGGATAATCCTAGGAATATAATCCTTTGGAATACCCATCTTTCTGGTAGTATTTACGACAATTTGTACATCCTTGTCATCGACTAATTTGGGATCTTGTTTGCACGTCGCGATCAACGATTCCAATGCTTTCCTTGATAGATCCTCTTCTTTTAAATTAATTCTGGATGACATCTTTGTTTTATATGTAAGTAATTCAATATTTAACTACTGGTTCTAAAATAGGTAATAATAATGTTCTTTGGTGCATTTAATAGTAGGTCATCGTTTCCTATAAATAAAAATTTTCAATGGCTTATAATACTGAAAATAAAAAATTAAATACTGAAAATGTTCAGTATGCACTATTGAGCTCATCGAAAAAAAAAGTCAAAAAAAAACGAATATTAATATTTTTTTTCCTCTACAGAATGAACGGAGAACTATCATTATTAAGCATTAATAGAGGATTTCAAATGACATAAAACAATCGAACAGTCATCACTTAATAATTCCTGTCTGGGACTTAAATATATTTGAGAAGATCATATGTAATTTGTTAAAACAACTAATATAACAGAGGAGAAAACCATCATCGATTATACACCTTATAAAGTAATCTATATATATACGCAACTTATAGGATATGAGTTCCTTAAGCGAATAGGGTACCAATGTCACCTGGTAGTTCTTGAATTTGGGTAGAGTAGAACTTTTCAATTTCTCTCATAGCACCAACATCGTCGTTGACAACAAAGTTGATAGCAACACCCTTTCTACCGAAACGACCACCTCTACCAATTCTGTGAATATAGTTTTCCTTGTTAGTTGGTAGATCGTAGTTGATAACTAGAGAAACTTGTTGAACATCGATACCTCTAGCCAATAAATCGGTAGAGATCAAAATTCTGGAGGAACCAGATCTGAATTCCTTCATAATGGTGTCTCTTTCTTGTTGTGGTAAGTCAGAGTAGATAGCAGAAACAGTGAAGTTGTCAGCAGTCAACTTTTGAGTTAATTCTTCGACCTTACGTCTGGTGTTACAGAAGATAACAGCTTGAGTAACAGAGATGGAGTCGTACAAATCAGTTAGACAGTCGTACTTGTATTGTTCTTCTTCGACGTTGACGTAGAATTGCTTAATACCTTCTAGAGTCAATTCATCCTTCTTAACCAAAATTCTGATTGGGTTTCTCATGAACTTGGTGGTAACTTCTAGAACATCCTTTGGCATGGTAGCAGATAATAGGACAACTTGAGTAGTTGGTGGTAGTAGAGTGAAAATTTGGTAAATTTGTTCCTTGAAACCAGAGGACAACATTTCATCGGCTTCATCAAGAATGAACATCTTAATGTGGTCAGTTCTGAATCTACGTCTTTGGATGTTGTCGAAAACTCTACCTGGAGTACCGACGACGATTTGAGCGTCCTTTAGACCTTCAGCATCTTCAACGAAAGAAGTACCACCAATACAGGCGTGGACCTTGACATCCATGTGGAAAGAAAGAGCCATAACAACCTTTTGGATTTGTAGGGCCAATTCTCTGGTTGGAGCCAACATCAAAGCTTGTGGGTGCTTGACGGTTGGGTCAATTCTTTGCAAAGCAGCAATGGAGAAAGTACCAGTCTTACCAGTACCAGATTGAGCTTGAGCAAGAACATCGTGACCTTCAATGATTGGAACAATAGCACGTTGTTGAATGGCAGATGGTTCTTCAAAACCGTAACCGTAGACACCTCTCAATAGGGAGGATTCTAGGTTCATGTCATCGAACTTGTAGACGACCTTGTCGTAGTTAGTTTCAATTTGAGATTCTTCAACTTCAGTAATACCTTCAGACATTTTTGTATGATTGATTAGGATTGAGCTTTCGGTGGGGAATTAATAAAAAGAAGATTTAAATTAAAAATAAGGAATAAAAATCTACTCTCTTATATTAGTTACTCAAATAATCTGTATAAAGATGGTGAAAAGTTTTCCATAATTTCGATTAGAGAGAGAGGGATAGCATATGAAGGAGGTGAAGCAATTATTGTTTGGTCGCATCATTTTCCGTCGTCCTTGCCGAACAAAGAAGGTTTCAATAACCAGCAGAATAAGATGAAGTGAAAAAAAAAAAAAAAAAAAGCGAAAATTTTTTCACCTTCCAAGAGGGTAACTAATTGCGTCTAAAATGATATCAGCATCTAATTACGTATTTAGAAACCTAATTCAAAGGGAAGAAGAAGTTAGGGTTCTCTTTCTTTTTAATTATACAATATTAGAATGATTGCATAAGAATGATGTTTTTTTTCTATTACTTGTTATGTCAACGTGCTATTTTATAAATGTTGTATAAATGTATATAAGTGTTTCGGGGGAATTTATATTTTACATGTGCAAGAGACACATTATTGATGTGTTTATGTATGTTTAAGAGTTTGTATTATTAATGAGTCGCATGTATAATTATGTAGCCCATCACTCATCACCATAATCCTCGTTGTAATCGATAGGTTCCTCAGGAATTGTTTGATGAATTATGGGAGTATCATAGTCAGGGAATTGTCTAGTTGCTGGCGGATAATAATTTTGTTCGATGTCGTCCGGACTAGTTGCCAATATTTCGTTTATATGCATAATTTTTTCGTTTCTCCTTTCCTGTTTCCTTATATTGTACAATTCATCCTCTTCTTTTTCGGAATCTTCTTTTTGCCCAGTTATAAGTGAACGTTCCTGCATATCTTCTTCCTCCTCCTCTTCCTCCATTTCTTCCCTCTCTGCTATTATACTTCTCAACTTAGCCGTATTCAATTCTCTATCGACACTGACATCATCAAGTTCAACTGCCTCATTTTGACTTTCTTCGACTTCATATTCAAAGATATCATTGGGGAATATTCTTTGAACGTTTCTTTGGTAACCGGTGTTTTCCCAATCAAATTTATAGTTTGGTACATATTCACGTTCTGATGGTGGTGGGGCTGAAACTTGCGCGTGTTCTGCTTTCGGTTGACCTATGGAAGATACGTTTTCATCCTCAGAAATTATTGATTCTTCATCTTGTTGATCAAAGTTATTGTAAAACCCTGTTTCTGAAAATTGACGTTCAACGAATTCTGGTTGTCTTTCATATACACGAAGTTCACGTTGTTTTGGTTTACGTATTTCATTAGAGACCGTACTATTAAACTTTGATGTGTCTGTAACAAAGTCGCTGTTATCACATTGTCGTATTTGTACTGGTTCTTCTTCTTTCTTGATAAATGTAGTTAGCCAATCCTTAAATGGTAATGGTAAGTCGATTTTTTCAGGTTCAGCTACTGCATGTGTCTCATGAACATTTTGATTAACTATGATTTCGTGTTTTTGTTCTTCAAATGAACTCTGTTGAGGCTCTTCGTTGTGTTGTTCATGTTGCGTTTCATTGCAAGAAAGTTGATTATTATTGTCAATAGATTCTTTCACTTCAGATTCTGTTTGAGTTTGGTAAGGTTTAACCTCCTTGATACGCAAATTCACTAAACCTTGATCCAAAATAACATCACAGTTGTATTCCTCATAGACATTATACCACTCCTTGGCATAATTACTATTTTCTGAGTCGACTTCTAAAGTAACTTTCCATGGTTTATTATTACCGATGAAATGTATTAATTTGATATCCTTACCGAAATATTTCATGGCAGGAGGACATTGATACCCTGTATTCGGGGTGGTCACGTTATATAGAAATGATAAGGTTTGCCATTCTCTATTAATATTAGATGATTGATTTCTGCAATTTTGGTTGAAAAATTGATTTAATATACCTTGATCTGCACCATCAATGGAAACATTATCAATTGTAAATATATGTAACTGATGGTATAGCTTCTCATTTGGAGTTAATAGCATAACACCGCTATTGAACATGTCCGGCCATCCAATATCAGGTGAAGCGGCTACCTGTAGACAAGTTTGATCTTGATATTGTTCAAATAAATTGAACAAATCTACGGACATTGGTAGAGTGTCTGCATCTAGATATAAAATCTGATTATATATGGTTTGATTCCAAAGTTTAATCTTAATTAATGTAAATGCCAGCTCTGGTCTCTTTAAGATATCTAGATTGTAATTATTTCTTTCCATAATCATATCATTTTCCATCAATGGATTGATTAGGATCACCCTACGATATAAAGTATGTAATGCATTCTTTGAATTGACGGTTAATTCATCATTGTATAGCGATTCTGTTACCAGTAGACATGTTTCGATATTATTAGAGTTTGTTTTTATTCTTAATAGTTTATTAACTTGATGACCTAAAGTGAGTACACCTGGTAAATAATCTAGCGAATAAAGAAGAGTAGCAACAGCCAATTTTTTAGACATAATTAATCAATGTATTTTAAATTCGAAGATGTTACTAAATTGTCGATTGGAGTTAGGGGAATAATTATATTATTTCTATATTTATCGTTATCCTAGTGGTTAAATATTTCAAGGGGTGGAAAACAAAGGCGCTAAAACTGACAAATAGAGAGAAAATAAAGCAATGGAAAAAAGATATGTAAACAAAGCAGCTTTCTACTAGGGAGTGAAAAAAATGAGCGTGTGTGGGTATAACTATATTTGTAACCGAATGTTTATGGAAGTGTAAACTTGATGGATGCTTAGGTAAATATCAATTGTGGAATAATGGTTAAAGAAAAAAAAGTTATTGTCTTGCTGTTTATCCAATAGTCTATAAATGTTCTCGAATACAGATATATATATGTGAGTGTGTATACCTTGAGCAACTGTAAGTTTATTGAATAAAACAAAAACTAATTGAGTTAACAAGTTAAAAGTATGCTTGATGTTACTGATAAATAGGAAAAATATTTTCTATGTATATGTATCAGAAATACATATACATTATTTATATAAGAGGGCCTCCTTAAAAGAGAAGTTAAAAATAATATAACACAAAGTTAAAGTTAAATAAAAGGAGCTAGTAATTTTTAAGAAAGCCTACTAATCCTTCTATCAATACTAGTAACCTTATTCCCACATCGGGTAGTTTCCTACCATGTAAAGATCAAAAGCTTTCCTTAATGAATCCCAAAATGTTCACCTTTATTTCACTACTTCTTTACAGAAACTTCTTAGATAGAAAATATGACTTCCTGTCTTCTGCTCTACAAAAGAAGTGTAGGGAATGAGTAATAGCAAGGGGGCCATTAAGTTATCAGACAACACATTAAAATAACAGTTTTGAAGGTAGTGGGGCAACCTAAAGGACAGCTTCTAAGAGTAATACGCTAAATGGTTCAATTGTAGTACGTATTGTTATGTTGTGCGTACTTGCTGGCATTGGTTTGTTTATTATTTTATGTATCTGAAACGGGCCTTCTAAAATGGCTTACAATGTTGCATGAATTTTAGCAGCATTCCGTGACCTGGTAACCACAGAATGTCCCGTGCAAAAAATAGTGGTTATGTAACTAATACAATATGCACGGAGTAAATAAGTTCGTTTTGCAGGTCAGTTTCTCTGTTAAAACAAATTAATTTTTAAATACAACAACACATGGATCAGGATAGTGGGGGAGGGGTTAACTGAAAGGGAAATGGGGAGTGGGGTCGTTCATTGAGCGAGAGTAATACGTGATTGCATATTTGATACAAAAGTTTATTACAAAGCCAAGTTATCAACTGTTGTAAGTTTGATATTGTTGAATTAATACTTGTGTACATACTGTCCCGGTTATAGTAATTGGAAGCCCGTACTATTTTAAATTTAGAAGTATTTGTAATTCTGAAGTTAACTAAACTATCTTGAATGTCAACTATCTTATTTAACAGTATAAACCAAAATCAATAATGATATATGTTTGTATTGAGTTATTTCTTAATAAATTGTTAAAAAATGATAAATTTATATATGTACTATACAGCTATATCGGAGCTTAACGGGAGTAAGACCAGACGTTCTTTAGTAGACCGTCTTGTTGGGCTAGTCTGTTTAGAGAGTCGTCGGATTCACCTCTGGCTCTGACAGTACCGGCTAGAGCGTAAGTGATGAATTCACCTGGGATAGCTCTACCTTCTTCGTCAACCTTGGCAATGTTGATTTGGACAGAGGCGTGATCGTCAGCCTTGATGATTCTGTTAGTGGCAGAACACTTTCTTGGAACGTATAGTTCGACCTGTTATTAATAAGTGGAAATATTCAAAATAATTGAAATCTTTTTTTGCATAATTTGTTAAAAACAAATAAAGATGTATAAGAATTGCCCCAACGCGTATGCCACAAGTGGCGTAGTTGTTCATAAAAACCATACTACAGTTGCAGTGGACACTGTGTTCTAATTCTTTACTTTATTTCGTTCCTTACAATAGAAAAAGATAAAAAAAATATAATGAATTCATAATGGTTAGTAAATTTGCCTGGTGCTAAATAGTTTAATGTAAGAAAATGATAATTTGATACAGATGGTGGTATATGATAACTATAATGATATTTTCATTCCTCTCTTCGCATTAGGTCCGTATTATTAGCTACGATAATATGAAATTTATATGGATACCACATCGATAGTTCTTGTTTCATCACATTCATAGTATTATCAATAATGTATTCATTCAACATCGCTTTCTTTATTGTAAATAATATTCCCATAAGGTTATGGTCATTTCAGTATATTTTTTAAATATACAAACCAAAAAAAAATTCATTAAAGTTCCTCCACATAGTGATAACTTATGTTACATCATTGAGATACTCTTCCCTGATATCCAGTATAATCTTTCTTTATTTCATAATAATTTTTAAACATCACTATTGTTGTCTTATTATTTCCAAACTGTCCTTAGAATAATTCATTTTCTCATGTCTTACTTGTAATCAAATAACATACTAGTTGACCTTTATCGTTTTCCATTGTGATATATTTATTTGCTGTTGGTTATGTGACTCTTTTCAATTCTGAATGAAATATTAGTGGTAATAAATCTATATGTCTTTAAATTATAGTAGTTTTGTCTTTTTCATGTAATACCATTAAGGTTACTCAAGGTCGGTTCAGAGCAATTTTTCAGGAATGAAGCTTTGAGGAAACCAATATCATTGCATACGTCGCGAAAATTAATAAATAACAGTGTGCAAATATGTGCGTTATCTGGGCGCGCACTATTTTCCTTTCGACAAATTGAAAAAAAAACAATTATAATGAAAACAATATTTAAAGTCTCATTATGGGTGTTCGGATGTGTAAGTGGTGGTCTGGGTGTTTCACAGTCACACCTCTTTAATTCTAAATACAATATTTTTTATGCTAGTTACAATGAAGAATGCATTTATCAGTATATAAATTTTGATTATCAATGATTTCTTTTATTTAATAGGTGCTTCCGCATACTTTATTGTTGATTTCAAACTCTAGATAAAACGCAGACACTCTCTACATGATGTGTTTGAGGGAAGAAATCGAACCCTCTCAAACTCTCAATTTTATAATGACTACCCTTTTCTGTCTCTTTAATGAAATATTCAATATCTCTTGCTTGTGAATGAACATTACAAGAGATGTAGACAATTCTGGCTGGATAATAATCGGCTAGTTGTTTCATAAACACTTCGTCACAACCTTTTCTTGGTGGATCTAAAATCACAGAAGTTCTGTCATTTGGTGTGCTTATAGATTCAAACAATTTTTCAGCCTTACCAACAATAAAATCACAGTTCTTAATACCGTTAGTCTTTGCATTCTTTTCAGCAAATGAAACACTATCTGCAGAGATTTCGACACCAGTAACTTTATCAACACCCTTGGAACTGCACACACTGAATAGACCTGAACCACAGTACGCATCTACTAGGTAATTTGGTTCATCTGCTTTTGAATTAGGAATTTGTAGGTTTTCTCTAACATATTTGGTGACAATAGGTAAAATGGAATTGTTATTTTGGAAAAATTCACCTGCTGTGAAGTTAAATGTATAACCATCAACATACTCTGCAACAATTTGTCTTTGATTAGTTACACATGTTTTAATTAACTTAACGCCGTGTTCCTTATCTTCCAATTCAACGTAACTAACTTCACCGTTCTCATCTCTTGACCCTTCACCTAGTTGTTCTTTAATATCCTTGCTTTCATCAAGAACAATAGTGTTTTCTCTCAATAAAATGGTAGCACCTTTCTTATAGTTTTTGTATTCCGTGTTAAATTTTCTTCTTTCATTAGTTAAACCTGTGTTTAAAATATCAGTCGCAAGAGCGCAGCTATCGATATCCAAAGTAGAACTATGGCCTCCTACTTCCAAAGTATCCTTTCTCCAGGTAGGTCTACCTTTCTGGCCAAAACCTAAAGGAGGCCTTTCTTCAAGCACTTTCACTTTTCTAGGCATATCAAAATGTGGAGTGATTTTAGTTCTGTAGTTATATTGAAGTGGAGATGCAATTGTAGTACCTGTGGTAGGTAATAGACCTTCTCCCATTAAACGAGGTGCGAAATATTTGTAAGCATTAGTGATAGTATGCTTCTTAATCTCTAATTGTTTTTCATACGTAAGGAACTCAAATTGACTTCCAGAGGCCTTACCAAAGTACTTATCCTTGATTAAATCATCTCTTCTGATAGGTGATTTTTTGTTCACATCTAACAAGTCTGTTTCAACGTAATGTGGATGGGTTTTAAAGACTCTGATATTTGTCACATCACCAGGTAAACCAAATGGGACTATTGCTATTTGTTTTTTTGTTTGTTCAACGGGGTTATCGATCAATGCAAGACCATCCCCACTAGAGGTTAGAGTTAAAATTTCAACATCATTAACAATACGATGGTACTTATGTGTTATAGAATTTTCATCGTCCCTTGAGAAATCATTCAATATAGCTGAAATATCATTTGAAACTTCATCCCTTGTTAAATTATGAGTTTTCAATAAGTCATCGATTTCAAATTGTAAGACACCTGAAGGAGACGTTGGATCAGCTTTCTTAGCCTTGTATCTTTTCAATTTTTGTTTTTTAACTTTTGGTAAAGGGCTAACTTCCTGGGCCCTTTTGTTGATTGGTGTAGCTGTTGGAATCTCATTGTTGATCGATGACATTATGGATAGGTGGAGTCTGGTAGGTATTTGAGTCACAGAAGGTGTTAATGGTTTGATGAACGTAAAGAATGAGTTTTTAATTAAGTTGTTCATTAATAGGCACCTTGTATCCAGACAAGTCCTTCTTCTAAATATTTAAATTTATATTTGTAATTGCAAATGTTGTCGGAAAGTGAATATTTTGATTTCGATGATGTTTACAATTCCATGTTCATCAACTAAAACAAATCTAATCATCTCTTCCTTCAGGTGAAAAATTTCAGTCAGCGTGCAAAGTGACGCGCGGTTGGAATATTATATGGCTAATATGTATAAGCATACTGATAGTAATAAATATACATGATTCATATATATCTACATAATTGAAACTTCAATTGCTTCCTTTTGACGTTGGTTCATAATGCATCAAAAAATTTGATAAGGGACTCCATGGATATGGTATATATGTACATATTTGCAGAATTCTGTTTGTGTTAAATGCGACATACTTTGCTTAATTCCAATCAAGCGATGATACAGGAATCCTTGTTTTTGGTTTTTTTATTTATTATCAATTTTCCTTGTTTTTTCTTTTTCTTTGGGCCAGACTTCGATTGATTTACTTGTAAATTTGAGTCTATTTCAATTTTTTCTTGAGAAGTTAATTTTTCTAATTTTTGTTGCAAAAGTGTTGACATATCGGTAACTGGTGAACCATTAATAGTATTTCTATTGTGACCATCTCCCAACAATTGATCAAGTATTACATTTATAATGTTTGTGATATTAATATTATCATTGACCGAGCATTGCAAATGATAAAACGCCCCAACTCTTTTAGCCATCTCATCGCCTTCTTCTTTTGTGATCTTAGTCGTCAGACTATTATTAAAATCGGCCTGAGTTCCTACTAATAATTTCTGACTCCTAGGAGCAAAATGTTTTGCCTCTCTATTCCATTTCTTCTTTATGTTATCAAAACTAATCCTATCATTCACATTATATGCTAAAATTACAATATCAGCATTACTATAAGACAAAGGTCTTAATCTATCTGCAATTTCTCCACCTGCACTATCCCATAAAGCCAATTGTATATGTTTCCCAGATTTCTTATCATCAATCATAATGACATGGCTCTCTTGAGAGTCCTCCTCTTCATCTTCATTCCTTGTTTTTTGAGGATCTATATATGCATGCCATAATTGGGTCTTCCCAATACCTGAGTCCCCCACCATCAGCAATTTAAAGCTGTGATCAGGGATAGCATTAGCTTCTTTCATTTGTGCATAGCTTACTACTCGAGACAGTTGTCGGCTGTATGCATGATGTAATTGTAAATCTGATCCTACTGATGTAAATGATACGACTTTATGTAAACTTGATACAGTTGGCATGTAAGTATATATAGTAATAATATACAGTCGTATTGGACACGATTACTGGTGAGTCTAATATTATTGTATGTATTATAACAAGAAAATAATAGTTTAAGACTCATTCAAGAGATTGCATTGATTTGGAATATGTCAAATATGGTCAAGCAAAAAAATTGAAAAATAAATAAACCGGAGGAGATGTTCCAAAAATAAAATATAATATGAATCGTCGAATCACAGGATGGCAACTAAAGGCACGGGAACCATCTGGGTATGTTGAAGAATTTATTTGGGCAAAAGTTGACTAAAATACATTAATATAATATACCACTACATAAAAAACTATAAACAAAATTGTCTTAACGTGTCTCCTTTGTCATAAGAGTATTATAATTCCACATATTATTTCAAAATTTTGTCAGTTCCAGTTAAATCGGTAATGTTCCGAAATGGTCTCGGCCAGGCCTTGTTCTTATCTTATCTCTCTCTGTTTATGGTTAAAGTAGCACTAAACATTAAAAAAATCAGAAGCAAGTCATACAAAAGTTAAACTAATCATTACTCAACAAGATAGAAACGAGGAATCCTATCAACTTTTCTACTCTTGGATCTTTTTAATCAATCTCCAGTCAGTAGTATTTCATGTAGATTGAATTCAATGCTGGATGTACTGGACAAAAAGAACCCTTTGTTATAAGAATATTCACTACGTAAATTTCTTCCTTAATAGAAAGTGAGAGAATTAACAATGGCAATAATAATAGCTAACATATTATACCGTTATACATAGAGACAGAGAAGCAAACTGCTAAGAGAGAAAAGAAAATACTGAAAATATTTGATGTTTTTGCATTTAATTGGGAATGAGAGATGGGAAGAAAATGAGGCATTGCAGCTATCAGGTTCTGCAATCATTCTCTCCCTTTCGTTAAAGTTTCAAACGTGCCTTTCATTTGGTTATC